TGAAGCTACAGTCAAAACAGAAATGTTTGAGAGTACTTTGAATTTAAAACTAAGCAATCAAATGACCATATTGAAACAGTTTATGTAAAAATCCTATACAGACCAGTTTAAGGTACAGCTGGAAAGTAACATTTTGGTAAAAAATTGCTAGTATATACCTGCACATGTTATTTTCTGGTACAAAATTAAGTATGAAGTCATGTGTGTATTTCTTTGTTTTTTTCAGGAAAGGATCATTACACTGTCTATTTTTAGTAAACCTGGAAACAGGTCAATGATAGTTCCTGTGTTGTCTGAAAACTTTGAAAGAAAAATAGAAAGTGTGGAATATCGGAATGTCCTGGAGTTCCCATTGAACTCCTACCAGATACTCTAAAAGAAGACAATGTAATGATACTTTCCTTAAAAAGGCAAGGAAATTGACACATGCCTTCATACTTTATTTTGTACCAGAAAATAACATGTGCAGGTATAGAAATGTTTTACCAAAATGTTACTTTCCAGCTGTACCTTATGACGTTTTCATCTGGGGTTTTGTAGTGACTTATTCCGTCCCTATTAATAAATGGAGGGCATCAATGATAACACCTCTCAACCAAATGCTCCAATTTACTTGACCCACACAAAAGCAATATCCAAAAACAATTATGTATATCATGATATCATGAGAGGTACGAGTGGTCGCACTTTATACGACCTTTCAAACGTTATTGGGGTGGGGGGGGGGCATACTCACTCTTGATTTGTGATGTGCCAGCTTTCAGAAGCATCACAGACAACTGTAGCCTTTCCCGTCTTGGGTCGGTCGCTTTTGCTTTTGGGTACATTGCTGAGACTTATTAGACCTGACGCATTCGTTATAATATGTTTCTAAATTCAACTGTGCTTCAAGTACGAGGCTGAACACGGAAACCGATTCTGTACAAGTGTAAGTTCAATTCACTCCAGGGAGTGTATTCAGTTGTTATATGTTAGTACGTACATATTCATTGAGCTTGTTCGGTCAACCTGTCCTTGAATGTTATACAAACTGTATAATCATTGTGTAAAAACTCTTTTAGTCTTTAGTGTCCTAAACATTGTACCCCTAATTAACAAAACATTCTAGATTGAGCATGTATTTTTGAAGTTATTGATTATATCAATCATACGAGTGTACGAAATAAACGTATCAAACAAAAAGCATCCATTGTTGACACACACATTCCGTGAACACTCAAATTAATCAATTTGATGCTTCAAGCAAGGTTGACATATAGAGATTTTGTTGGGACCGCCCTCAGTGATGTTTCAATACTAATATTATTTCCCAATTTGTATATTACCTTGAAGTTAATTATGTCTGAAATCTGACAAAAAAGTGCGAGGCGTATTTTTCATACGCTCTCTACATCTTTCACATTTACACAAAGAGTACACTAAAGGTAACCAGAACAGAGCGTAGTGAACGTTATATAAAAATTGGAAAATGAAGTAGCCGACTTATTTTTTATTTTTAAAAAGTAAGTCACTGTATTTTCTCGTTTTCATACATTTTATAAACGAAATATTGTCCACACTCTTTTCTCGCTACAATAGTGCAGTCTTTATGCAAAACTGAAAGTTGTGGACAACATTGGAAAGAGGTCCATATTTGAAAGTAATGTGTGGCTTCGTTAAAATTAGACTGTATAAAAATTCCCCAAAAACACATCTACCTTAAAGTTGCTTGAGAGATTAAGAAAGTGTTTCCATGACTAACTTGGGGTCTGTTTTGAGAGAAAGTCCCTGAAATTAGAAATTCACAAAAATCGAGGGGATCACATTCTGCTCAATTTTGTTCATGACATTGCTAATCCGCATAAACATTACTAAGTACACCATGCAACACCGTTGTGTTACAATGTAGGTACATACAATTAATGTAGTTACGTGTACAATACATAATACAACTTAATATCTTTAACGAGCAGGTTAGACTCTTCCATACTTTTTTAAAAACTTTTCAAAAGCAGTACTAGTTTTAATATGTATTCAGTCATAAATCACGTCAACACAACCAACGTGCAATATTTTGACAGACGTTGTCACCCATTAATGCCTAAACCTGTCATGAGCACGTACAATGAAAATATTTGTGCGTCAATCAAGCCGTGAAAATAAGCAACCAATATCAAAATATAAGAAAGCCCAAGATACATTGTATTTGTAAAAAAGGGAACGTTACATAATGTCAGGTTCATATTTGCTGCGATTCATCGGTCGGCCCTCGGCCGATTGAGTATTTTGTTTCAAACAAATACAATTTTGAACAAAACACTCAATCGGCCAGACACCTATGTGACCAAGCCATAACGTGGGCTAATTGTCGCAAAATGGTTGTTCTAGCTAACTTTGATATAAATGCTAATTGCATATATTTTGTAATCTCTCAATTTATAACATGTTAGGCAATGTCAGATATGTGTGAGCGTAAAATATTAAATCGACTCCTGTATGATATATATAGGTCACGTCTCACAAGGCTTATACGTTATCTCAAATCCAGCCTTTAAATTGAAACAACTTTTACAAATATTTGAGGGAAAATTCGGTATGCAGCTTTTACAACATGTGCTCGACCCTTACTGCTGTACAAATTGAAGTGCGGTGTTTCTGCTTGCAATGGGTGTATGCCTACATGCATTAAAAACTGTTGTACATTGTAGGGAGAAGTGTTAGTTTAAACAAGTCAGCCAATGGAAGTACTAGTGCTGTAACTCGACTAAAAACTAGCCATCATAATTACAAATAAAATTCATCTATGGTCATTACCCCATAACAAATCGTGGGAATACTAAAATAAATTGAAATGTATCAGGTCTTATCACTATACAAGAAATGTATTTTATTGCGTTTGAGTCACGTAGTACGAATTAGCAAGAAAATGATTTCTATTTGGTCGTTTAACGTTATGAAAATAGAACGGTAATTGTAAATGCAGTATTACTGAGTGAACGGTGTATGTATTAGTGAATAAGATCACTTAGGCTCTAAGCGGCGAGATAAACTAAGTCTATGTCTTTAAAATGTTTATGAAAATTTTTCGGACAAACCTTTTTCCTTATAACCTCAATTGTTTAGGATTTCAAAGATTTTTAGCATCATGTTCTCAACAGAATAATAATGGGCATTAATGAATTTATGATGCTAAAGATAGAAAAGGTTTTACAGGTGGTCGGAAAGTTTTTAATTTTGAAATGCGATTTGTTATTACTACATTATCGAGAAAGCTTATCAATTGTCCATTATAAACATTTTTGTATATTGTCCAACGGCGACACAGCCGCAGAGCCACATTTTGGCAACCAGCATGTATATACGATAACATTATTGTATGTAAATAATACACTCGGTTTTTCTGCAGCAGCCGCAGAGCCACATCCTAGTTAATGTTATGTTTCTTAAGTGAAGGTTAGAATAGAAATCTCAATACTTAACTTGAAAGGCGACTACGTCAACCGCAGATCAATTTACTCCCCAGTCACATTTGTCGCACAGTGGCCGTAAGTAGACCGCAGATCAATTATATCAGTGAAGGGAAGCCGTAGATTTTATAACTCGGAGTTACAATATTTGTTAATTTCTGCGGTCCCCGTAGAAATCAACAGGCCGTACGTGGCCAGACCGCATAAAGGTCATTTCATTGCAATTCGTTCAAATCGTTAGCTCAGCTACAAAAAATTGATTGACTAAACGTATGATACATAAATGAGAGCTAAGAAAAAAGAAAGAAAAAACAGTGAAATGTACTTGAAGTGGCGATTGTGTTTTCTGCTTACCAGTTACCCAGCTCTAATAGTGCGATATAAGGTGACTTGATTATGCAGATGAGAAGACCCCATTGGTTTCCCGGTCAAACAATCAAAACAGACGGGGACAAGCTTTGTTTGAACTGTTACTATCATATTTATTTGTTTCGTGACCAGAAATCCACTTAACTATAGGGAATATATTCCGTTATAAAGATAGATTGTTTTCACTTACCAATCATTCACTAACATGTGCTGTCATATTCAGCTCTGGCCTTCATGTCAAATGGGGGAAGGGTAACCCCCACACTGAATAAATTCAAAGTTCGCGCACCCTTCTTTTTCATCAATGATGATAGAACAGTTTACGATCAAAAGGCCGAACGCAGAAAACATTGAAATTACGAACGCGGTACGTTCGGGGTATTTCTCTCGGCCTTGGAATTACTTAAGAAAAATAGACCATCCATAGACGACATGGCAACGACATCTAATTTTCGTCGAGTGAATCATTTCCAAAGATAATCAATTTTAAGAGAAAATTGCACATAATGGTTTTGCGAGACGACCTCTATCTAACACAAGTAAAATTCTACTAGAGAGATCGCTCAAAAATGTTGAAAAAATGTAACCATTTTTCTCATCAATTTTAAGACATACTTCTCATGGATCGAATCACGATTTCTTTACAGAAAATAAGACTTTGCTTTATTATGTGGTTACGATATATGTTATTTTGCTGCTTAAAAAACGTTAAGTCATTCTATTTACGCACTGAAAAACGGTACAAAATATAAGATGGAATTTCATCGCTTCGCCAAAAAAGTTCTACAAAATGCGTTTTTCATAATTCAACAATAATATTTTAGAATATAAAAATTCATCACACCTCCGATATTGTCTGAAAATTCCATAATGATCGTGTAGAAAATAAACAAGTTGTACTCATCTAAAAAGCTCTCTCTATCGAGCCTCTTCTTTTGGTCTGAGAAAAAAACGTCAACCCCTTAGACCAAAATATCGGCCAAAATTTTGAAATTTTGAGGACCCTAGGGCCTTTTCTGGCCCAAAATCTTATCCTAATTTTGCTTTGAAGATTACTACCTACACCCTACAACATCATCAATCAACCAAGATATTCTAGCTTCTTTGATATTCCAAAAGGTGGCATGGTCTATCGGAAAGGTCTATTGCTCTAATGTTATGAAAATTCCCCCACAAACACCTCACCTTCTTCCATAGCAGCATTTGCGACTAACATTTGACGGAGATGCTTGAGAAGTCCCGGCCAATTGTAGGAGCTGTAGGCCTTTGAGTGCTGTGACATCAGAGGTATGGCACGCATTGTAAGCAGTTTATAGTCTGGATGGGATACAAGGTGCTCTAGGACATCACCTGAATAAAGACTGCATGCTGTTATAAATACAAAACAAGGCATAAACATGCAACATGTCATCACCTGCCATTTGTTACAGAAATGTCAATTGCTTAACACCAGCCACCAAACACCAATTGCCAAACACCATTCACAAAAAAGTTGGAGACCACTTCTTGTGGTGACATAATAGCAGAAATAATCTTGTGCAATTTGATGTGTCTCTTTGAGGGGGTGATGTAAATTACTTTTGTTACACTTTTTCAATTCTAATCTACAAGAACATTTCTGCATTTTAAATCTTCAATTTCTTCTTTGTTTATTTGATACGATATGTCAATTCTTTTTCTGAAAGTAAAATTAGAATTGCAAGGAAAGTAAAAGCATGAGTTTCAACAAGGTAAACTTTTACTTCTTTACATAATTCCCTCGAATTCCTTTAATCAATTGCTAAACTATTTTTCTGATAAAACATCAGCCTAAAATATCTATCCCCTACGTCTCACTCACCTAGATGATTGGTTTTAAGTCTATTACAGTTGAGGAATCCATTAGTACGTAATAAACCCCCTGCTAGATGGTGACATATGACCTTGTTGATGTCTCTGAACGATATATTCTTGATTCCCATTAACTGTGTACACATCTTTTGCATGTGGTCATTTTCGAAAATCAATATAGCATCAGATGAATTGTAAAGATGCGACAGGGTCAGAATTGCATTGTAGTTTTGTACAATCACTTCTCCAGTGTTATATGGCCAAACTATTTGATTTGCGATGAATGAGTTAGGGAATTCGTCTCGTATTGTTTGTGATAAATATGCTCCGACACCCGATCCAGTCCCTCCGGCTAAGCTCATCAGAACGAGAAAGCCTCCTAAATGGTCACACTTTTCTACCTCCTTTCTTAAGAGCTCCATTACGTTTATCGATGCATTTTGAGCGTGTTTAAAATATCCATGCGCCCAATTGTTACCCGAGCCTCGTTTTTGGCAAAAGCTTGACGAGTCATTGTAACTCCATAGACCTGATCTTTTAGCATTTGTTTTACATTGAGCTATAACTTTCGGTTCCATATCGACTAACACTGCCTTGGCTTTTGGAGGCCCCTTTTCAGAAAGGGTAAAAAAACATTTCTCAACCTGAAAAAAGAAAATGTCAAAATAAATTATTCCACGGGGAGTTATATATAAACATTTTCATATCTGTGGAGCACGAAATATTGTTATTATTTCCTGTTTTTCTTCTGACAAAGAAATGACTGAAAGTACAGTGAAATTTCCAAACACCTTTAATCTGAACACCTAGTCACAACATGAAATTGTTTTCTCCGTCCAAAAGTTTTCTCCCATTGAAGAAAAGCAAGAGACTTGATGACATATACAGCAATACTGTAAATTGGAACACCTCTGTAAATAGAACATTTTATAATGAAACCAAAGGTGTTCCACCTGTATAGGTTTTACTGCACCTACCTCTGTTTTGTACGTCTCATTGTCCTTCACTCCCACTCCAGAATATTTGCCATAAGTGTCCTCCGCGATCGTAGAGAACAGCTGTTCACCGACTTGATTCCCACATTGTCCTATTTGTACTGTCACAATCGACATCTCAAGATGTCCGTAAAATCACTATAATGATGTCACAACAAAGTGATATCACAGCATTGTGTCACGGCATGATGATGTCACAGCAATTTTGTTACATATGATCAAAGCCCATGATATGATGATTCAGCATTAAGTTCAGATGGGTACTCTAATAACAAAAAAATACTAGATATAGTAATAAAATAGCAGTGAAAGTTATAAATACAGTAAAACCTGTGTACAGTGAACACCTATGGAGCCATGAAAATGTGTTTACTGGAGGTAGGCTAAGTAGCTGTTCATTACAGAGAGCATAATTTATACAGAAATCAATAGAGTTTTTGTGGAGGGCAGGGTTCGAAATTAGCGTTGCGGAAGTAACGATTCGTTCCTTCATTTTCCAAAATCGTTACCTAGCAACATGCCCAAGTAACGAAAATAGTTACCTGCTTTATGGGAAGAACTCCAAATGATCGTCAACTCAATTTCTCAAATGAAAATATGCCGACATTGCCGTGATGAAATAGATTTTTGAATTTTTTTTCTTTGACACTTTTCATCCTTTTTCACTTTAGCTGAAAGCTGTAACTTCTCAAAAGCAATTTTGAGGTAAAATCACCGCATTGTTAAGGAACGTTTTGAAGTTGCTAGCCTAACTTCCTGTATGAAAAAGGGAGACATCTATTGAGAAAAAGATTAGTCTAGTAGCTTAATAACGCAGATGCGAGTAGGTAGTTACCAGTTTCGCCACCAGGTGGCTCGTTTTGGTCAGATAACATGGCGGGTATAGTAGAAAGTTCCCTTTAACTTAAATTACATCTGTTTTAGTGGCTCAATTTTTATATAACCCTTATGCATCTAATAGTTTTTATAGTTTTTTATGTTGATAAACAATTTTCGAAACCATTTATCTAGATGTACTTTTACATGTAGATTTCAAATATGACATCACTTTGACTAAATTTTGAATATTTAATGACGTTAATCAGGATTATTTCTATTCGCATCTAGTCTATTGGTTTCACCCCCTTCAACAAAATTTGCAATTCCCATTTTACCATGCAGTCTGACCTTTCACTTAGGAATGTTTATAGTGGGAAATTTGAATTTAAATGTTTATACCACATGATTGGTCTATTATAGTTTAATCTGATCACATGACTAATCATCAAGTTTAGGAGGGGTGGAGGCTTTATAGCCTGTAATGTTCTCCCATCTGATCTATTAAAATTAAAACTGAACTTAAGGTAGGGAACTGATTATTGCTCACAACTGGCTATTTGTAAAGATCTGAGTACCATGCCTTGCACAGGCCCTCGGTCCAATCTGAGCTAGACATGATAGATGGTAGATATATGTTTTAGTACTATTTTTGAAAACAAGACCTTAAGTTTCGAATGTTATCATGATAATAGATCAACAGATCAATAGACTTGTTTATTGTATATAGTGTCAAGGAAAACTTTTATCGCGATAATAACAATTTCAAGCGGTAATAATAACTACCTTACTTTGGTATTTAGTTACCTAGAACAAATCTCAGGTAACTATTTTCAATACCAGGCTAGAAAGTTAAGTTCGAACCCTGGAGGGCGTCCACTAGAGACAGGTGTTCACCAAAGAGGTGTTCATGAAGACAAGTTTTACTGTAGTATACAATATTTACATACTATTTACATTTAATTATAAAATGCATACAAACATCACAGCTCAAAATAATCGAACATTTATGGATACGTATACAATTATGTAATTTAATTTTCAAATTCACAACGAGTCGATCATTGAATGCTCAGATCCCTGTAGATCTGTATGTTATGGGATTTGCTACATTGCAGATAAGAAGATGCGAAGCTTTTAGTCTGAAATTAGTAACTGGCTGTAAATTCTAAGTTAGCGATCCAGAACAGATGTGAACTAATACACTGATCACTTTATGTGTGTTTTGTAATTTTTGGTGAGGTAATAAGACCAAAACTCGCAATTCAAATTGTGATGTGGAAAAATGGCGGACATATGATTTCAAATTTTATGATTACGACATGACCAGTTGTTCATGCAGGAATATATCTTTACTGGAAGGCCACGATACAGTGGCCTTAGAAGAAAGTAACGTCCAAGTATGTAAAAAAAAAAAAACTGAAGAAAATCTAGCCTAGCCCTAGTTCAACGTCGTTAAACTCAATAACGGCGTTATTTATTATTAAGAATTTTCTTGGGGCCATTATTGAGTTTAACCTCTTTACTATTCTTTCCATTGATGCAAGTTTTGGATCCACCGAAACCATTTTTCCGCGATAACATGCAACTGATACTTGACAACAATATAAAAACACATAACATCAAGCGATTCAACACAATATTATTGTATTAAATGGTCATTTATACAAGTAAAATGAGGTTAAACTTACCAATCTCTAAAATGACATTTCCGCATGTCCTTCATTGTGTCTGTTCGTCCCGGGTTAAAATTTAAACTATTGAAACGAAATTGTTGTCAAATAGATTGATAATTATCACGCGATTACTCGGGATAAAATAGCCATTTTTGAGGATAGCAGGTATCTTTGATTGATTTATATAGCGCTTGTATACACACAAAATCGTTATTAATTGCAAACCTACTGTTCGTTGATGCAGTGTCGCAATGACGGTTAATTCCTGATACGATTTGCAATTTCGATGTTACCGGAGCTGACCGATATTTTCGTAAAATTCCAAACCTGTCTCCAATATTTTCGTAATTATGCATCAATATGGTCTAAGGGGGGTACGGGAAGGTGTGTATGTATTTATAAGGTATGTATGCATGCTTGAATCACATTCTTTATGTAATATTACCATGTTTTCGGAGTTTAAGGTCAGGGTGCATGATGGGAAATTTTCTGCATTCCTCAATTGAGTCACATGTTATTTTTCAAACAAGAATCACTCCTTCCCCACATTTTCTATATCTTCCAGTTTTGCACAAAGAGTGCACTTATGTGCCTAGAAAAGACTTGTGAGAAGGATGTTTTGATAAAGTGTATAAAAAACGAGAAAATTCAGTGAAAAAAATCAGAAAATTTTCAGAAATTTTTTTCACTGAATTTTCTCATTTTTTATACATTTTACAAAACAAACCTTCTCACAAGGCTTTTCTGGGCACATAAGTGCACTCTTTGTGCAAACTTGGAAGATGTAGACAATTTGGGGAAGGAGTTATTCTTGTTTGAAAAATAACATGTGACTCAATTGAGGAATGCAGAAAATTTCCCAACATGCACCCTGTCCTTAATTAGTTCCGCATGTCGAAACCTGCTGAACGATTAAATGATCGCATCAAGGGCAAAATCATCATGGAAGTTAGACCTAGCCGGGGCCATAAGACATGTCAGATAAGAAACGAGGCCCAGGCTAGGTCTAATGTTGTTGGACTAGCCTAGCCCCAACTATCTGTGATGATTGATGAACTTCCCTTGACTGTTTGAATCTGACAGTGTGCAGCATTCATGTCATAATAACGTATTCTTACCTGAGTTTAATTTTCGATAAATGTGGAGTTGGTAATATCACTGAAATCGATCTTGAAAATTTTATTTTTATTTTGAAAATCGCAACCGGAAGTGAAGTTTTCATAGGGAAAATCTCATCACAACAAATTGAACAATTGACATATTAGGCTTTCCATTGACGAACATTGATTCATTCGGGAATTTACCGCATACATTTTGATAAATTTGTATTGAGATAATTATCTGCCTATTGCAATGTATTAATCACAGACTATCAATCAATAGTTTGATAAAATAATTTTGTTTTTGAGAAAAGCCCCTTTGTAGCCTCGTCTTCAATCCAAGATGTCAGCCTCCATGAAAATTATGTTCTCTCACATTTCTCAACTAAATCACCATTTACGGAAGCAGTATGCATCAAATGTACGTATTTTTATCGATTTATTATTCGTAATATATTTTTCTGTAATATATGCAACTTTAAAATGTTGTGTTTCAAACGTGCATTCTAAAATTGCTAATTTCAAATTGAAGTAAGATTTTTGGAATTTTCAGTTTCACTCTCATCAAATGATCATTCTCATTATTCTGAGTGATATAAGTCTTATAGATCTTTAGATCTCAAAATTACAGATTTCATATGGACACCCTTATAAATATTGTCGCGCCGGGCCGATTCCCAGGAGTACCCTGTATGCAAACTTCAGGAAAGGCCAGGGAAGATATAAGGGATCTTGGAGGTGTTATACACGGGTGCCGACCTGGTTTGGTGGTACGGCAGTTACCTTTCAAAGATGGCAATATAACAATGATATACAGGGATTTTAAAATCTATTCCAACATAGAATAATGGTACAAATAATTTCAAAATGTCTATATAGAGCTTGAATGTCTCTGTAATTGTTCAATACAGCTTCTTCCAGTCTTCTCTCTCTTATAATAACTCCTCTTCTCACAAATAATAACCTTCTTGAATAATTGTAGGAGGAGTCTGAACTTTCTTCACCCTCTAGGAGGTCCTTCTGCTCCAACTGGTAAAATGGCCTGAGGAGGATCTGCTCCTCTGAAGCTTTCTTCACTCTAAACTACTCTCGTCTCTATAGGAATCTATATGGAGGAGGAACAACTCAGGAATGTCAATCAAAACTGAGATTAGACCTAAGTTAGGGGCGGGGTCAAAATATCGATGTTCATATGGAGACGAAAGTACTTTCGCGAGGGGGGAGGGGGTTTTTGGGCACTTTCGTTGACCAAAAAAACATCGATAATTGGATCTAATATACAAAAAATAATTGGACTTACCCACTTTTTCTGGCGCTATGTTCTGATAAAAAGGCTTGTTTTCAATAGTTCGTGAGCTTTTTTGTGTGATAGGTCCAAAATATCGGTAGATAAAGACGATAATTCGATCATTTTTCAAATAAATTCCGTACTTTTCCCTCCTCTTTTTGAAGAGTTCAATGCAGTTAAATTGCGAACGTGTGTTAATTCACCGTAATAATAACCCGGCAAATAGGATACGATTATTAATCAATGTTTTTTTGAAGTGACCTAAGCTTTCGTCTAGAGGGGGGGGGGGGGGTTGGGGGGGTTGTTGTCCAAACGAAATTACTTTCGTCTCCATATGAACATTGATATTTTGACCCCGCCCCTTATAAATGCTCCAAATAAATTTCACTGCGCTGTCCCTCAGAGTCGTCTCGTCTCAGAGGAATCGGGGCTCCGCTGAGATAAGACCTAGGATGTGACTGCTCCCAGTAAACACACACCAATGTCCCTCAGAGTCTTCTCACCTCGGACGAATCAGGGCTCCAGGAGTATCGCGGTTCTGGAAGTGTAACCTCGTCTCTGGGAGTTCTCTTATCTCTATTAAACTGTCTCGTGGAAGGGGTCCAGGCTCCGGGAGTATCTTCTGCTCGGGGAGTCGCCACTTCACAGGAGAAACCTCTTCTTTCGTACGAGACCCTAGCTATTGGAGTACCTTCCACTCCAGGAGTTGTCTCGTCTCTGGAGAAACCTCTGCTCCTGATCGCAATCCTGGCTATTGGGAGTACCTTCCGCACCGGGAGTCTTCTCGTCTCTATAATAACTTCTGCTCAACCTCTCTCACACTGTCTCTTGGAAGGAGTCCAGACTCCGGGAGTATCCTCTGCTCAGGGAGTTGCCACTTCACAGGAGAAACCTCTTCACCCTCTACAGAGAAATAACACCTCTGGAATGTCAATCAGATGGTGAGATTAGACCAGAGACTGCTACTTCTCGATTGTGGAGTACCTTAGTACTGGTGGAGTAACCTTGGCTCCAATGAGAGTAAACCTTGCAACACAGAAATACTTTGGTTCCGGTAGTGTAACCTCAGTATCCAACTTCTGGAGGAGTCAAATCACCTCGGAGGATACGTCAAGTTCAGCAACTTGTATCAATTTCGGATCATCAATAACTCGGAGGAGGAGAAGGAGCAACTCACGAATATCGATCATTAAACTGAGATTAGACGGAGCTGTATCCTCAACCCTCGGAGCAGATTCCACTCTAGAATAGATCGAGGAGTAAGCACTCTGAGCTAACAATCCTCAGAGCAGATATGGCTCTCGAATATCAATCACAGCTGAGATTAGACAAGAGCTACTACTTCTCGGACCAAATATAACTCAGAGGAGATATAACATTTAAATAATTGGAGGAGAAATCACTCGGAGCAGTGAATCCTCGGAGCAGATATGGCTCTCGAATATCAATCAAACTGAGATTAGACAAGAGCCTTAATTACTCGGAGGAGGAATTACTTCTTGAAAGGACCTCACTTTCGTAAAAATAAAGATGGCCGACCGCTGGGAATTCTGGGAAGAAGAAATCAAAATGGCGGACAGCAATATGGCGTCAAACTCGATAATCAAATTGCCAACTCACCAAAAACTGGCTGTTATCTTCTTGTATCTCGCACAGTCACAACGGACGCAAAACTGCAGCAAATAATGTCAGCAAATAATCCAAATATCATGTAATATAGTTCGCAGTTCACATCGAACACGCTACCACATAAAATGATACAAACTGACGAGATCTTTCCTCTGCAAAGTCTTGGTTTACTCTGATTTACAGGTCACTTTCTCACGCTATTATCCTAGCCATCTCAGGTTGCATCATGGGAAAATACAACTTAAGTTGGCGGTAAATTCAAATGAAGCCATCTGATTGGCTGATCACTGGTTGCTGGGTGCTTAATTATGCTAATTTATTCCAACCCAGCTTGCTGATCAAGTAAACATCCAAGTGCCTACCTGACTAACTGCATATACACACTTTACTATTAAGGTTTATCAATTACAGTGCACAAAACATGAAATAAAGATGAAATAACATTAAATCCTGTAAAATAAACGTTTCACAGGCCCAAGTATTACTCAGGGGGATTTAAAAATTCCTACAATATAATGACCCATTGATGGGATCATGGGCTCTACCACGATAGAGCCCATGATGGGATATCACATCACTTTGACCAAGTGACCGGGTACCTAACGTTCCTAGCCGGGTTTCCAACTTTCAAAGTTGGACATTTTTCCCCTAACATAGTTGCCAAATGACCTGTCGAGCACTAAACAGACAAAGCCTCCCCAAGTGTATACTAACGCTCGATATTTAAACATTATCATTTTTATCAAAAACCTGTAGGGCCTAAGAGACGGAGCACTTTTTAAATAATGGGCTACTTTATCAATGTCAAAAAAACTAAATGGTTACCTGGTTACACTACATGTAGATATCATCTCGATCTGAATAAACAGGAACATGAAACGAACTGAATGCAGAAGTCCTAAGTGGTTAACATTTTACACAGTTTACATGTACAATGACGCTTCCTGCTTGATTTATTGTCTGAGTGATTGACAGGATATTGATTGTTTTCTAGAATCGTGATTTCTATTAGATTTTAAACAAATCTGTAAAATTCCCAACCCTGGTAAGAATGTTAGGTACCCGTTACCCGTCTCTACCATGTTAATTCTGAAAATAACATGGCGGATAAACCTCAAATTACTAAAGGGCACAGACTTATTGCACTAACGACTAAATAATCTTTATCGTCTATACTTGCTGTGCAAATATTTGATTTCAGAAACTACTATCAATAAGCAGGAACTACGCATTCTGGTCGCGTAAAAAGAAGGAAAATGTTGATGAAATCATCGAAACACGTGGTCATAATACTCAGGAAGATGGACCAAATGTCGACAATGCTGTTCAAACACTTACAAGAAAAACGTAAGTCGATACTCCATTTCTTTTCCTAGATTGTATGTTAAAGGTGTAACAATTAGTGCAGAGGGGCCATTCAACGATCATGGACCAGTGTCAAAATATATTTAAGTTTGGATATTTCATCAAAACTAAGATATATTTTTATTATCTACAACGAAACCACCTGGATGAACATTATTTCAGCTGATGTTCCTCTAGTCTTGAAACGTGGTGAATCTTAAAAATCTATAAGTGGGACTCCCTTTATAGAAGCTTTGAACTGAATTTACACTTCTTTATGCTAAAATTGATATTTTATACATATGTGAAAGAAGGTGTTAAGCCAAATATTGACCAATCCTCGTTGCCCCTTTAAAATGTCTTGAAAATAAAAGTTTTCTATTGTAATGAATTTATGAAATATAGTTTACAAAGGGGAGAATAAGAAGGGGTTCAGTGAAACCTGTAAAGTGAAACACCTGTGTTAGTGACTTAATTCAAAATAAACCTCTGTAAGTGGAACACCCCTCAAGTGGAACACTTTTTTAGAGGTACCAATGGTGTTCCACTTGGATAGGTTTTACTGCACATTCTTCATCTTAGGCAAAATTCATTCCTTTACTTGGTAAATGCACTGACTAGGAACATGTTTTGTCTAGTGATAAATGAGAGTCCATTTCGAGCATTAGGTAGCCTAAATCAGAATGTTGTTTTAGCTTAATGTTGAAAGCAGCTCTGAAAATAACCAAAAATTAAATGTGAATTAAAGTGAACATGAACAGTAAAAAATGTGTTCACTGTAGGTAGATGTTACTACAGAGGCAATTTTATACAGAAGTCAGTGGAGTATGTGCTCAGAGGGGAGTTCTCTAGACACAAATGTTCACTAGAGAGGTGTTCACTAAGACAGGTTAAACTGTATGTAATCCATTGTAGGTCTGTGAAAACAACCCATGGCTATACTCCACCCTCTGATGTTGAGCAGCGAGTGAATACAATTGCAACAGATGTTTTTGGAGGAGACATGACCCACAATACAGTCATTGGAGATCAGTCTAAAAAAGTTAAGGTACTTTTGGTTCTGTCTTTTGTTTATATGACTTATTTGAGAGTTTTGCTGTCTGTTGTTTTAGGTCTTGAAGGGGTGAGATACATGTATTGAAGTTTTGTTTCTGTCTATCAAGCTGTCCTACAGCAATCATGGCAAATTCAGGCTTGTAGTGACAACTTTGGCCCCAAATCACTTGAAAATGCTCAGAATGGTGAAAAACTGCATGCAACCCCCACTGCTACGGGCCTGAAATTTTTACCCCACCAACTGAGTTGAAATTATTGAATTTCCAAAATATCTGTATGTACAATTGTACTGCCATAATATTGCCAATATGAAGTGACTCAAAAGCTGACCTCATTTCACAGTGGCAGCCACATCTTTATCTATTGTCAAGAAATATTAAATACAAATGTAGATTTCAATTTGCATTACAAGAAGCCATTGTTTCTAGATCACCAGTATTATCATGATATCAGGAAAATGTTTTTGCATTTTTACTTATATTTCTATTCTGTGTTTTCAGTTGCTGACAAAATGTATAGATGCCTTTGAGCATGACATCCCAAACTATGAACTAAACCAACTGATAACATTATCAGATGTCGTAAAATATTTCAACACTGAGATTCGTGACACCACAAAATATGACGAACTAGCGAACTTGGATTTGCCTAAAAATCTGTATATTCAAAAAGATTACATTCGTTTCACAGAAGAAACAAAAGGATTTTTTAAGGATGGGAAAACTGCCTTCCCTGGTCGTGATACCATAGTAACAGGTCTGAAATACAAGAAAATGTACAAGGGATATAAAGATACAAAGTATAGATTTGAGGAATAGATTGGTATTTGTCAGTTTTACAAACGGTAGTGATTTTGCCAAGGATTTGAGGCCAGCTCATTAGTATCACATTGCTGACCAGTAACAATATGTTTTTCCTATGCAACATGGACATTTCTGGTGATGTACATCAACAGTAATTGTTGCGTATGGTAATGGGACATTTTAGCTACATAAATCCCTGAATTCATTCTTGTAACCATGGAAATATGAAGATCTAGATTTAGGAGTTTCTCACTTCATAAAGTCTTGTGATGATGTCTCTGGAACAAACGAACAGAGCATTCCTTGTTGTTAGAATTTCTATCATTGTAACCATGGAAATATGATGTTCTCTTAAGACCTAGATTTAGGAGTTTCTCACTTCATAAATTCTTGTGATGATGTCTCTCTGGAACAAATGAACAGAGCATTCCTTGTTGTTAGAATTTCTATCATCGTAACCATGGAAATATGATGTTCTCTTAAGACCTAGATTTAGGAGTTTCTCACTTCATAAATTCTTGTGATGATGTCTCTCTGGAACAAATGAACAGAGCATTCCTTGTTGTTAGAATTTCTATCATTGTAACCATGGAAATCATGATGTCATAACAATAGGAAAAATACATATGAATTATGTGATAACTTAAAATAGTTTTTTGAATCAGATTTTAATTTAAAGATATGTTTCATAAAAAGGAGATAGGTGGGTTAGTGAAATCAATGATAACAAGATAAGCAATGGATGGTAACAATATATGAAATTAATGGTAACACTGGGAAAAAAATTGTTCTTTTCACACACGTAAATAGTTGTCCTACAGTAAAATAATTTTAAGAAAAACTTACAAAAATCAAAAACCAAGTTACTGTATAACTTTTATATTAAGAATTTTAAAGATAATTGAAATTCAAATGAGGTTGGAAGAATTAGTTGAATTAAATTTTATTTTTTCAAAGGATCAATGTGGTTATTTGACAGTTTACTGTATTTGTCTTTAATTTAGCGAGGGTTTTAAATTGGCGAATTTGGGAGAATCATCAAAATTGCTAAATTAAATAGTCAACAAAATCCCTGGGTATTCAACATATATTTCGTTCAGAGTAATTCCAGTTATAAGAAAGCTACCAAGATGGCAGGGCTGTTTAAATTTATAGAACCGAACCAACAGGAAATATTGAAGACTTTTATATAAACAAGAAATATTGAAGAAATTGTTCATCAACAACACTGACAATGAGTATCTTGAATTCGGTAAGGCAGCAGGATATCTGGGACACTTGAAATTAAATAGAGACCAATAGACCCAAAAACACAAGAACACAAGATCATCAAATTAAGTAGCCCCAAATTAAAGACAAATACAGTCAGATCACATTTTATTCTGGCATATTTTCAACGAGTTGATTAATGGTTTGTGTAATTATACATTATAACATCTGATAAACCCATATTTTTTATTTATAACTCAATTTATTACTGTAGGTGACTATAATCTCTCAAAGGCTATCTAAACTCTTCACCTTAATAGGTTTTTATGGTTCTTAGAAACTGGTATAAGGAAATTCTAGTGAATCTTATCTATAGCAGTAGAATTGACTTTAAGGAACAACTATATTTCTTACACCTTCATTTAGGAAAAAATGCTACTGAGGGGAGAATAATTTTCACATTAAATATTTTTCAAAATAGGGCTAATTTAACTTCCCCTCTCTGTATAACACACCTAACCATCGACAACGTTCAGTGACAAAATATACCGTCGTACACTTTAGATGTACGGTGTCACTATTCTAATTGATATGAAACAAAAACGATGATGTGGGTGTGGTGTAGGTTTTAAAAATTAATCTGAGGAATACTTAAGGGATTTTATGTTTAACTTTGTGTGTATTCGATTTGGAAGACATTTACCTTTCTAATTCTGTGAAAAGATTTTCGGTAAGTGTTCGTGTTTTTTCGTAGCAAATCTACCCACCAACAATGATCGGTTGGAAAATGTTGGTTTTTTCACATTTCCTTTGGTCATTTTTTCCCCTGTCGCCTAAGAGTGTCAATTATTTTTATGAGAATAAGTTTCCCAAAGTTACACAATAAAGGTCGGTTGAAGATTTAATAAATATTCTTGTTTTTGCTAAAATAGTAAAAATAAAAAAATCAGAAGTGTACGTTGTCATCTCAATGTACGTGTTCCATTGAACTTACATATCTGAATTCACAGTTGACCCTTATGTAGACAACGTATTTTTCATAATATTAAGGGACAGAGGATCAGATTCATTTAAAACTGAAACGGAACAATCCAGTATTACTAATTCAACTTGATTGAACTACATTGAACCTCTGCACTTTCCAGATATAGCATAAACTGGATTTCGAAAGTCATCTTCGATTAGCTAGTATAGATCTCTCCATGAACTCCTTAAGATTATTAAAATTATTTAAAGTGCAACATAACATAACGTACCGACGCTGATGGGTCAAAGAGGTTGGAAGATAACACCCCATGGTCAAAAATTAATCACCATATCAACACTTTCGTAAAATAAAATAGCATTCAACAAGAGGTAAAAAATCACTTTTACCTGTTTATCTGTACCAGGGATAAATGAACATGTTCGTTGAACATCACTTGTTACTCATAAAACCCTTAATGCGTTAATTAAATCATTGCATTGTTTACATTTGAATTACAGGGACAACATACATTGGAGATGACAACGTACATTTTTGATTTTTAAATTATTCCAAATATTACATGAATATTTTTAAAACCTTCAACTGTCTTAAATTGTGTAGTTGAAAGAAACATATTCTCATAAAAATATTCAGCACTTTTAGACGACAGGGGAGAAAATGACCAAAGGAAATATGTAAAACACATTTTTCCAACCGACCAATTGCATGGGAAGATTAACAGCGAAAAAAATCGAGCACTGCTCGAAAATTAGAAAGGTAAATGTCTTCCAAATCCAATACACACGAAATCAAACATGAAATCCTTTGTGTACTCCTCAAATTAATTTTTCAAAACCACAATCTAGCCTACATCATACTCGTTTTCGCTTCAGAATCAGTCAATAGTAACATCGTACACCTAAAGTGTACAATGGTATATCTTGTCACTGTATGTTGTCGATGGTTAGGCATGTATAACCATAATCTGATAATCATGTACATGAAATAAAGTTTAGAAAATATTCTTTATCGACATTCATTCGTATAATTCTAAGAATACAAATTCAATTATTTATAATTCAATAAAGATAACAACTATTATTTATTAATTAACATTACGACATGTACCTAACTGAAGTACTACCTCATTTTAAAGATAAAAACATCATTCAATTTATAGTGTGATTAAATAACACAAAATATATGCGTAAGAGTAGCAGCTCTATACGCATTTGGAGGACAAATCTGGATGAAGATCAGATTTAAAACAGCAATGGATCGAGGTAACTATAAGAAATACGCATATTTAATGAACAAAAATGTTTTTATATTTATTTGAGTTGTGTGCGGTTTGGAGTCGCTTGATCACTACTTAAACCCAATATGTTATATCAATTATTGGGTTGACATGATTTCATCATAATTCTTAGAGGAACATTAATTAATCTATCTCAATTTAATAATATAATTATTCTTATACCGAAGAAATCTTATCACTAAGAAATATCGTATGACAATTGGCAATTGGCTTATTTTGGCAAATACTGTACATGGACAAAATAATGTGGTAAATTGTTATAAATAAATGATCTTTCAGAGTGAAGCCTAGGATGGGCTGCACTGTTTTCAATTTCTTCATATTGGAGCAGAAATGGCTCCAATAAAATTCCCGCAGAAAAATGATTGATTTGGCCATTGCAAGGAGAGGTTTATTTTGTCCCAATATAAACAGCTTTTAAGTTCAAATTAATTGAAAATGCTGGTTTATTCCAGGAGCATGTGTCTCAATTGTTGTTGTTCCCTTGTTACTGCTGACTCTGTGGACAACCACATCAACATCATTCACACAGCTGCCATGTAACCCACACAAATATTCTAAAGTGTCTCAACTCTGTCCCCACACCACGATGTGATAGCTTTGGGAATGTCACTGGGAGTGAATGTTAATTCTGACATAAATGTCCATTTTGGAATTCTATATGCCTTGTCTCTTTTTATTTCAGTAACATGTGTCTCAATTGTTGTTCCATTGCTACTGTTGACATTATGGACAAACACGGTGTCGGCGCAGCTGCCATGCTTCCGCAATTCCTCATGGCACGTCAAAAACACAAATATTCTGACATGTCCGAGCTCTGTCCCCACACCACGATGTGATAGCTTTGGCAATGTCACTGGTTGTGAATGTTATCAGAATAAAATGACAAACGTTACCAAGATAAATTGCAGGAGAGCAAATTTAGCTTCTATCCCACACATTGTGTCAAATGAGACATGGGATGAATTGGACTTTGGTATGAACCCAATCACGAGTATTCCGGCAGATAGCTTTAATGGTGTTCGTGTGAAGCATATAACTTTCTTTGGGTGCCTTGAATTGAAGGTTATCAAGAAAAATGCATTTCGAGGTGCTTTTTATGTTGATTTTCTTGAGTTGACGAGGACTGGCTTGGAGACTATAGAGGACTATGCCTTCAATGGGGCTGGGGAGATGAGAATTATAAACATGATGAGCAGTAATATCACACATATAACTCAATATGCATTTGAGGGCATGCCCTTTCTCAATACAACCCGTCTTGATTTCAACTCAATACAAGAAATTCACCCACGGGCTTTCTCGAAGTTGGATAAACTTCTTACATTGTCCCTTTCGAATAATCTGGTATCAAAATTGCCAAATGGCGTCTTCGATGGATTGTCATCCCTAGAGTATCTGAAACTAGCGGAAAACAGAATAGAAGAAATCCCCGACGGAACTTTTAAGCATTTGAACAAATTAAAAATTCTGAACCTATGGAAAAACAAAATACATTCTGTATCCAGTGAGTCGTTCGATGGCCTTTGTAATCTTGAGCGCCTAATAATAAAGGCCAATAATCTTACATCCTTGTCTGGTGATCTTCTAAAGGACCTGTTGTCTCTTATAGATTTAGATCTTTCAGACAATCACCTTGAAACTATCCCCGATAACATATTCAGGAAACAACAAAACATGTTGTTCTTATTGTTGGCGAATAATAGACTCAAGGATGTTCCGACTGCTATCAAACAGTTAAAAGGCTTGGAGCAAATTGATGTAATGAACAATGATATTGAACAGATTGGTCCATTCTCGTTTGATGGTTTGAACCTGAAAAGAATTAAGATTGGCACTCATAAAACTGGAATGAACATCACAGACAAAAGCTTCTGTGGAATTAATAAATCTCTGGAATTGCTTGATCTTTCATTTTCAAGGAGAATTCAGTTTACCGGGGGATGCTCATTGGTCAATGTTTTTAACGAATTTACAGAAGGACCTTATCGACTGCTTGTTGACCTGTGGAATAGTACTGTCGTCTGCAACTGTAACTTCCGAGACTTCCAAGTTTACCTAAACTGTAGTAACTCAACTGGTGATATGCTGAAATCGTGTCGTATCCGGTCTTTTAATTATTGGCACCCTCAGTGTAGCAATGGTCATTCTGTGATGCAACAACCGAAAGAGCACTGGACTGGTTGTGCAAATTACACAGTAAATTGTACAGATATATGTTACAAGGAAGAGGAGCTTACAACCGTTGGAAATCCTACAACTGAAGTCACAACCGATGTACGCGAAGTAACAACAAATGCCACATCACCAATGACTATGTTACCAGGGGAAGCTCCTTGTCCGAACAATTGGCACATTGTGACAATTGTTGCGATTGTTTGTGGCACAATTGTTACAATAATTATTGTATGCGGTGTTGTGTATTTGCTCAAGAAACGTATTGAGGTGACCCATCAGCGACAACAGCCCAATAATATATACAATGAAATAGGCCTATACAATACATAATAATATATAGTCTAAGACTGGTCGTGGGTCAACATAATCCTGGAGTGGCCACCTCTTAGACACATTCCTAGTTGTATTTGAATAATTTTAATGGTGGTTTCTGGTACAAATTCATTAATTAAAATATTACATAGTTATAGTATGTCAACCAATGAGTACTTTCTGTGTCAAGTTTGTAAGAACTTGAGAAGTAGCCAGGATCTTAAAACAGGCGAGGCAAGAATCAACAGGTGAGGCAAATTAAAATCTAGAAAAGGTGAAAGAATCAATAGGTGAGGCAAATTAAAATCTTAAAACAGGTGAGGCAAGAATCATGCATTAGGTGAGGCAAACTTAAATCTAGAATAGGTGAAAGAATCAATAGGTGAGGCAAATTAAAATCTTAAAACAGGAGAGGCAAGAATCAATAGGTGAGGCAAACTAAAATCTAGAACAGGTGAAAGAATCAACAGGTGAGGCAAATTAAAATCTTAAAACAGGTGAAGCAAGAATCAATAGGTGAGGCAAAACAGGTGAGGTGAGGCAAATTAAAATCTAAAAAAGGTGAAAGAATCATGCATTAGGTGAGGCAAATTAAAATCTTAAAACAGGAGAAAGAATCATGCATTAGGTGAGGCAAATTAAAATCTAAAACAGGTGAAAGAATCATGCATTAGGTGAGGCAAATTAAAATCTTAAAACAGGTGAGTCAATAATTGATAGGCGAGGCAAATAAAGATTTGAAGAGGTTCTATATTACTACTGTTGGACTTTCCAGTTGAATTTTCCAGTTTTGGTTAAAAATTGAGAAACATACTTCTGTAATATTTTGGTGAGACTTTGTCTGCCTCATGCCTTAATCTTCATTCATAAGTAAACATCCTTAAAACAACAAAATGTACTGTGAGCTAAAATAATTATTTTAAATGATATGCTTTTCAGGTATGAGATATATTGAAAAAAGGTGCAAAAGTCAAACTTCTTGCTTAATTAGCCTCTGTGCTTTGGGGTTTAACAATAATGCAATGTAAATTGCCATAACAAATAATTCAACAAGACCAATTGATTGATCAAGAACTATTGTACATGGGAATAGTTGCATTTGTCTTCCTCTTGGAAAATAGAATCCACCCTTACTCTTACCTTAATTTAGTGGGAATTATGCCCTCTGAATAGATCAGACAATTTTAAACTAACTATAATGTAAAGTAAGATATGTCAAGTGGACCCCTATAAAGGTAATACCTTTATAAGTGAACATGTTTTACAGTCCTTTGAAGCAATGACTTATTCAAATCAATACTATTCAAGTTGGACACTTCCAAAGTGGAACACCCTATAAATTGAGCACACCGCAAGTGGAACACTTTAAAGGAATCAATTATGTTCAATTTTCACATGTTTTACTGTACAATTGCCAGCCATGAGGTAACCATCCCACAAAACATATTTATGCAGACATTTTTTTTCAATAAGAACAGTTCATTTGAGATTTATATGAAAAAAACAACAAAATACTTCAAATTTTATTTTGTGCTACAACTACAATTTTTATTCTGTTAATTAGCAGATACAAAAATATTGTTTTAATAGTACATAGCAAATAAGCAATGATATCGTAATTGCACATATACATAAAATAAGGACGGAACAACACAATGTACAATTTCAATAAATGTGCAAGTACGTAATGTACAGTGAAAGCTGTAACATTGAACACCTATAAATGTGGAACACCTATGATAGGGGAACACTTTTCAGAGTCCCAAAACCAACTGACTTAAGTGTTAATTGATTATTAATCAAGTGGCTGATAATGCCTTCAGCAAAGCCACTACAAGTGTATAATGTTTATGTACTTTATGTATTTGTAAAATAAATTCTATGAATAAAAAAAAGTGTTAATTGAACCTCTATCTGTGGAATACTATTACCTTCCAAGTGGAATACTTTTAGAGCCACCAAATGTGTTCCACTTAGACAGGTTTCACTGTACTTGTTCAATAAATGTATACATTTCTGTATTTGCAATTCATTTTAACAAATTATTTTGAGCATGCATTTCAAAAAGAAGGAAACACACAATATTAATTTTGTACAGCAAGTTAAAATACAAAGCATTCTGTGTATGCGATTCACTTATCTTGGATAAAATGGTCTTATTGATAAGTGATAACTTAATCAACCCTGCCCCCCCCCCCCAAGGCCCATTTGATACCCTTGTACAAACCAGTGCTTCAGAGAGAAACTTGGTCTTGATGCAAGACAAACAGAAAAGGAAATATCCCAGAATGCATAAATGAACCCATGTCCATGTAAAGATGACCTTAACCTTAACCCTTTACATGAATAAAGGTTCATCTATGTATTATGGGGTATTTTCCCCTCTTACTACATCAGAAATATTTTTACAAACATACACATACCCTCTGGGGTTTCATACGCAACACGAAATTATTTCCTTTAGATTTAAGGAAATACTTGTAATAATTTCCATGTCAAAAATAAAATTTCCATTACTCCCTGTTGCTTTCATTTATTTTGCCATTTGTCACAAATTCTTATGAAACCCCTATTTCTTGAATTTTGAATAAGCAATAGCTCTGTATATAACGATACAATAGAACCTGTATTAGCTGTAAACCTCGCTAATCCGAACACATCTCAATGTGAACCCTTTTTCTCAGTAATGAATTTATTTATAACCCATCATAGACTCACATAATAAGAAAACCTTGAAATGTGAAGACCTGCTAATCCAAATACTTTCGGCAAAACCCAGGGGTGTTCGAATTAGACAGGTTTAACAGTTATCATAATGATGGTACAGGATATATACAGTCATAACATCTATACTCCCATCTATCTTCATATGTCCTTAAACATTTTGTATTCTATATATACAATAGTTGACAGGTTGAGATCAATATCAGACTGAGTGACAAGTAATGCCTGGGTCACATTTACCACAATCCATCGGCCGGTGCCTGGCCGATTGAGTGTTTTGTTCAATATTGTATTCAATTTTGAACAGAATACTCAATCGGCCAGGCGCCGTAGTGAAAATCTGAGCAATGTGACCAAGGCATTAATGAAATAATATCAAGACTGAACATTATCTTTCAAAATTACAGTATTTTTGCACACTAAAGCTTCTTCACTATTGGACCTAAGGGCATACTGAAATTATTACATGTAATAAAACTCTGGCTTTCATTTTGAGGAAAATGATCAATATTTTTGGTGTCTAGAGAAACAACTGCTAAAACATCTAAAGTCTACTAAAGTTTTAAGTGTATAAAAATAGCAAAACAATTCACATCCAAAATCACCCTCTGAAAAGGGGGCCCTTAAATAAAATTCTGATGATTTTTAAAATCAATAACAAATGTGATATTTTTGATATAACACTAAATATGCATGTATACACTATACAGTGACTATTATCTCCAAAGAATTACACTACTTAGTCTTGCGTTAAGCCTCAAGATCTTCCCACTCCCCACTCCCCCATTATCTAATTCTCTTAAGAGGAGGATGTTTGAAAGGGAAGTACAAGGGGCTAGCAAGTTTTACTACTGTCTGTATAGTACAAATCATTAAAAAATATATAAATTACATTCTCTTCTGCAAATAAAATGCAAAAATCATACTTGTGAATTACATGTAAATATATACGAGGGTTGTCCCATAAGTCTCGAAATTTTTATTCTTATTCATAGAATATTTGAGACACAATGATACAAATTTCACATTTTGTAACAGAGATATATCTCTACTATCTCTGTAAGTTTCGTAAGTTATGTATATATGCACATTTATGTCATTGAAATAATCTTAATGCATACTGTGGCAAAATTATAAGTTTTCCATTCTTGATTTTTAAGAAACATTGTTTCCATTAGCAACATCTCCGACTGTTTTAACCAAAATTATTTGTTATTTTGAGGAATATTGCATCTGTTTCTATGTTAAAATAATAATTTCAAACAATAATTTTGCCTGTTGTTTTCATTTATTTTGCCTGTGAGTAATTCTAATGAATCCCCAAAAGGTATTCCAAGTGTTTCTGGAACACCTTTCCAAGCATCAAAAGTGATTATATACAGCTATAGGAGCAAAGATAGTTATGTTATACGAGTATAATGTAATGTTAATAATTATATTCTTGCTTCAAAACTGATCTTACACAAGCTGCAACCAGTCCAAATTCTTTAAATCCTCCTATTTCAAAGATTTTTTTACATTTCTTCGAATACTTGTTTATAATCGGAACAATTAAAGTGTACATGACAAAGGATTTGGAATCTAGATTTTGCTTGGTTTAGTTCAAGTCAAAGGTTTATCAAACAAATATTGTCCACCATCTTGGATGATTCTAACTCCAGTTAATATGATCTTGATGTGGACCAATGACAAAGGCGTGATGCAAATCTACATATATTAATTGTAATTAAATGAATAAATTTTCATTTTGACTTCTTTTGAATCACTTCTCAATTTTACATACATCAAACACTGTACATGTAATTAGAATAATGCCATTTTAAAATTATGACTAGCTATCATCAACTATAACAGTATTTTATTTACAATTCTAATCTGAACTACCCATAATGCATTGGACATCTCGACCAATCACAAATCATCTATCACCGGAACTTCCTGCATATGCGTCAGCTAGCCTTCCTTTCATAACCTTTTCCCGTTCTCGAAAAAAATGGACCTGTATCTCGATAAGTCCAATAATTGCTCCAATCAGAGCCAAGATGATTGAAACTGTTGCCATGGCAAGTGAGTATCCGTAGTAACCTGTGTTTGTACTTGTACTCTTGGTAGCATCGTAGATTCGATAAGCAAATATCAGAGTACCAAGAAACATAAAATTACCTGGAAATACAAGAGTTCAAAACATTAACAAGTTCTTGAAAGTCAGGTATTTAGTTTTTATTAAAGGAATGTCTCATATTTTGAAAAAATATCATTTTTATTTGTAGTGTAAACTGAACACCACAATATTGTCATTTAACAAGTGAATGTAAGTTACATTTAAAAAAAAACTGCATTGGCCTTTAATCCCTTGGTAACTCACAATGAACAATGACAGAAAGTTGAAAAGGGAAAACAATATTTTTAGAGAAAAATAAAAGAAGATTTGTGAATGACAAAATTGAAAATTCTCTTAACCATTTTTTAAAGATGTGTAAACAAAAGCTTTGAATACAATAAAAAATAGGCATAAATTCTAGTAAGACCGCTCACAAGATATTTTTTCAGTGTTTGACTCAACATACCTCCAGCAAACCAGGCAATTGTAGACCAGAAAATAGCCACAAATTTATCCTTAATGCAGAGAGTGAGCAGCCCAACGATCATCGCAATGAGGAAACCAATCATCGCAACCGTCGTAAACACTTTAACAGCTGTCGTCCAATCTAAAATAAATGCATATATTTAATGAAGGGTCTCAATTAAACCAGTAAATATCTGATTCTGACTGGTCAAGGCCTGGTCAATAATTTTTACAATTGACTGCACGATGCAATTGCCAATTAATATTTGGAACATCACAATGACATCACAACATATCATAACAACCTTCAAGGTGACTCAAAATGATATCCCATCTACTGTAAACTTCGACTTGCAATCTCAGTTTACAATTTCAGGATACGACTCTCAGTCAACCACTGAAATCTGGATTGGTTAATTGTTCTATTAGTTAAACCTATACTAAATTAGACCACACATCTTAATTAACGCTTTTTTCTTTTAACTATAAGTTTAACATTATAGTTGTGTTTATATCACATTGTGATCTTTGTGATAAAAATGTACAATTTAAATTCAAATGCTGCCCATTGTACTTTCTGATAAGAATTTAAGAATAGGAGAATAATTATCAGAGCCTCCAGCATTGCTGCTTTGAAAGGGTAAGAGACTTAATGTAATAATAGCAGAGCACAAATACATTGAAATTAAACACAAATAGGATGAAAAGGTGTACTGTTTGTTCCTTTATTAAATAAACAATTCATTATTTGTTGTAGGTTATTTATTTCCCTGATTCAAGGCTGGTCCTATTTGAACTTCAAGCCTCAAAGTTTAATTATGACCAGCCCTGTAGCAGGTATATTTTCATTACTGTACTTCTACTTACTAAATTCGCATACATGTAGTAACAGTAACTTCAGTAACTTCTATATTTGATCAGAATCTTAATTCATTTTACAAAAACATAAATTAAATATTCAAATTGTCAAGGGAAACATTGGGATGCTTTTTGTAGTAATGCTTCCAATTTTCTTTCTCCATGAGTATGACCCTAGACTGGGTTAGTTGGATCAAACCATGGTACATTTAATAGACCATTACAACATATTGGAATTCATAAAACTTGGGAATTCTCATCTTCTTCCCTAGAAGTAAGAAATTAAATAAAAAAAGAAATAATACTAACTTTTGAAATATTGTTCTTCAGGAGCATCCCACTCATATCCCATGTCAGAACAAACCTCTGGGCCTCCACTGACGTTTAATTGTTTATGACAGAATGTCCACTTCCACACACCATATTGTCGTGTAACTTCAGTGTTGTTTGAATTGATTTTATGGATATCCACTCTCCAATGAGGTGTTGCGATGGCAATCACGGCAAATAAACTACCTAACATTTTCATAAGAATCGTCATGTGCCGCATGAAAACTTTTGCAGGTGGGCATTGTTTGGGTTGAAATACACTTGGGGGTCCATTGTTAGAATGTCCCGTGTCTGCATTATTCCGATGCGCCATACCAAATGCAGATGATCTATTTCCACTCATACCAGTGTTCTGTTCAGAATTTGTAGTTGACTGTTCAGTCACTGCATCCCTCCCAAAAGGAAATAAATTAACGTTTGTTGTGGTGGAATTCTCTGAAATTGTCTTACGTTTTTCATGTTTACGCACAGCTTTTGACTCTGCTCTACGAACACGTCCTATGAAAAACTTAGTGAAGAGATCGGGAGATGTTGGATTAGCCACAGTTATGTTTGCTGCCATGGAACGTTAAAGTGTTCCATGTTGAGAATAACATTCAGCTGAAAAAAATAATGATATCAATTAAACAATTCTAGAACATTACATTACTGTCTGTGATCTTCAGTAGCAACAACCTTAGCAACCTATCGAATTCAAATGGCGAACAAATGTAAACATAAAAGACAGGTATGTTCAGTAAAGCTGAGTTGTAAAATGTAAGGATCCTCCATCAAACGTCGATGTATTGGAATTACTGTGTTGAAATTACCAATTGAAAAAGTAGCCCCAGAACAAAGTTATACCAAACATCAAGTTTCGAGAAAGCACATTTAAAAGCAACTTGAATGTACATTTTCTTCAGACTTCTGAAAAATAGATCTTATTTTTGAGATGGATGGACTGACATAAATATTAACAAATTTACTAAAAGATGATATCTAAGTTTATATTTGCACCCTTAATCTCCTTTATTTCTTTTAAACTGTAATCCCTTTGCCTTGATGTTGCTATTTATTTTTGCAAAAAATTTGGAAGAAAAACACTGAAATTTCAAACCGGAAGTGATACTTAAACGAGTAATTGAAGCTCATTCTCACCGTATATCGAATGTAATGTAGTATATCACTTTCTCTTGTTTTATATCTTAATGAAAAACAACAGTTGGAACGATATTGTTCAATGTATCGTGGTATTTAGATGCATTTCTTGGATATTCCGACTTTTTTTAATATTTACCCTAGCCTCGATTTAGAATCTGCAGGAAATACGTCATTCAAATTTGGGAAATTCCCTTTTCATTTTGGAAAAATTGGTGAAAGGTCAGTTTCGTAGCATGTTATATTTTAGCTATTTTCAGTGGTAGTGATTGGCTGTCACGGCGAATTTTAATGAAAATATTCTCAGTTAATATCTGAAGCATGATAGGGCGTCATTTGAGAGTACAATATTTGCAGAAAAGATGGTAAAATTCCATGTGAAGTGAGGTTGAATTCTGTTGCAATTTTTGGTTGACCTTTCATCAGAATTTACCTGAGGTACTTTATGCACCCCTAATGATTGAATAAAGTATGGACAACAAAGACTGGGTTTTATTTTTTTAGTATTAACTTTACCTAATGAAATAACCAGTCAATTAACTCCGGCTAAGATGAGTTATTCGAGTATGACTTGCACTCGGAATCCTCGGGTATATTCAAGTGGAGGCTCGGGAGTGGAGGGCGAGATTGGTCCACCTAAAATAAAAATGTCACGGTGTATCGTCTTTCTGTAAATCACATTTGAAAGCCCATGACTTTGGTAAATATATACAGTCCTGTCAACCCCCAAAGATTTTCTCGCGGGACAGATTTTTTAGACCCAGTGCCCAAAAGTTGTGGGATTTTGCTGGACATCGATTTGAGGGATTTGCGTGATTGCGCAAGTAGGCCAAATTTTTTTACCAAATTCGCAGGACCATTCGAGGGACAAACACCCTAATTGCGGGACAGTTAACAGGGTAACCACCAAAGATTTCATAGAGGGACAGATTTTTTAGACAAAGTGCCCTAAATTTGCAGGATTTCGCGGGACATCCACCTAAATTTGCGGGATGTCCCGGGACATTCAAGGGATTTGCGTGATTGGGACTTAATGTAAAAGTACTAGAATCAAACTTTCAGATACTGATTAATCAAATATAATGCACTTACATTGTAACTTAAGTGAACGTCAACACAATTTCACACAATACGCATAGGAATATTATTAAACTTTATTGTAATTTATCAAAAACAAAAAACATGCTTCAGGTGGGGACAGCATCTTTTCCATTCAATCGAGGTTGGGCCATGCAGCCGAAGGTAAGCCAAACAACTGAAGGTAAACCATACAACCGAATTTTGCCGATTCAATGCTGAGCTTCTCTTTTTGACCAATTAGAGACGTCCTCTTCACATTCGTGGTACCCTCGGCCAACTTCGTTTGCAAAGAAAATCTTTGGCAATCTCCAGCTTTTCTTGAGGTATCTTCGGTTGCAAGCCAAAAGTCGACGCCCGCTTCAGGTGTGAGCACCGTAATCTAACACAAAATTCAAAAATTCTGAACAATACTTTGCACTTTTGGCGATCGTGACCAACTATGAAATGTTTACCCCCATAGTGTTATATATTAAAATGCAGGGGCGGATCTGGGAACCAATAAGGGGGGGCCCAAATTTCAGGTCAGAGATAAACATTTTAGGCTCCTAAAACCGAAAAGTGGGCCCAAATTTTGGCCCAGTAATGACCAAAAAGACCTACTTTTTGGGGCCTTGAAGTCTTTTTTTGCCCAAAATTGTTTTTGGGCCCAATTTTGTTTTCTGGGCCCACCCAAGTGGGTTGAGCCCCCAGCCCCCCCCCAGATCCGACAGTGAAATGTCCCTATTCATATAGGCATGGGCTTTCAATTGAAAGCCCATGATTCAATTGAAAGTCCATTTATTGTAACTCGCGTTTGCTAACATTTGCTCAGTTCTGAGATGAAGGCACATGCAAGACGCGTAGTAAAAAGGCCAACTTTTGAACTATTCTTATTTAACTTCTTATATAAGATAAGATAATCACAATATAGGGGATTGCAACAATTTTGAAAATTCGCAGAGGTCAAAGCCGACATTGCGGGACACGCGAATTAGCCTAATTTTGATCAAATTCGCAGGATAATCCCGCCATTCGCGAGACACTTGACAGCTCTGTATACAATTTGTATAAGAAAATAATCTTGTTTTAACTGGTTATAATAATGAGAGACATTTTATTTTAGTAATTCGGAATCAAGATGGTTGCACACTCTAAACTTTACGAAGCTCTACCTGAGGGGTTTGGCTATGTGCTATTAACAGGCGCAGGCAGTGTCTTTGTGAACATGTGGATGGCGATTAATGTGGGCAAGGCCAGGAAGAAGTATGGTGTAGAGGTAACTGGTTATATGCATATCAGGTCCGTAGCCAAGGGGGGTTCATCCAGCTTTTCACCATTTTGAGCACTTCTCAAGTGATTTTAGCCATATTTGGGCCAAAATTGTCCAAAGTGAAACCCCCTGGAAATTTTTGAAAACTGAAGCCCCCCTTGGCAAATCCTGGCTACGGGCCTGCATATAGGAGAAATAGTCCTAATTCTTTCTTATTTTAATTCTCCCACAATCATCAAGAGGTAAAATATCTCCCTGACCTCTACAACTAGATTGATAGTATGGACCTGTTTGGTTTTGATTAAAAAAGCAAATATTTCTCTACGAAATAATAAAAAATTTGAAACATATCATTTTTGTGTGACTATTTGTTAGGGCAACCAGTGCATTAATGGAAAGTTCCGATGATAACTTATAATTACAATATTTAGAATAATGAATAAGTATTTATTATACATAGGGTACTGAAGTCTCAAACACACAACCTCTATGCTATGTGGCTAGCTTGAGAGGTGACTTCTTTTTTAAATGTCTAAAAAAGGTTTAAAATGAATTATTGGAATTATTTCAGTATCCAGACCTCTACAGTAAGGACAGCAAGGAATTCAACTGCGTACAGAGAGCACACCAAAACACGTAAGTATCAACAGCACACCAAAACATGTAAAAGTAGCACACCAAAACATGTGAAAAATACCACATATAAATATGTAAAAAATAACAATACACCAAAACATGTGGAAAAATAGCACACCAAAACATGTAAAAATAGCACACCAAAGCATGTTAGTAACAACAGCACACCAAAACATGTAAGTAACAACAGCATAGAAAAACATGTAAAAATAGCACACCAAAGCATGTAAGTAATAACAGCACACCAAAACATGTAAAAATAGCAAACCAAAACATGTTAGTATCAACAGCACATCGAAACATGTAAGTAACAACAGCACACCAAAACATGTAAGTAACAACAGCACACAAAAACATGTAAGAATAGTACACCAAAGCACGTAAGTAATAACAGCACACCAAAACATGTAAAAACAGCACACCAAAACATGTAAAAAATACCACACATATGATAAATATGTAAAAAATAACAATACACCAAAACATGTGGAAAAATAGCACACCAAAACATGGAAAAATGACACACCAAAACATTAAAAAATTGTACACATGAAGATATAAGTAACAGCACACCAAAACCTATCAAAAATAGCCAGCCAGAACATGTTTTAGAGCAAATTATAAGAGATAGACATGTAAGATTTAAGAATGATACAAAAACATTAGAAACTGCGCAAAATGTTTTAAAGAACTAGCTCACCCAAAACATGCATGCAAAAATTAAATCAAAGCTGAAAACACCGATTTTTTCAATGAATTAAACTGCATGTAGTGATATGCTACTTTATGTTTCAGCTTAGAGAGCTATGCTGGCTACCTGTTCCTCCTTTCAGTCAGTGGTCTACAATATCCTGTAAGTATTCTTTGCCATTTATTACGTCAAAACCACAAGTAGTGACATATTGTTACATGGTCTCCAACTTTTTTGTGGATGGTGTTCGGCAATTTGCATTCAGCAGTTTAAGTTGGATGGTTGATGTTTATAACAAATGGTAGGTGGCGACATTTTGTATCTGAATGTCTTGTTCCTGCCTGTCATCAAGTATACTTCCATAACTGGCATTTTCCTTGTATCTGCTGTTGAGTATACTCATTCAAAACATGTGTTATTGAAAGATAGCAGTTAACAGGTGTGAATCCAGCGAAATAGACTGAGAAAAATTGAGGAAAATGATTACGTAAAAAGTGAAAGATCAGAGAATTGGTGATGGGATGTTCATGTAGGTATTTTGAGAAAATAAGACAATTTGAAGATTTGGTAGTGAATTTTCAAAGAACGAATATTGGTTAATGGGAAACCTGGACTCTGGCAGTGTGACACCCCTTTGCCTCTTCTCTACTGTATGTTGTGATGTTAATGTTTTTGTCTCTTGTAGAAAATCAGTGCCGTTGCTGGATCCACTTACTTACTGGGACGTATACTATACGCTAAGGGTTACTACACTGGAGGTTTGTGCAATATTGTTAGACTTTATTAGCTTCTAACTCAACTAGAAAACAAAGGTTTTTCAATCAAATCGTGTCATATTGTCAGGAAATGATTTATCTTTAAAATTATGTATAAAACATGGCATGGTTTTGGCACACCCTGTATGTAATACATGGCTGTTTTAATATGAAACTAATTTTCCAAATTAGGTTTCTATAAAATGTATGTGTTACCTGAGCTTTTAACAGAATGCATGTGCTTTGAGCCTGTAATGAAATGTGTTTGTCAGGCTTGTAGATTAATAATTTCAAAAATAACCAAAAATATACATAATTCACTCAGATACATTACATGTATATCTACCAAACATCAGAGGTGTAATGCCTTGATAAAAATCTGAAAATAACTTGTCACCCTGCTGAAATCTGAAAATAACATGCCACCCTGCTGAAATCTGAAAATAACATGCCACCCTGCTGAAATCTGAAAATAACTTGTCACCCTGCTGAAATCTGAAAATAACTTGTCACCCTCCTGAAATCTGAAAATAACTTGTCACCCTCCTGAAATCTGATAATAACATACCACCCTGTTGAAAATCTGAAAATAACATGTCACCCTCCTGAAATCTGAAAATAACTTGTCACCCTCCTGAAATCTGAAAATAATTTGTCACCCTGTTGAAAATCATAATAACATGCCACCCTGTTTCAATTTCAGATCCCAAAAACAGAGTCTGGGGAGGACCACTCTTGCATTTATCTGAGCTGGTGTTACTCGGAGGAGTCCTAGGATTAGCCGTACGTCAACTTGGCTGGCTTTAAAACAGGTGTTCTCAAGTGTAAGTGGCTAATGTTTTTAAATCATAACAAATGTGTCCTCTGATGAAATGTGGAGCGTCACATTTTCTGTCAAAAATGAACTTTTTTTCACAATTTATACTTATAATAAAGATAAAATAGACGGAAAAATGTTGAATTAGAATTTAGTGAAAAATTGTGAATTGTAAAATTAAATTGAAATTCATTAAATAAGGGTAATGGAATGGTTATTTTTTGGATGACTGTGTAGTTAGTAAAACTATATAAACTGACATTTTGAGCTTTTCAATGGTGTATTGAGGAAATTGCTTAATTTATTTCACCGTGATGGGGCACATTTGAAGCTGTATTATACTCAAATTAAATGTTTATTTTTCCTTACTGTAACATTTTTCATTTCAGATCAGTTGGCTAGGCAGTTATGACAGACAGCCAAAATATTCCTCAGATAGACATTTAACACTAAAATTGTAATATCATACACATCATTATCTAAGAAGATCAAGAATTCAAAGCTCATCGTGGATTATCAAATATTGCAACTATTTATGGACTTACCTTGATTATAACTTTGATGATAAACAGCCTGTGTCCAGTCCAATCATGCAAAAAACAGCTTATACAAAAACTTGTCAGCTAGCTTTATTCGTTTGTACAAAATTAATACAGACAGTGTTTTTTACTATTGTATTAATTATGTATTCAGGCCCTTTGGAAGTGTTATTATGTTTAGCAATGTCATGCAGTATGGTAAAAAATGCAATAGTTGGATGTGAAACGTATCTTATTTTCAGTTTTATTGGCCTCACTACTTATATTAGGGGTTGAGTCAAAAATCAGTATTTTTTTAAAAAAAAATTCATTATTAACCTCATTGAACATCGAAGTGGCATTATTGGTTTATCCCTCACTTAGTATTCAATGTGTTGCTATAACAAAACCAGGTTTCATATAACAAAACCAGGCATAAGTTTCATGAAAAAGTACTTGATTTTTGAGACAACCCCCGAGTTGTAAGTAATTATTGTTGTATGTGCGATTCATCATGTGTGATTGTTGTATGTAAAGATGTAGATAATTATTTCTCAGTTATGACTATAATGAGGTGAAAATTACTGTAAATATTCTGTAGAGTATCAAATGAATTCGCCACTATGGAATATGTATATCACGTGTCACCAAATAATGATTCATATGTAAGATGTTATCGTGTAATATCGAGTCCTATCAATACAGTAAAACTTGTCTATGAAACACCTCTTTTTATAGAACAGCTTTCAAAACAATTCCTTGTTCTTGTTAGGAACAGGATTTGAAACTCATAGCTGCCCGGCAATCACTTTTCACTCTTGGCAATGAAATTGGAAAAACTGGTTGTGTATTGGGCAATGAACTAAATGCCAATATGTTAAATTGGGCAATCACTTTTCACTCTTGGCAATGAAATTGGAAAAACTGATTGTGTATTGGGCAATGAACTAAATGCCAATATGTTAAATTGGGCAATCACTTTTCACTCTTGGCAATGAAATTGGAAAAACTGATTGTGTATTGGGCAATGAACTAAATGCCAATATGTTAAATTGGGCAATCACTTTTCACTCTTGGCAATGAAATTGGAAAAACTGGTTGTGTATTGGGCAATGAACTAAATGCCAATATGTTAAATTGGGCAATCACTTTTCACTCTTGGCAATGAAATTGGAAAAACTGATTGTGTATTGGGCAATGAACTAAATGCCAATATGTTAAATTGGGCAATCACTTTTCACTCTTGGCAATGAAATTGGAAAAACTGGTTGTGTATTGGGCAATGAACTAAATGCCAATATGTTAAATTGGGCAATCACTTTTCACTCTTGGCAATGAAATTGGAAAAACTGATTGTGTATTGGGCAATGAACTAAATGCCAATATGTTAAATTGCGCAATCACTTCACTCTTGGCAATGAAATTGGAAACTCTGGTTGTGCAATGAACTAAATGCCAATATGTTAAATTGGGCAATCACTTTTCACTCTTGGCAATGAAATTGGAAAAACTGGTTGTGTATTGGGCAATGAACTGAATGCGAATATGTGAAATTGGGCAATCATGCTTCGACCTTAGTTGTGAACTCTGGTAAGGAATATCTACCAACAATTTTGGTCTGTATGAAAGTTGTCTGATACATGGATTTTGCTGTGTATGGTCGGCTACTTTGGAAATTAGCTTATTTCAAGGGTTAGGCTGTTCTGTACAATACACTGACAGTCAATTTTCAAAAACCTGAATTTTAAAATGTTCACAGTTTCCAGGATCATGAACTACAAGAATAATTTTTCATACAATTTTGATTCTTAGAACAACCTATTCACCTTTCCCCAAAGTCCAAAGTGTACTAATTTGACCGCTGCGCTGATTGGTCGATGAAAATCAATGACGTCAAAGCAGGGCACATTTCGCGACAAAACTTCAATTACTATTAGATCGCCGAATGAGTGAAATAGATCTCATTATAAAATGATAACAAAACAAAGTGAAATATATTTTCTGACTATTTTGCCTTAAACTGTGTCTTAAATACACCATCCTGTAAATCAAACCATAGAAATAATTGTGATACGACTGCTAGTCTTTTAACAAAGTGAATTCAATTACGCAAACCAAAAATTGACAATTATTCAAACAATAAGACTGTATGGATTAGGAATATACATTTATCATGATTATTCAATTAAATAGTTCATTATGTTTCTAATAAAAAAAATATATGAAGAACAGTTTTAAAAGTCAGAGTCCACTTGCATTTTTCTCATCGGGTTGCCCAAATAATTTGGGATTGGTCATGTATTTTTGCAGGTCTGGTCAGATACTCTTTAAAATTATGCAGCTTTTCACCATTCTGAGCACATTTTGCATGATTTTTTGCCAAAACTGTCAAAAAGCTCCCTCTTGGTAAACCGCCGGAGTTTCTCTCTTGTAGGTCTACGTCCAAAAATATCCTAAAAGTTCTCTAAAAAGTTCGATATTTAAAAGAACGCCCATGGGCTTTTCAAGAGATAAATCTCTTAAAATAGACGATTGTCGGTAAAACAATAAGCTTACATGAATGGCCTTAACATTGTTCAATGAAATTAGTAATCACTCATGTAACCATTGTCAAATTCTTCGGCAGACATAAAAGTTTTTTTATTTATAATAAATACTCTTTATTTCTTAAAATCATAGATAAATCTTCATTGTTATTCACGGCGTAATCGCCCATAAAGGGCATTTCTACTGCCGCTTTAAGTGAATTTAAAATACAATATAATATAACATTTAGTCAAAGTCATTATTAGAGTAAAAAAAAAAATATAATTTAGATACTATCTGTTTTTCTACCTGTCTGTACCCCCGTTGGTGCCCTGAATTTGAATTACTATATATCGATTATTTAATGAAATTCAAAACAGCCTTAAAGATTTTGGAATTGTTTTCATTTGTCAGATCTTTGTCGCCAAAAATTAGAAAAATTTGTCTTATTTTTTAATGTTTTGTATTTAGTAACATCTAAGTTTAGAGGTTGAAATTGTAGGTTCCACGGGGTACCATCGAATACTTTTGGCAACGTACCGGAGAACGACATTTTACTAAGAAATGGCAATAATTTAGCACAATATATTTTTTAACTAGAGTTCTATTTTGATTTTGACAAAAGTAAGTATTCCATGCAATAACTATTTCATTCATGAGTTTGTAGGAATTCTGTTGGAACCCAGTTCTGATCAAGTTCGAAGTTATTGAAATCGGCGCAGACGGACTTTACTCCGAAAGATGGATTTTCGATTATAACTTTTCACAACATTTAAGTATAGACTTTTGAAAAAAGTACAGAATAGTCCTTATACTTTTGAATAATTCTGTTATTTCTGATTCACACGACTCTGATTTGTTTAATTAAAAAAAAAGTTTTAAAAATATTACTTAGGAACGTAACCGGAGCTGGGAACGTAACCGGAGCAGATCAGTTGAATTATTTAATCAAAAAAATTAAAATATATGATTTATAGCACATATACTAATTTAAAAACATACGGGATTGTTCGAATGCGTATTTATTAATATATATGCTTTAAATCATATATTTTATTTTTTTAAATTATATAATTCAACTGATCTGCTCCGGTTACGTTCCCAGCTCCGGTTACGTTCCTAAGTAATATTTTTAAAACTTTTTTCTTAATTAAACAAATCAGAGTCGTGTGAATCAGAAATAACAAAATTATTTAATAGTATAAGGACTATTCTGTACTTTTTTCAAAAGTCTATACTTAAATGTTGTAAAAAGTTATAATCGAAAAACCATCTTTCGGAGTAAAGTCCGACTGCGCCGATTTCAATAACTTCGTACTTGATCAGAACTGGGTTCCAACAGAATTCCTACAAACTCATGAATGAAATAGCCATTGCATTGAATACTTACTTTTGTCAAAATCAAAGTAGAACTCTATTTAAAAAATATATTGTGCTAAATTATTGCCATTTCTTAGTAAAATGTCGTTCTCCGGTACGTTGCCAAAATTATTCGATGGTACCCCGTGGGTTCGGTGTTTTTGGTGAGGTGATCGTTTAGTTGTTTTTTAAAAAGTGAGAAGCTGTTCGTTTCCTTGTGGTCTCTAGGAAGACGGTTCCACAAGGTTATCATTGAGCAAACTGTTCCCGTTTCCATTTTTTACTAATTGAGGCTGGTAATTTGTAGTCGTTGGTTGTTCTAAGAACTCGCGTCTGAGGTGATTTATATCGTTCGAAAATCCGTTTAACGTAAGATGGTGCCGAATTGTTATGAATATAAAGTTATGAACATAAAAGTAACATTGTCATGTGGTATATTAAGTGGCTGAACGTAAGTGAAAGTAACGCTTTGGCCCAGATTTGAGAGTCGAATACTTTTTTTTCAAGGTTAAAAATATTACACAAACTTAAGATTTTGACATTTTGACAGTCAAGAACAAAACATGGGGTTTTGTACAGTCGGCCTTATTTGAAAATGTACAGGAAACATAGGACTTTTCACATCAATATTTCTCTATTCATTTGATTCCCCAGAACAATATATAAAGAAGGGGGAATATAGACGGGAGTATAATTAATTAAATTCCATTACATTTGTCATAAATATTATTACTACTCAACATAATTTGACAATAAAATTAACCCGTTTCTGTCACGATTCCCATTGACTTGTAATGTGTTAGGATTTTCCCGCGAAAATCTGCCCTACTCTGACGTCAGAGATTTCAGATTTGCTAATTATAATATTCATGAGCTGACTTTGGGGAAAGGTGAATAAAATAGCATAATATTTGTAGTATTTTTCTATTGTTTTGAATGTATTTCTAATAGAAATAAATAATATCTATATATACAGGACCAATTCATAATTTTGTGTTGAGTGTTATGTCAGCATAAAGTGGTGACATAAATATGTTAAATAAATAGTGACCTCTATTGGTGAACTCAGAAATCCTGGCATATAGGCAAGATGATGTTACTTACAGCAGTGGAGTTGTGTTGGAAATAAAGCTAAAGGCCCTGTGTAAAGTTTGGAAATATATTTTTATCATTCATTATCTATTTCTCGTGTTTTTAAAACTTATTCAAAAAGATTTTTGAAAAATAGATGCTCACACCAATCAACATGAGACCACAATATAGCACTTAAAAAAGAGCTATAAAAACAAACAAACAACTTGTAACTCAATTTTCAAAATATATTTGTATTGCAATACATTATTCTTCACATTTCGGACAATTAATAACAATACCTTTCATTCAATAAACCTGTTCAAATTAAATATTAAATGCTAGTTAATTCAAGAAATGCTTTTTTAATAAATATGAAGACAGACAGTGTAACATGAAGCCCCCATAAAGTTTTTGCTAATGCACCAATAAAATGTGCGAAAGTTGGTATATTTTTTACAGAACAAATAAGCAAACATTTCATTCGTTTTAACAATGCAGATGCAGATTGGGAAAAATTCAGATATTCAATAAAATTGGAAATATATTTTCATAAAATTAATTATTGTGTAAAGGACATAACAATGAATGAATGCAGGTTATTAACAGAAGAATGGGATGAATTTCTACAATATGCAGAATGCTAGAATTTCTTCATAAACAATTCAAAAACCATATTTTTTAAGGATTAATAGCTATAATTCGGATCCTTAATAACTCAAGATACTTGAAATTAATTATACTTGAATGGTTAGGGGAGAGGGGGATATTAGACCTGGTTTCTTTTCATGGTAGATCATGACTTGGGATAGTTGGGGTTTGTTTTCTGTGTATGACTGGTGTACTCGTAGATGTTTTCTTGTTATATTCTGTTTTTGGTCCTTTCCCTTTATATCTTGTGCGTACATATTCAATTCAATTCATACCTTGTTACGCTGCTTGCACTTAAAAGGCAAGGAATTTTTTTCAAGGTTCAATATTTTCAGAAAATATGGTGTGCACCAAAGTTTATTAAGAATACAAGTAACAGATTATCATTAACTGAAAAACAGTTTGGGTTTCCTTCGAATCAGAATTACAGCCACTGCCCTTTAACACTGGTATCACATACAAAATGCATATAGGTTCAACAAAAATGAAGCAACATATTATATAATTGTATAAAAACCACACTATAATGCCATACTTTCATAATCTCATGCTCTTCAAAAATTGAATCTTCCTAGAAAGTAACGAGGAAAGTTCGCGTGCTGATTGGTTAAAACTAACTTCAACTTTTGTCCATATTGACTGCTGAATCTGCGAATCAGTCATCTCCTTTTTATCGTGATCGTGACAACAATTCTCCGTGTCACATTTTGTTTCCTTATTTGATTTCCCTACACTGGTTTCATTTGAGTTCGTTTTTCCGTCATTGATTTGAGTTTGGGTTTTGCTATTAATGGCTGCCTTTGTGGTATTATCAGATTCAGGGTTTTTATTTTCCACTTCCGTGATTTGTTCATGAGCTTGTGCATCCGAGTTTTCTATTGCGTTATTTGTTGGTTTTGTTTCATTGCTTGCATCAATGTTCTCAGTTTTGGTTACTGCTGTTGTGCCATCAGTATTTGATGAAGCCTCACCCTGAAAAATGAGAAATGAGAGTTAAATAGTGAAACTTCAAAACAAGCAATCACCATGACAAAATATCACCACCTGGTTGTAATTACAAAAGTGTAACAGTTGTTATGGATGTGCAAATTGAACACCAATGCAGACCACCAGTCAAATAATATTAACAGAATTAACTAGTGTTACAAAAACATTACAGTTGAAGCTCAGACACAAAATAATTTTCAAATTATGATTTTTCATAGCGCGGTTATGAACATAGTTCAATTTACAATCAAATACCAAGTGGGAATGAATGAAATGAGTCAAAGTGTGAGCCAATGAAATACAAAGTGTGAACCAATGGAATACAAAGTTTGAACCAATGGAATACAAAGTTTGAACCAATGGAATACAAAGTTTGAACCCAAAAAATACAAAGTGTGAACCAATGCAATGAAATAACTAGAAAAACAGCAACTCCACGGAGTAGCAAATCCCACCGAACAAAACATGTTTTGATAAAAAAAATTGAGCCAAATTCATCCACTGGTATTTGAATTATCAAAGATTATGTCTTTATGAAACATGGTTGCCATTTTGAAATTCAGCTGTCATCTTTAGATTTCTTCTTTAGCAGAGAATGTCCGTCCAATGGTATCTGGGTTATTAAAGATTACTTTTTTAATGAAAAATGGCAGCTATTTTGAAATTCAGCTATCGCCTTTGAAATTTCTTCTGAAGGAGATCTCCCTTTTCCCTAAACATCAGCATATAAAATTGGAACCAAATCCATCCACTAGTATTTGAGTTATCATTAATTACGTTTTTATACGAAAAATGGCGGCCATTTTGAAATTCAGTGGCCATCTTGAAAATTTATTTTTGAGCAGAACTTCTTTGTCTCTAGGCATCAGCATATAGAATTTGAACCAAATCCGTCAACTGGTATTTGAGTTATCAAAGATAATGTTTTTTTATGAAAAATGGCCGCCATTTTGAAATGATTTAGCTGCCATCTTGAAAATCCTTTCTTGAGCAGAGCTCCTATGTCCGTAGGCATCAGCATCTAAAATTTAAACCAAATCCATTCAATGGTATTTGAGTTATCAAAGATAACGTTTTTTTACGAAAAATGGCCGCCATTTTGAAATTTAGCTGCCATTTGGAAAATCCTTTCTCGAGCAGAGTTCCTATGTCCCTAGGCATCAGCATCTAAGATTTGAATCAAATCCATTCAATGGTCTTTGAGTTATCAAAGATAACGTTTTTTTTATGAAAAATGGCCGCTATTTTGAAATTTAGCTGCCATCTTGAAAATCCTTTCTCGAGCAGAGTTCCTATGTCCCTAGGCATCAGCATCTAAGATTTGAATCAAATCCATTCAATGGTCTTTGAGTTATCAAAGATAACATTTTTTACGAAAAATGGCCGCCATTTTGAAATTTGGTGGCCACTAGTATTTGAGTTATTAAAGATTATATTTTTTCCGAAAAATGGCCGCCATTTTGAATTCAGCGGCCATATTGAAAATTCCTTCTCGAGCAGAGGTCCTACATCCATAAGGCATAAGCCTATAAAATTTGAATGAAATCCGTCAACCGGTATTTGAGTTATTGCCCGGACACACGAACGGACGGACGGACGGCTTTTCTATATCCCCCTCGAACTTGGGTGGGATAACAAGGGAGAACCAATGAAATATAAAGTGTGAACCAATGAAATACAAAGTGTGAACCAATGAAATTCCAAGGGAGAACCAATAAAATACAAAGTTTGAACCAATGAAATACAAAGTGTGAACCAATGAAATACAAAGTGAGAACCAATGAAATACAAAGTGTGAACCAATGAAATACAAAATGTGAACCAATAAAATACAAAGTGTAAACCAATGAAATACCAAGGGAAAACCAATGAAATACAAAGTGTGAACCAATGAAATACAAAATGTGAACCAATAAAATACAAAGTGTAAACCAATGAAATACCAAGGGAAAACCAATGAAATACAAAGTGTGAACCAATGAAATACAAAATGTGAACCAATAAAATACAAAGTGTAAACCAATGAAATACCAAGGGAAAACCAATGAAATACAAAGTGTGAACCAATGAAATACCTACCTCTCCTGTATTATCCTTCAGGCTCAGTACAGTGATGCCAAAATGTGTGGAAATCATCCCTGCACAATCTGTGATGTCATTAACTAATTTACATAAATCTTCGCCTCGCTTTGTGATGTCATCGATCAACTTCGTAAAATTTGCCAGTGTTGGAGGCTAAAAAGTGGAATAATATACAGTTGGTTTCTTGAATAATTTATATTTCACACACAGCTGACACATTATAGTGTGAGAAATACAGGGCGTCCATTACGTGTCTAAATTTCCACAGACTGTATTGTAATTGTAAAGAGACATTATTGACACCACTTTTAAAATACTTGTACACTTTTTGATTTGTCATGCTCTATTGCATATAATGTTAAAACAGTATGATCATTTACAGAACACAATTTGGTTACATTCTATGTTATGAGAAGAATTAACTCACAATATATTCATTTTGTGAACCAAATTAATGAAATGTAAAATGTAAGAAAGTACTGGTTAATTTACAGTAATATAACTGAAACACTGACTGATCTGAGTGATGACTCTAGCTAGATGATCAAACGAAGGAATTATGGGATTGTCTATCTTTCTTTAATACTCACCAATGGAGGTGCCTCTGCCTTCTTTTTCTTGCTTTTCTTTGAGACGGGGGTTTTGTGTGGTTTGAGTATCTCATATACACCACTCAGAAGCAGACAGACATAGCTGAGAGTCTGGAAAAACACATTTTTACATTATTTCTTTAATTTGAGTTTATAACTCAGTTATGAATGCAAAAAAACAAAATATAATATAATAGACCTTTCCAATAACACTGGCATCTTTTTCTACACAAGTCACAGGTCTTGACAAGATCTCAATGTACTTTGAGCATTTAAGGATCTGCAGAGCTGATCAAGTCAATCTGCTAAACAACCAGTCACCATTTCTTGTTGGTAACACAATACATGCAAAATATTACCACTTATGGTGGTGAAATTATAAACTGACACACTGTCTAATCATCATTAAACTTCAATGAATCTCAGTCAAGTCATTTTTTCAAGAACAGTTGGAAGCATGTTCGATGCTAGACATTAATTAATAAGTTTAAAAACAAGACTAGCTTTTACGTACCTCTATAACATGTACTAGGTGATCCAATACTTCTGGGTGACAATGTATTTTTTCCTTCACAGTACTAATCAGGGGAGATGAGCAGAGTTTTACAACACCTGAAAAATACAAGTTTCTAATTCACAAAATTGAGTAAAATGTGCCTCTGTGGCTACATATTGTCATCCTTTGGGGGCAAATTGTGGTTCAAAGTAGGGGCCAATTGAAATAATACATCATTTCATTATACAGATATTCTGCAGGCACACAAACTTTAAATAACTTGAATATAGGTGGCGCTTATAAAGACAGATCATTCTGCGTTTTCTTGCAAATTCAAGGTAATGCAAAGCTAATAATTTTACGGTGATAAATTGAGAGTGCTTTGACTCCGGAGTAAAAACTTGAATCCTCAGAATCCTTGTTTTCCTTTCATTTTTTATACTCAATTGAGTGTTCAAAGAATTCTATAAACATCAGCTTATTCAGAAAACTCACAATCTAATTTTGTGCAGATATCAGCATGAATAGTTTCCTCTTTTTCCTGATCCCTCGTGTCCATTCCCTCGTCTGTAAGTTTGTATGTGTACAACACAAGGACACTAACATCTGATATTAAGCTGTGTAACCCTAGCTTGAGGAACTCATGTAGTCTGGTTGAACTTGGACCTTGGAGAGGATACTGAAAAAAAAAATTTAAATGCCAAGTTAAATGGTTATAAAAGTGAACAATTTGTTACAGATAGCAAACACTCGGGTCTAAAAATCTGTGGCAATAACACTTCTTGGGAGTTAAAAAATAATATAACAGTACTATTTGAACAATATGTCACCATTAATTGCTAGTTACAAAACAATTGTACTCCATAGTTACATCGTTACTCCATATACAGTGAAACCTGTAAAGTGGAACACCTCTAGAAGATGAACACCCAGGGTTCTCACTAGGCTTTTAGACTCCGGAGATTCTCTGGAGTCTAATGTCTTAAAACCCTCTTGCTCCAGAGTATAATAGCTTTTCCGGAGTCTAAAGCATTTTTTCCGGAGTCTAATTATACGTTTTTGTCACATTATTTGCGATAAAACTCTTGAGAAAATACATAAAACTGGATACAAACAAGGAATAGGAAGTCAGAAACCTTTTAGAAATAAATATTGGGATTAAAAGCAAGATAATCTTAGAAGTATGTTGAAAAGTATACTAATAGGATATCTCTGATCTCACATGGGGGAGAAGTAGTCGCGATACCGCGAAAAAAGTAGTCACAATACCGCTAAAAAACGGGGTCTAAAAATTTTCTGGTGAGAACCATGACACTTATGTAAGTGTAACATTACTCAAAGTCCCAAGACCAACTGACTTAATGTTAAATAAACCTCTATAAGTGGAACACCTTCCAAGTAGAACACTTTATACAGGTACCAAAGGTATTCCACTTAGACAGGTTTTACTGTGCTATTGTATCATAGTGCTCACTCAAAGTACATAAACCAATCACATCAAATAAATTAATTCTTTACATACCTTTGTAGAATCTGGAAAAATCTTCATACAGTCATTCAGGTGGCCATCCATTTGACTGATAATGTTCTGTAATTGGTCAATACTGGTCACATGGTTTGTGACATCACCATTATTTGTTGTGGAGTGTTTGGCGGTAGATGGCTGAGGTGGTTGAAGAGACATACAGCACACGATGAGTTGTAGAAGTAAGCTCCTATACTTCAACCAGGCATACTGAAATAATATGAGGTCATAATATACTTATTGTTGGACCAATTATCTAGATGATCATGCCACATATTTATATTGGCTATGATTTCATCCTAAAAGTCTCAATACAGTCTTATATTCTAAATTATATTAAATTGCCAAGTGACTATTAGAACTATAAATGGCTAAATTGATATTTTGGGATAAAGTGACATCATTTAAGTTGAAAACATTTATCAATGGAACACTTTAGAAAGTCCTGTTACCCATTTACCTAACACATACATAAAATGAGCCTCTATAAAAAGAACAAAACTTAAAATGGAACACTTGAAAGCCCATTACCCTTAATATAAAAATGGAACCTCCTTAAGAGGAATAAGAGAGGTCTAAAAGGCGTTCTTCTTTGACAGCTTTTATTGCATTGATAGGAAAATACAACATAACTATCCTATGGAACACCTCTGTCTGAAAGTCCCATTACCCATTAACTTAATATGAAACAAACTTTTATGGAAAGGTTCCAAAGGTGTTCCATTTTCTACACCTACCTCTTCCTTTAACGACAATGCCTTTTCCAACTCAGAAAGCTGTTTGCCCTTTGGGTCCCATGTGATCATAGTGTCAAAGTCTCTATTGCCACAAAGAGTGTCTATTTACATACACTTCACTCCACCTACCTCTTCCTTTAATGACAATGCCTTTTCCAACTCAGAAAGCTGCTTGCCCTTTGGGTCCCATGTGATCATAGTGTCAAAGTCTCTATTGCCACAAAGAGTGTCTATTTACATACACTTCACTCCACCTACCTCTTCCTTTAATGACAATGCCTTTTCCAACTCAGAAAGCTGCTTGCCCTTTGGGTCCCATGTGATCATAGTGTCAAAGTCTCTATTGCCACAAAGAGTGTCTATTTACATACACTTCACTCCACCTACCTCTTCCTTTAATGACAATGCCTTTTCCAACTCAGAAAGCTGCTTGCCCTTTGGGTCCCATGTGATCATAGTGTCAAAGTCTCTATTGCCATAAAGAGTGTCTATTTACATACACTTCACTCCACCTACCTCTTCCTTTAATGACAATGCCTTTTCCAACTCAGAAAGCTGCTTGCCCTCTGGGTCCCATGTGATCATAGTAGGTAGTAAGCTAGCACCCAAAAATGTATTAGTTCGTGAACAAATTGAAATTACTTGTTTCTTATGTATTTTTATGTGATACTTCAGAAAATGTTTGTCTGACGCGCCGTATCCGGGGCGAAAGTTGTCAAATTGGCGTTTTCGACCCTAAAATGGAAAATTACAGGGGGTACTTTATCATCATAGAATAAATCATTCAGTTGGTCTTAAATCATCATAATAATTTTATGGGGAGTTGATTGGATCATGCTGAGGTAGTATGTTAAGTTTCAATCACCTGCCACTCATGGTTGTCATGGAAACCACAATTTTCATTGAAAAATCCTTAATTTTGGCAAAACCTGTACAGGTACATAATATAGAATGTGGATTTTTTTTCAAATCAACAGATATAAGAATATTTTAGCACACCCAAAATTGCCAGGGAAGTTCAAGCATTTGTTTAAGCATAAAGGATATTGCAATTTATATAATTGGTAAGTGTCAAAGACCATACTACTACATAAGTGATCAAAAGTGGGCGTCGCCCCCATATTAGTAAATGAATACCATTCTCTGAAAATACAGAGTTTAACTTGACTTTTGAGATACATTTATATTGAAGTTCTTTGAATATACTTAATATCATGCATTTCTGGTAAATATAATGTACCAGTACATCTAAGTGTAAAAGTTGTTGCATGGGGAGAGGAAGGGGGGGGTGGTAGTAACAGAATTTGGATGGGGCAGAGCTAATCAGCCTTGGTATAATTCTGATTGATATAGTTCTGGATTTTCAAAGGTTACATCTTCTGGGTCTTCTTCATTTTCATTTCAATAGGGCCTATATGGGTACTACATTTTACATGATTGGTGCCAAAGACCATACCATTACATAGGTGATCAAAAGTAGGCAGCATCACCTTCATAATAGTAGATGATTACCAATGCAGGGTTTAAGTAGAATTTTCGAGATATATATATATTTATCATTTATACTTCTTTGATTATATACTTAATATCAACCATTTCAGGTAAATAATGTACATCTCACTGGTGTCAGTTGAGAAGATATTTATAGTTTTCAATGACTTAAGCTACTTTATAGTTGATGTAATACTTTGATATTTGAACTAAACCAGGCTTATATGGCATATACCATCGCTCGATACTGACCAGTGACACCTGAGTTTTATAGTTATTGCATGAGAGGCAGGTTGAGAGAGGGGGGGGGGGTGGGCTAGTAATAGAAACTGGAAGGGGGCAGCGCTAATCAGCTTCAAGTATAAATCTCATAATACTTCGTTCTGGATTTACTAAGGAACATGTACATCTTCTAGGTCTTCTTAATATTCATCTCAATATATAGGATATTACAATAAACATGATAGGTTAGTGTCCAAGACCAAACAATTACATAAGTGATCAAAAGTGGGAATCATCCCAACAACAGTATATGGTTCATTCTCTACAAACAGAGGTCAACTTGAGTTTTAAGATCATCCAGTGATCTCCCCAGGATTTCTTCTCAGGTGGGTACCAAATTTTCATTTTCACAATTCAGACCAAAATTGGTCAAAATATGCCAATTTTTCATGATTTTCTCACTTTCATGTGGGTGCATATGGATTTTCAGGTGGGTGCAAACATATTTTCAAAATCTAAGGTGGGTGCTGCACCCACTTGCTTATGCTCGGAAGATCACTGTCATCTATACTTCAATTATTTAAGAAATATAGACTGAAGAGCAGGTGTTATATTGACAAATATACTCCACATGGCTAGGCAAGGGAGTGAGGGGTTCGAAAGCTTTTGTACCTAGCCCTAAGGGGTCATTGTCAATATCACGCCTGCTCTGAGGTATATATTACAATTCAAACATGAAAACTCCCCAAAATTTTTCGAATATTCAAATTATGGTCTGCCATTACTACAGCCCTCTTGATGTCACATATTGCTCGTATTACCAAGGGTAGTGTTAACGAATATACCCTGGGTAAAATATTGACTTTGTTCACAGTTCATAGAAGGCGTGAATACAGTCATGTTCGAATATAATTTACATAAAACATTTCTCATAAATACGTTTAGTAGTATAGTTTTTACGTGGGGTGAGGGTGGGGAAGTGGTTACAGACCTCTCCCTCCCAATTATTCTGTTACTACTCCCATCTAGGGCCTGGCATATTATATGCAGCCTTCATACCTTCGCTAGATTAAGTAAGTGCCATGCTTTGAAGGGGCAGGATAGCACATTTTAAAAAGATGGAGCACCATATTGTGTCCCAGCTATATGACTCTCAAATCTGCAAGTGTTTAGTGGTATTTTCTCTTAAGAGATTGTTGATATATCAATATCATGCAATAAAACAAAAGAACGAAAATGATCAGATTATGAGAAGGCTCATCTATAGTTGTTATTGTATTGTCATCACTACACATTCTGATACTCATAGCATCTTTCTGTCTCACCTGAAGGGCTGGGAAGAAATAAAATGTCATGGTTTATCATGATGATCACTGGAAAGGATATGGCATTTCCCACCTGCTACACAGTAGATTTTTTCTTGGCATATTCTGGTCTTTATCATTCAATTAAGTGTAACTGGTATAGTTGCTTCTTATTTGCATCCTTATTCATGAACTCATTCTAATCTTAAGGGACTCATGTTTTTCTACATTTGATAAGGTGATGTGCCACCACCCTCTTCTTCTCCTATCAGGTTTGTTTATAGAATTTTGGATTTAATTATCACATAATCACTCTGCTGTTAGAAGTATCTTGAAAAACATGTATTTTCTGCCAGCTCCAGAAACAAAACAACCCATCAGAGAATCCATGAAATTTAGTATATTTCCTTAGGGCCCATATGGGCCCAGAGAGTAATATTGTCACAAGGAATAAACACATTTTCAATCCATCTCTCATGTGCATTCTAAAGATTACATATCTTTCATTTCATTTATTTATTCCTTCAATCAATGTGTTAGGATAAGCACAGAATACAGCAAAGTGTAGTGCTGCCATGCTGAACAAACAAAAGAAGACTGATTAATATAAAAAACATTTATGTTAAGCCACAATGTCTTACACCAGCAAAACCAGATAAACCAATTGAAATAGAAGTTTAGACCCCATACTAAAACAATCAAAGACTATGAAGGAACTGAGATCAGTCTTCTTCCACCTTGTCAAGAGCTTACTACAAAGCACTTATGCATATGGCCCATATTGTAAACCCTGACATTCCAGCAGGACATGGGTATTGACTGGTATTCTCATACAAATGATTGTTGATATAGCACCAGGAGATGAATCAGAAAGACTCCAGAAGATGTATCTTATGAAATCCAGAACTCTGAAGATGAAATTGATACTAAATGCTGACTTGTTCCCCCCACACCTCCAAGTTCTGTTACTACCCCCCTCCCATATAACTATATACAGTATATTGAGATAACTAAGAAGACCCAGAAAATACCCAATTCTGTTACTAACCCAACCCCTCCTCATGCAATAACCATTGCTCTGAGTTGTACATTATTTACCAGAAAAAAATATAAAGTATAATCAAAGAAGTCCAATGTAAATGTATCTCAAGTCAAGTTTATCTCTGGTTTTATAGAGAATAGCAATCATCTACTCTAGTATGGGGGCGACGCCCAGTTTTGATTACTTGTGTAATTGTATGTTCTTTGACACTGACCAATCATGTAAGTTGTAATATCCCATATATTGAGATGAATATGAAGAAGACCCAGAAGATGTACCCCATGAAATCCAGATATACCCAATTCTGTTACTAACCCAACCCCTCCTCATGCAATAACCATTGCTCTGAGTTGTACATTATTTACCAGAAAAAAATATAAAGTATAATCAAAGAAGTCCAATGTAAATGTATCTCAAGTCAAGTTTATCTCTGGTTTTATAGAGAATAGCAATCATCTACTCTAGTATGGGGGCGACGCCCACTTTTGATCACTCATGTAATTGTATGTTCTTTGACACTGACCAATCATGTAAATTGCAATATCCTTTATATTTAAACAAATGTTTGAACTGTACTGGTTATTTTGAGTGTGCTAAAATGTGTTGATATGTGTGGATTCAAAAAATAATCCATATTCTACATGATGTACATGTTCAGGTTTTGCAAAATTAAGGATATTTTGAACGAAAATTGTGGTTTCCATGACAACCATGAGTGACAGAGCATTGAAATTTTACATACTACCTTAGCATGATCCAATCAACTCCCCATAAAATTATTATGATGATTGAAGACTAACAGAATGATTTATTCAGTGATGATAAAGTACCCCCTGTAATTTTCCATTTTAGGGTCGAAAATGCCAATTTGACAACTTTCGCCCCGGATATGGCGCGTCAGACAAACATTTTCTGAAGTATCACATAAAAATACATAAGAAGCAAGTAATTTCAATTTGTTCACGAACTAATACATTTTTGGGTGCTAGCTTACTACCTATAGTGTCAAAGTCTCTATTGCCACAAAGAGTGTCTATTTACATACACTTCACTCCACCTACCTCTTCCTTTAATGACAATGCCTTTTCCAACTCAGAAAGCTGCTTGCCCTCTGGGTCCCATGTGATCATAGTGTCAAAGTCTCTATTGTCACAAAGAGTGTCAATTTCTACAGCAGGTTCAGACAATAAGGAAACATCGAGGCCAAGAGCATCTAACACTTCTGACGCATTCTTAGAGCTGAAAGAGAAGATATCAAATGAAAAGGCATCACAGAAGTATGATGTAGGTTACACAAATTGCAAAATGTGATTTGTTACAGATGCCGATCACCAAGTACCAATCGTAGTATAATTATCTTCGAGAATCTCTAATTCCTTCAAACATGGTAAAATGTACTTACTTGATAGTGTCCAATGCTAAAATGACTAGAGATCTCTCCACTTTTGCGCAGGCATACTGTAATGACTTTTCCAGCTTTTCACGGAACTTGGTGAATTCATGTATCTGAAAAATGAAGACAATTCAATTGTATTGCAATAAGTCTCTCACCATTCCCACTCTCAGCATACTGTAGATTGAGTTAATTTGGCACTACTAAATTTGGCGATTTTGCCATTTTTGGCGTATTGACGGTTATTTAATTTGACAAAAAGTGAGGGAGTGAGTCATTGCTCTAACGCCACAAGTTTCATAAATTGGTAACAAATAGGTAAGAAGAAAGCTTCAAAATGGTTTTATTACTTGAATACACAGAACAAATTCTCTGGAAAATTCCAGGGAATTTCCAAACTTTGGCTAAAGTTGTAAATTGGTGTTTTTTTCTATTTCGCCAAATTCTTAAAAATAAAGCGGGCACCATATGAACCCAATCTACAGAATGTAAAGACAGTGGCATCTGGTTGCCATAGAAACTTATGTTCTTTGTGGAGAATTCATGGATTATATGATAAATGGCTAATGTTCCTTAAAAAACATACAGCTCATATAGAAATGTCAAGGCACAATACCAAGGTGTGTAGCATAGCAATAGGAATGAAGTCATGGAAAATGTGTTTTTTAGATGTACATCCTACTTACCTTAGAGAATGATCCATACTTGTAAGAACCTATTATGTATTCAGAGGTCTGAAAAATACAATACTTTTTATTACCTTTTATTCAGAAAGAAGTGTGAAAGTAATCACATTTAAATATAAAATCATTCTCGGACAGTTAAAGTGCAATATTGTTCAATCCACTTTACCTTCTCATGGTAAAACACTTTTTGGCATTTTATATGAAATCAAGTTTAATCATTTCACAGCTACTAGATTTCACTACGAACTAATCCATAAGTTAAAATGTTCTAAAGATTTATTCCTAGATATACAAAGTGTCGTTTTGTATTTTTAATTTTAGATGACAATTGAAATTTTTTACTTACATCTTTAAAATTGCTACTGAAGAATCTAAGCATGGTGGAGAACATTGCGAGTGCTGACTGCATATGGCCGAGCCTAGTGACGTGGTTGCTAACTATATACCTACAGATATTAAAACGTTTATCTTAATGGAGGTTTGAATATGGGCTTTATCCCCGATGGAATATAATTTTGAGAACATGTTAAAATAATTTAACATTTCATTCTCTCTACAGTATCAGTATTGAAGATTTTGTAGTATTTTTGGTGACTTCAGACTTATCCCTGTCATTTTGTATGTAATGTTAAGTCAATATTAAGGTACCTATGATTGACAGTTATTTTGATCACAATGTAACTTACCCTAGTGTATCATTCTGTATATACTTTATATCCATGCTATCATATAGACAGGGACATGGACCAAATGCACCTGAAATAATAAAAGGAAGAAATTCATCAAAAGAGTCTGTGGATTTCAACATTAGTTTATTGTGGTCCTGCTATAAATCTTTGGATATAGTCATTTTTATAGCTGAGGATGTTCTGCTAGTGTACCTGAGATTGATCACACTTTTACAAAATTACATTCTCATTCAACACTGGGGCAATTAAATTAGTTTTACTTTTAATGCAGTCTATAGAGTTGTCTTGGGTCGGTGTTGATTGTCTTGAGTCCAAGTTGTCTTGGTCTGGGTTTCTTGGGACTCAATTGTCTTGGGTCTGGGTTTCTTGGCACTCAATTGTCTTGGGTCTATTTGTCTTGAGTTCAAGTTGTCTTGGTCTGGGATTCTTGGCACTAAATTGTCTTGGGTCTATTTGTCTTGGGTTCAAGTTGTCTTGGTCTGGGTTTCTTGGCACTAAATTGCCTTGGGTCTATTTGTCTTGAGTTCAAGTTGTTTTGGTCTGAGTCTGCTCCGGTCTGAGTTGTCCAGTGTTAAAAAATCATTCAAAACTGAGCTGACTAAAATACCTCAATTAGTCTTGTATATAGACCCTGTAGTAGAGATATATATACAGAACAGCAGAGAGAATGAAGCAATAAAGACCTTTGATGCAAGACTATCTATCCATGAAATAGCACTTACCTACAGTACTGTAGAGTTTAATCAACAGCAGTTTGAACTGGAAGTTTGAGACAGAATTGAAAAGGCCTTTCTCTAGTAAGAGTATCATCTCCCAAAGTACATCCTGATCCCCTACAAACAAAGAATGATTTGTCGTACATACAACTGATGAAAACTTGATTTCACTTTTTATGCCAAAATGTTGAAGTTAATGACATTTTTCAGATGTTGCAAGACAGAGATGTTAGTTTGAATATGTATCAAATTGTAATTTTTTGCTGTGCAGGCTATATTCAATGTTCTCACAAGATGAGAAAATACCCAGAATCCATAGAGGAACCAATCTCCATGTGATCTTTACATGGAAATTCTGGGGTATTCCCCTCTAATTCTCACATAGATATAACTGATGCTTAATATTTACCCTACTAAGCTTGTATTCGCGAATGTAACTAATGCCTGTCTACTTCCGGATTAATCTACTATTTTATGAGTAACTCATTTAAATATGAATAGTACCTGCCACTATTCAATTCATATTTTAAATGAGTTGGCCATAAAATAGTGGGTTAATAAGGTAGCTGGCAGGCGTTAGTTGCATTCACGAATACAAGGTAAACCCCAAAGAAGTCCATGCTTTGTGTACAACCTGTGCTTATATATGAATAAGATGTAGAGCTAGAATCATGAATTCTGGAGTATTCCCCTCTAATTCTCACATAGATAAAACTAGTGTTTACTGTTTACCCTACTACCCCCCTCTCCCCTCAAGAACTCCATGGAAATGGTTTGTATACTAACCTGTGCTTATATAAACATCATACATAAGATGTAAAGCTAGAAGCAGGTAGTTATCACTGAACTGGAGATCTGTGGATATCAATTCCTTTCCTGAAATATAGAGGGCTCTCATTACAACTCAACCAAAAGCTATCTTTAATTTGATTGATTCACAGATGGCTCAATGCTTTCGCAAACATTTTTATGAACTGAGGATATTTAATGAATTTGTATTTTCAATACAACACTTGGTTTTTTAATTTTCAGTGCAAGAGAATCAAGCTTTTTTTTGTGTAGCATTTAAGTGCTGTTTTACTTTTGAACATAGCATTTTTGTTGGAGGCTCATGATATTACTAGAGGGTGTTAGAGATCAATTAGAGGAGCTGCACCGCAGAAATCTCAGTGTTGAGAGAACCCTGTGGCTTCTCGTTATGTTCAATTTATCACTATCACTTTATCACTTATGTTCATTTGTTGTTCATATTTCAGTGATATGAAGGAACTACACTTGGTTTAAACTTACCAAACTTTAATCCATCTTTGTACCTGAGCACCAGTGTCTTGGCCATTTGAGATTTTGCATCATCTGAGAGTAAATCGTGACATCCTATATACCTGCTAAGCTGGATGAGAGTTAAATGCCTCTGGAGTTCTTTTACCTGAAAATGTGTCGGCTTTTATTTGTGATCGTCTCATAAGGGCATTCAAAGTGATGAGCTTAATTGAGTGTGGGAGATGAAAAAAAAATTTAACAAACAAATGGTCTTTTATTTATTGTATCGTGAGTGAATGATAAAATGACTAACTATAGATTCACATAACCTTTTAAACGTATTATATAAGCATTCAGTCCATTGCCAAAAAGGCAACACATTTTTCCAAGTTCATTGTTAGTAAAGTGAAAAGCGACTGCCATTGGCAATCAGGCAGCTATGAGTACCAAACATTTACTGCAATAAATGGAAGGACTTCATTTCCAGGATTCAAATTGCTTTTCGGTGATCGGTTCAGTGTTTGTCATAGGCAGTCAGGCAGCTGGAAGTTTCAAACCCAGCTATATTTCATCCTTTTGACAGGATTTTCAACAAGTTAGAACATTATTTTCAACAGACCATGGCACCCAATTGTTCAAATGCTTGGGAGATCACTGTATATAGCAGAGATGAGAGCATAATGGAATGCCCTGTACTTACATTTTGAGCATATTTGATTTCTTCTCCCTCCTTTGTTTCTACGCCTAGTTCTTCATGTAAGGTTGCTATTAACTAAAATAAAAAATAAAAATCTATAATTCATGAACCCTTCCATTATTTTCTATGATTTTGTGCTTCATTTTGTAAAGAATGCAAAATTGAAAATTTTTACCACATTGTTTTACACACATTGTTTTACCTAACAAGTGGGCGATCAAAATAGCTCACAAATGTATTTTTATTTATTTAATTAAAGTGTCACCTATTGTACAAAATAGCCAGCCCTAAATGAGTTTATGAAACACATGAAACATTTAATTATTAATTTTACATGTGATTCTTTCTTATATCAAAAATACAGTTCAAATTTTTTAACTAACAAGCAAAAATGTAGTATACCTGAGAAAATGATTCTTGATCTAAGAGACCACAAAACATCTTCAGATCGCCAAAGCAACAGAATTTATCACCAAATAAGGTATAATAGTTACGTATTAGTATATCAGCAGTATCTAGAAATACAATGAATATGTTTTAAATTACACTGTTTTTTGCATTTATGCTTTCACATCCTAGAATATAATTTATAACTCAACCAATAGTTCCCATTTTTATTCCTCGTATAAACATTATAATCTTAATTTGCTATACTTGTGTTAATATACCAATTATTGATTTTAATAAAAACAGAAAAGACGACATTCAAATCTTAATACACGAGGTAATGACTTGAGATTATGGCACGTCAGGTGTTTTGAAGTTAAATACAATCAATAACACTTGACAATATTCATAATATTTGATTCCTTGTTAATTTCATGAAAATAACATGACCCCATGTTTAATTTTTACCTAATTCAAGAGCATAGCTTTCCTCCCGGGACTGTACAAGTCGCAATAATTCAAGTTGTGCAAGGTATGGTCCTCGTATAGGTTTGGATTTGTTTGCCTCAATCTGGCTGTTTATGAACTGGAGAGCCATTATTGGATGGTTATCTGGCATTGCCTCTTCACACCTGAATATAAATGGATTACATGAGGTAAGGTGAGGCTGAAGTGAGGCAATTGCCTCAAGTCTATGGTGAGGCACCAAAGTTTTATAAAACCTTTTTATCCACACATTTTTTCAATTGAAACTTTGATAGTCAAGTCCATGGTGAGGCAATTTACTCACCAAAGCTTTACAGAAACCTTTTTATCCACACATTTTTATAAACTGAAACTTTAATAGTGGCTTTATTTAAAATATCACTTTTAGCTTAAGTTTGCCTCGCTTATTCATTTTTGCCTCACCAATTTCAAGATGCTAGCTACACCCGAGGATTAAGATTTTAGAGTTACTCATATATAAATGCATCTCCACAACAGCATTGATATCCAGTTTGTCCACTTTTTGGCAACCTTTTAGTGAGAGTATTCAAACACTATATAAAAGTTTTGTACAAAGGGTAAGCACAGAACAATCTGTGTTTCTTACGTGGTTTCCTCTTGAGGGGCTACCGACACATGTCCACCATCAATTAGCCGGAACATAGACTCCAAATACTCTTTATAATAATCCCAGCCATCCTGACTAAAAATTGAGAATGAAAATACATAAATTGAGAAGTTTAATATGGAGAGTTATAAATGCATATATGAGAAAAAGGTATTATCATGTAAAATGTAACAACCTGGTTATTTGAGTTAATACAAATGGTTTAAAAGTGTGACAATTTGTTACAACTGCTGCCAAATTGTCAACTGCTAACTTACAACACTTGTCCCTATACACCCCCAAAATGCAATCTGATTTTCTGGTGTTGAAACGGTGCCAGAGCAGCGCCGAATTTTTTCAATGCCGAAATGATGCCAAATTATATTGGCTGTGTAAAAAGTGATGGTGATAAGAACGAATATTAAAAACAATGCAAAAAACTGAATGAGCACCCATTTGAATGTATGAGCATTACCTTTCACCCAGTTGAAACATCATTTACACCCAGTTGACAGTAGATGAGCCATGGTAAACTGGATTTCATTTCTCCAAATTTTGATGTTTTTCGTAAAAAGGTAATGGTGAATTTTTCAATCAGCTTAGAAAAAATCCTGAATGTGTCCCTGAGAACTTACTTTTTGAGAATAAGTTTTTTGTTGGCGACATTGACATCTCCCCACCTTTCAAGTTTCTTCAAACACTCTAATTCTTTTGTTTCCTTGAACAGGATTTCTGCTTGGAGTTTTTCTGAAATAAAACAGAAAATGGCAAGGAATCAGCAAGGAATTCAGCGGGGATTTCATAAGCAGCAGATGGGTGACAGTGGCGGTAGCAGCAGCATTTTTCCAAAATTAGCTGTTTTTTGGAATTTCTCAACTGTTTTCATGTCAGTATTATGATTTACAAACTTAACCTGTTCATCTGAAATGCTATAGCAATCAACACTTTAAATTATTTGACATTGTGAAGAAGATCAAGAAATGACAAGGGGTACGCATGACCTGACCAGCAAGAACTGCTGCTATTGGACTGTTTTGAAAAGGAAGTAGAAGGAGCAAGACAAGCTGAGAATAAGAGCCAGAAATATTGGTACAATTATACGATATTTAAGCACTAGTCATTTCATGTCATGCCTATTTTCTAAAACCTCCATCAGTTGTGACTTTATTTCCGGATAATCCTCCATTTTCATCACAAAACATATTTTGTATTTTGAAAGATTTAGGATACAACGTTTTGAATTATATAGGTACTTACCACCAAGGATTCCCTGCAGAATGGATAATGCCATTTTGTAATCCTCTTGTATTTCTAGTATCATTAAGAACAGCTTTACCTCTGAAATAAGAAAAAATGTCCATTTTACTAAAGGTTGTATTAAATCGAGCATACCTATTTTATTGGGGCAAATACCTACATCACTTTTGTGAATTAATATTTCAATATATCATATTACACCCGAGAAATATGAGACATATTACCACGGGGTACCATCGAATAATTTTGGCAACGTACCGGAGAACGACATTTTACTAAGAAATTTCAATAATTTAGCACAATATATTTTTTAACTAGAGTTCTACTTTGATTTTGACAAAAGTAAGTATTCCATGCAATGGCTATTTCATTCATGAGTTTGTAGGAATTCTGTTGGAACCCAGTTCTGATCAAGTACGAAGTTATTGAAATCGGCGCAGTCGGACTTTACTCCGAAAGATGGTTTTTCGATTATAACTTTTTACAACATTTAAGTATAGACTTTTGAAAAGAGTACAGAATAGTCCTTATACTATTGAATAATTCTGTTATTTCTGATTCACACGACTCTGATTTGTTTAATTAAAAAAAAAGTTTTAAAAATATTACTTAGGAACGTAACCGGAGCTGGGAACGTAACCGGAGCAGATCAGTTGAATTATATAATTAAAAAAAATAAAATATATGATTTAAAGCATAAATATTAATAAATTCGCATTCGAACAATCCCGTATGTTTTTAAATTAGTATATGTGCTTTAAATCATATATTTTAATTCCTACAAACTCATGAATGAAATAGTTATTGCATGGAATACTTACTTTTGTCAAAATCAAAATAGAACTCTAGTTAAAAAATATATTGTGCTAAATTATTGCCATTTCTTAGTAAAATGTCGTTCTCCGGTACGTTGCCAATATTATTCGATGGTACCCCGTGATTACACTGGATGAAATGCCAGTCAAGGAATATGCTATGAATTAAAAACTATACTCCATGAACTGACGGGCTGGAATATTTATTTATTTATTTAGCCTCCAATACTGAAAAATAGTTTGACAATTAAAACAATCTTAAACTATTCCTTTTGCTGGTTAAACAATTACTATGCCTGTTGAATATGCTTTGTTTCTAATGCCACTCTCGACAGGGAAATATAGTTTTTTTATTTCAGAGTAACAAAAATGACTCGGGGAGTGAGAATCGCAGAGTGAGAATATGATAGTGACAAAAGAATGCATCTTCTAGAATCTCACCAGTTTCAGCATTGACTTTCCCATCTTCAATGTATTTCTTACACATTTTCAATGCTAGGGGAAGCAGGACAGCTTTGGACATCTTATCATCAGGTTTGGAAAGTGCCTAAAAGGAAGAAGAGATGTTGAACATTTAGAGATTTGTTTGAGCATTTTGAAGATGTTACAAAGAACAAAAAAAAATTGCATAGATTAAGGAAAATGTCAACAAGACATTAACATTTAGTCCACCCGCTATGGCTCAGTGGCAGAGAGAGTCAAGGTTACCAATATCGCTTGGCCCCGGGTTCGATTCCCGGTTCAGACAAGTTTGTTTGTGCGTTATGTAATTCTGGGTGTTTGACTGAGTGGTTCACGACTCTTATAAAAAGGCTGTGGTGTGTACCTGTGCACATAAAAGAAAACAGGGCTCCTCCAAGGAGGGGTTTCTGGCTCTATCTTCGAGTGTAAAATGCGTAACATACGGAATATACCAATGAGGTATTGCTCGCCAAATATGGCGGTAACCAAGATATAATAATAATAATAATAATAAACACACAAAATGTTACCACCTGCCATTAGTTACATAAACCAAACGCCAACCATCGAACACCAACCACTGAACACCATCCACAAAACAGTTGGGGACTATAATATTATATTACCACTTCTTGTTATGACATAAAACAAACAAAATATCCATTTTCCCAAAATTTCGGAAGGGTCTAAAATCAAAGTTGAATCTTTGAAGTGAAAACAGCAATCATTTGACAACTAAGCATTGGATCAATCAGAGATCACTGTGCTTTATCAGTAAGAGATTGAGAAAAGAATCAGACTTGAAAAGGGTAAAACCAAATATGGCAATATATACCTGCATAACGATGCTCATGACACCCCAAAAATAATATGGATTTTTCTTCGGGGCTATCTTATGCAATAACATGGCAGTCTTCTTCTGGTTTTGATAGTCACTAACTCGAACATATGCCATGAAAAGTGCAGATAGAATATCTTCATTTCCCGCATCTTTCTTCAATGCATTCTCATACATATCGATGATCCTGTCCCCTAAAATAGTAATTCAAACATGTATATGTCTAATATAAAAAAAATATTTTCAATTCTTGTGTTTTTGATGATTTTTGATAATTGCATCCAAAATATCTTGGAATATTTAGCATTACATGAAAATCATGTATTAAAAATAAGATACTGATTTTTTGGATTTTTCAGTATTTTCAATATTTTTTGGAAACAGTACAACAAAATAAAACTGATTATTTATAGCTGATTTTTTCAAAATACAAGGTGACTCACAACTTGCAGTCTCCCTATAGCAGATACTAAGTGTGTGTAGGGTGGCGTCATCTGCTGGTTTCTCATCATGGACACCCTGTAGGATAGTGTCACTCTCATCCTGTCTGCCCAGTCGCAATAAAGCTAGGGCCTTTAATGCCTGTAAGTAAAGAATATTCTGATGTATAACATACATGTACAGTATACATAGAATAAGGCACGCAGTTATTCCATTTTGAACAAGTGTGTTGCAGGCCTGTAGCACCCCCCCCCCCCACCCCCTTTGAACCCCATGCACCTGGCGCCAACATTTTTTCAAAATTCACCATCATTTTGAGGCTATTTCAAGTGATTTTGAGGCCAAAATTGTCAAATGTAAACCTTCCTGGAATTTTTGGAAAGTGTTATTCCCCTTTCACTTTGGCAAATGCTGGCCCTGTGTTGATCATACAATCGTATATGATGAAAGAAAAAATATATTAGCTTTGTGGAATTATCACTAATACAAACATTGATGAAGTTACTGTTTACCTTAGCGCATGTAAAATCTTTCTGTTTCTTCAGCACTTTGTCACACTCCTGCAAGGCTTTCTTATTATTGCCACTGTCCAGGTAGTCTGAAAATATTCACATAATTGAATCAGCAATGAATCTAATAGTGTGAACAGAGTGGAAATGTATAGCCATGTATTTAAGCAGCAGTAGAAATGCCCTTTTTTGGGCAATTATGCCATGACAATGATGAACATTTATTTATGCGTTTTAAAATAAATAGACTTTATGATTAAAAGAAAGTGAACAGGCAATCGGTAAACAATTTAAATTATAAAGAAATATCAGAAAACCATGAATTTTTTCAATATTTGACAAGAAAAACTGCGACTAATTATCATTAGCAATAGTCAAAGGGCAATTTTCTCTGTTTACTACTAACATGACTTGTTACATGTATTTTGAGAAATTTTGAACTGTTTCCATGTAAAAATTCTAATTTGCTATAATTGTACCTGGAGTTCATAATTTTGCCTGGTTGTAAAATTTATATTTAAACCCCTATCTATGTGAAATGAATGAAAAATGAAAATCTGAAGAATTATCCTTTCATGTTCAGTAGAATGATTAGTGTAATATATCTAATTGTGTCAGTTAGATTAATTACAAACAAAAATGTAAGAAAACTGAAAATTATGCTTTAAGTAGAATGAATCATGATGCAAAATAAAAAAAAAATCTTCACACAGTTCACATTTCAATGCAGCATCAGGAACACCAGATGAAAAACCAACAAACACACATGCATTATCAAAACTAAGAAAAACATTCAAGCATTTGCATTTTTGATATTTTTTATAACTGGCATATTTCAACCATTTAGCCAACAATTAAAATGAGATATTGTATCTACTAGAGAATGCATTTTAGTTTTGTGGTTGCAAATAGGTGCCAGCCTATTTTCAAAATTCAAAGTATGTGCGTCTGTACTGCTATGGTGCTTTGATGTGCTTTATGTCACATGATTGGGCCATCTTTTCTTTGACTCGTAAATCTTGGCAACACATTTCTAGATGTAAATTTCCTATTGACCAAAAAAATCTCAAATCATTTTAAATCAAAAAAAGAAAAATGAGCAGAATCAGCATGGAATACAGTAACAGCATGCAGTCAGTACTCTAAACTTTAATTTTAATTAATTTGACGACGCTTATTTTGGCAGATTTGCAGTTTAAACATTTGGCAGCTACTTAATTTGGTGGACTTGCAATATTGAAATGTATATATACAAATTTATGACTGAAATTTGAAATATTGAATTTGGCAACTACTTAATATGGTGTACTTAAATAATTTGGCGGATCGGATAAATCAAAATGGCCGCCAAATTAAGTTGAGACTGTACTAGTAAATAAAAAGGTCAGAGGTTAAAACCCTGGGAAATACTATATCAGTCATGCTATTATATGACACGTTGCAAATTCTTTCAAAATAAAATCACTGTACACTCCAAGTAGTCTTTCAAAAAAACCAACTTTGTGAAAACACAAAACCATCCTTTATTAGTATGGAGAAAGCATCAATATTTTCAGATTTTTCATGTAGGATCTTTGCGTTAGGAAAATGAAAATGTACTATACTAGAAGATTCTTCCATCTTAGAATGGTGACTTGTGTAGAAACATGACACAAGTCTAACATTTCTGATAAGTGATCATAAATTCATGAAGTGAATGAAAATTTCTAACAATTGTAGGCCTACCAGGTGGCCCATAGAAAGAGATATGAATAACTCTAAACTTAAAGGGCATGATTTTGAAGAAAAATGTACATTTAACTCAGGTGAATCATACAAACAGTCCCACAGAAAATCAACGTCGGTATTGTACAATTTCATGGTGAGTTAATAATATATATTATTGCAATAATTTAATGACTGGGGTTAAGTTAATGAATATCATAAATATTGATGGAAGGATGGTTAAGTATTTTGTATAACTCAGACCAAAAATATTGTCGATCGATTGAGCGATGAATTCTAACGCTTCCATCTTGCAATATCACTGAAAATATATGGGCTCATCTGAAAGAATACAGAGGTACAGTGAATAGAGGTGGACTGGTGTCATTTGAAAAGGCAGTTCCCGATTCATGAAACAACAAGATGCTAATTCTAATAAGCACTGGCATGTAGCGATTTAAGCGATACTGGATACTTTACTGAATTGTGTCGAAGTTAGACGTGTGGTGCGGAAGTTAATATGCAGATGACCATCATTTCAATGTTATATTGTTTGTAGGCAAATTGAGATTAGGCCATTGGAGTATTTGTTTCACGCATACATAAAGCATAACGCATTCAAGGGTCACATTTATCATTAAACCAATAACTCAAACATATGACCTTGTACACCGACCACCTCTTGAAATCAATGCAGGCCGATTTCAACGAATGCAAACGGTGATATATAAAAGAAACATAATCAAGCATGACCACGTCCCAACTTCTTTTGTTTTCTTTACAACTAAGCTATGACTGCAGTCTATAGTGTTGCGTATCGAACCTTGTTTATTATAAAAATAGTGCAACAACAAGCAGAATTCACACATTTACCCTATACTTATTCTCAACTGAAGACATTGAATTTATCTCTTAGGTTTTACATTATAAATATCTTAACATGCAGAATACGAAAATAGAGGCTTAGGCCCAACCTTGTATGGATTTTATGAAAATAATCTGATTTTAGAGAAATGAAAAGAAAAATGTCCACACCCTACACAAAAGATTTATGGTTCCCCGGGAATACGTATGTGTTGCTTGTATATTAGAATCGTATTCCAGTTACAGAAAGAAGTAAATATCATGCTAAACTATATATATATATATCGTGAGATATGCACGTCTACCTTCGGTCCCTATGGTCCATCAGGTAGATATAGAGATTATCCTATATGAGGTTCAGGATATTGGGATTACCCCGAGGCAAATATAATATATCTGTCCGAGGGCCGCAGGTCCCGAGGGAAAATATATTTTATTCCATAATACTACTGTTTTCCCAGGGAAATATGAAGGAATTAAAATCGTATTGAATCGTATTACATGAAAAAATCGTATTGTCCCCGGGAAAAAATCGTATTGGAGCGTATTACATGAAAAAATCGTATTGTCCCCGTGAAAAAATCGTATTGGAGCGTATTGACCTATTTTTTAGTTTCCCGGTTATTTTATTTATTTATTTTATTTTTCAAACAATGTGCATTTATTAATATAACGTTTGCATTATCCAAATGTAACATTCTAGAGGGATGTATTATGGAATAAATAGGTTATTTCTGGTCAGGATTGAATATGGGTTTTATTCCTCGGAAAATATGATATTGACCTTGGGCAATATGATATTGACACTCGGTCGCTGCGCTCTCGGTCAATATTATATTACCCTTCAGTCAATATCATACTGCCCCTCGGAATAAAACCCATATTCAATCCCTCCCAGTAAATAACCTATATGTATTCCATACCTGATGAGGTTTCAGGGGCATATCAACCGGGAATATATTCCATATCCGGCAAATATTTTTCGTATGTCCTACTCCGACGGAGCTCTGGGACATATAAATCGTATGTCCCACTCAAAAAAATGTTAAAAATAAATTCGGAAAGAAATTGTGGAAAATAAATTATGGAAAAAAATTTTGAAAAAAATTTGAAAAAAAAGTTTTGAAATAAATTAGAAAAAAAAGTTTTGAAAAAAATTTGAAAAAAAAGTTTTGAAAATATTCTGAAAAAAAGTATGCCAAAAAAAGGTGAAAAAAAATTTGAAAAAAATGTGGGAAAAAAATTTGGGAAAAAAAATTTGAAAATAAATTTGGGAAAAAAATTTGAAAAAATTTGAAAAAAAATTTGGGAAAAAAAATTTGAAAAAAAATTTGGAATTTTTTTGGAAAACGATAACATATTTTGCAAGTAACACACCAGAGCATGTGGGAAACATACTTAAGATATCATATTCATTCGTGGATAAAAATCAAATCTCTCATAAATCATAGGATATCCTCTATATCCCATGGTTGCAATGATATAGATCGAATATCACATGATGATATATTTGATATGTGACCAATATATCATATTTTAGTAAACAATTTACAAACCATTGAATATCACTTTTAAACTATCGAATATCACGTCTTAAAAAGTGGTATTCGATGGTTTCGAATTTTTTCAAAAAATGAATTTTGAATATTTGATGACGTAAATCAAGATAATTTCTACTCGCATCTTGACTATTCCACAGGTTTGGAAAAAGTGTACAGGAAAATCTCCATGTTCAATTGATGTATGATCAATATACGAATCGAATGTATTCTCGTGTGCATTACAATATCCACATTGAAACATTTTTGGCCTGCAATGGACGTATAATGGATTAGAATATGAGGCCGTGTTATCATTCAAATGTAAAGTTATGGTATTGGGTTGCAAGTTAATATCAGATTCAATGCAAAGTAATCATTTAATATCAGATGCGCGATCAGTCCAATAATGTAATTTCAGGTCATCAGTTCGATATCTAGCAGTTGTTCTAACGACACGGTATTACTAGGCTATCATGTTATAAATACACACACATATAGATAAATCAAACTGGTACACGATATAAGCACGACTGCTCTTTCAATCGAGTATAAATGTTGATAAACTTACCCGGAAGCCAACACATACACGTTTAGACGATGCTATTTTCAGTTCAGTGTAAGAGTAAATGCCCGGATATCGAAGCTTCTTCGTGTAAAGTTTTAACCAAGCATGTAGTATCGGGTTATATTGCGTGTAGAATTTATCGATATCAGGGCCGCTACATGCCAGTGAATAAGGGTACCAAACAAGAGTCTGAGGATCATATGGATTATTTTAGAAATCACTTCCATGACCTCCCTGACGGCACTAAAATGAGACTATTGCTCATCATAGGCTTTTCTAGACCAATGCCAAACAGATATATGATATAAAAATGATTTTAAGTGTATATACGATTCTTTGATCCTAACCATAAGGAGCCTGTTTCTCAAAAACATTGTCAATTACGATTCATGGACTGACGATTTTGTTTTCTACGATGTTGTCCGAAATTTTTGCAACTGCATTTTGCTAAGCACCTCAGTGGTGACATCAAAGATCTGCAAGTATAACTGGAATCCATGAATCATAATTGACGGTGTTTCCAAGAAATGTGCTCCAGGTCAAGTGATCAGTTGGCTGCCATAGACTGTATCCTTCGTCTGAATAAATATTCAGACTGTAAGTCACCTATTGTAAAATGTGGTGTTGAATAAATGTTACAAATAAGTTTGTTAAATGATAAAATGATTACCTTGTAAAGTACTTACAATATTATTTTTTCGTATATTGTCCTCTTACTGAAGATATTCATAAAATGTACAGACGCTTCTTGTAGCGAAGCCATTGATTAGGTCAAGCCATTTTGGCAATGCCAATTCTCACGATAAACGAGATTTAGCCAGTGACGTCAGTCTATTTGTAAACAAATAACACGTGGAGCGGACGGAAGCGTGTTGATAAATTCCATTTGTGCGGGAATTTATTAGATCTAGTCATTTATTATCATTATCCCGATTAATTTTCTTCATTTATAGTAAATAGAGCGGAAATATTCATGAAGAAGGCCGAGGTAATCAAGTGGTCATGTGTTGTCAAAGTTCAAAAAATTTGCATATCTCGTTTGGATCTCGTGAACTCAAACGTCCTTGACATTGATTTCGCGATGTACTTACAAGGACTTATAAACACATCCTGAAGTTTTGGTGAGTCTGAACATTTCATTATTTTATATCAACTTGTACCCGCCTTATACAAATATTTTTGCTTCTAGTTTAAGATGAACATCTCTTCAACATATTCACCAATTTTCAAGGTGAACATTCTTGTAATAAACGAGAAATTTATGTGCAAAAAATATCACCGCGATTTCCATAGGAAATATATCAATCATAACAGACCGAATATTATATTCGGTCTGTTGGATACATACTATGGCTGCCAAAGAAAACTGCCAGAAAAACCTTGGCCATCAGTAAAAATCATTTTGCCAAAGGGTAGCAAGTCAAATTTATATTTACAATCCTGTTAGATATAGGTAAATTCGATGTTGCTGAACTACTCCCTTTGACTGACATGACAAATGCATGACAGGTCAATTTATTTTTCATCAAAAAAAAATAAAAAAATAAAATTTTGTGATATAGAAAAATGTTAAATTCATTATGATTCACAATGAGTTTTAGTACGAAATTGAGAATACAGCACCCTTAGGTATGAAAAAATATCTATGGACAGTCTGAGCATTGTAAATTGGTGGTAACGTACCATAAATCGGCCTCAAACGTCGTTCTCCAACGACATCCACATGGCCTTTGGCTGCCATTACGAGATACTACGAGAACTTGCGAGACTTGGCGGAGGACTTTTTCTTTCTTATTTTATCGTTTTCTTCCAAATTACAGAGTTTTTGGCATTGACCGAGATCACATTATCTAAACTTATGATAAATATAGATAGATATGAAATAAAATGTGTGTAAAATGATTGGTTTTTGCTGGTTTTATTTTCTTTGTGAATGATATCAAAAAGGTGTTCCTCGGCACTTCCGGGTTTAAATATTTCAAATTTCAAAGCTTTTGAAAATATGGTGCAATTACCTAGGATATCTTTATCAAAAACAAAAATTTAATGATTTTGATCATATGAGGCTGCTTTGTGGTCAAGAATAGCTGTACATCTACAAAAGTCAAAATGTCCACTTCACTGTTGACTGAATTATACATTGAACAAGTTGAGAAACATTGGCCGAAAAGCGGAAAACATATTTTGGCGCAATACACAGAAAATTCTGTTGTTGTTTATCAAGCTTTTAATCAAGCAATAGCAGATTATGCAATTGAGAACCAAAGGTATGTATCATTTATTGTAAACATTGTGTGCTAATTACAACTTTGACATAGACTCAATTCACCATTGGACAGTCTATTGGGAGATTCATATCTCAAGGAGGTTTTGTGAAAAGGGACATAGGGCATCTTATCTTGACATACCCCTTATGAGGTCTAAAACTGTGATCCTGAAATCAATTACTTACTATTACATGTATATCTCCAAATGTTCCCCTAGTACATTATGGACAGTGTTTGGTTATAACATGGACTTTCAACTGACTCTTTGTCGATCAATGTAGTTCCTTTTGTCAGCGTCTGTATTAAATGGCAGGTGTTGACATTTTGCATGTCAGACATGAAAGAGAAATTTTATAAAAAGCAGTTAAAATTATGAGAGTATGATTTTAACAAGTTAAAAACACTTTAATTTAAAATTTAATCTTTGACATGATTGTCCAAAATTCTAGAAAGAACAGGGACTGCTGAGATCAGCTCCTTTCCAAGTCTCAAATAATATATTTTCTTGACATATACATGTACCTGCACTTACAGATTTGGTGGCCCAGCATTTAGCTATGACAGGATGTCATGGGTGAAGCCTAATTTCCTGTGGATGACCTACAGATGCGGTTGGGCGAGTAAGAAACAGCAGGAGCGAGTCTTAGCAGTAACTATCACTAAGGAGGGATTTGAAGAAATACTTCAAAATGCCTATACAGTTCATGTAGGTTATAATTAGTGTTTTTGTATGCTTGAGCTAAATTGCACTTTCTGCTATACTTTTGCGGCTGTTTCAAGTTGATGGATCTGCCAATTTGTTAAAAGTCTGTCAAATTAAATCGCCGCCAAATTCCCTGGTAAATTTAGTAATATTGCAAGTCCGCCAAATTAAGTAGCCACCAAATGTTCAGATCAGCAAATCCGCCAAAATAAGTAGCCCCAAATAAAGTAGACATACAGTATGTGCCTACTTCCTTTGTTTGTAACACAAATTGATACTATTTTTCTTTCTATTGCGAAATCCCTGTAGAAATCCTTTTAGATTGACTAATGATCATGATTTCATTTTCAGCGAGAGAGAAAAGAAGGAAAAACCAAGAAGGATATTAACATAAGGCTACAGTGGGACCCTGATCACGCTCCAGATTATACCAAACAAGAAAGGAAAGCAATTCAACTTGGGCTAAAAAATGATGTAGGTTTGTTGGCTAAAATCTCACTGATTAGATCATTTGTACATTTTAATATATAATTTTTAAATTATTGGAAAAATACTTGTAATTTAAAATGGTAAAAGTTGTTCCAAACTTTTCGAGGAAATGTTGTTTCAACATTCTCTTCAAAATATTCTGTACTTAAAATGAAATCCAACCTGATCGGGAATAAAAGATACATGTACATAAAAATATGCAAAATATTGATTTTTTCATTTTTTTAAAAAAAGTGATGACATATTTTTAAAGTCTCTAACTTTTTGTGGATGGCGTTTGGCGGTAGCCATCTGTTACAAATGGAAGGTGGTGACATTTTGCATGTTAATGTCTTGTTATTGATAATTACCAGCATGGAAATTACACAAATATTTTTATCATGAAGATCTACTGTGCAGAAGATTACAGTTTTAAGAAAAATGGCTTGGAAAGTTAAGTTTTATCATAGTCAATCTTACATGTCTCACAATACGCCCATAGTGTACTGGTTCAATGCAAATAACACTTCCTAATTAACATAATTACAAGGGTAAAATAATTTGGTTTTGTTCTTTCAGGTGCTCAAAAAGTATGGAAACGAGTGGATACTCAAAATTGAGGATATCACAGACTTTGTTAAGGAACAGTACAGGGTGTTACAAAATGATGGTATAGAACATTTGATGGTCCCGAGGGAACGTGTTTATCATCCATCTACTCAAGATATATGTGAGAAAATCGAGCTGGATACAGCCTTATCGGACACCCTGTAATGTGCAAATATAATATACAAGCAATTCCAAAGAGGGTCAGGAAGTTAAGGGCTGAGCTTAAATCAATCTCAACAGCACTAACTGGGCCAATCAAAGGAAGAACAACTTTAACTGCAATTTACAATAACTAAAAGGTCTTAGTCAACTTGCAAGATGATTGATTGTTCAAGACCTACCTTTACTTTGTAAATTGTAGAAAAATACCACATTGAGTTAAATGAAAAGAAATATACATGTTATTAATATTAGGTTTTTTCACATATTTTATTTTGTATTTACATTTTTACATATGCAATATTTACAATACTTGAAATGGTATCATTTTACCATTATAGAAATATTTGTTCCATTTTTTTTATTATTTTATAGTTCAACATAATGTATTTCTAGTATTAAAATATAAATAAGATAAAACAAAGATTGTGTGTTTGTAATTAATTGGCAATACTCTAACATCAGTGATCTCCCTAGCATTAAAGCAAGTGGGGACATCACCCACCTGAGATTTTAAAAACAGGCTTGCACCCACCTGAGAACTCATTTGCACCCACTTGAAAATGAGAAAAATCATGAAAATAGGCATATTTTGATCAAATTTGGACTAAATTGTTCAATTAAGAATTTTGCACCCACTCAAGATAAAATCCAGTGTCTATCAATGCTAGATATTAACAAAGTGATCTCCCCGGCATTATAACAGCCTAGAAAATCTGTTTTCACTTCTTTATCAGAAGGGTGAAATATTGAGATATTTTGACCAAAATTGATAAAATGCACCCAGTTCACCCAGCTTCATAACCTTCATGAAATCTAAACTTAAGCATCCTCGACCTTTTCAGATTAGGGAAATTGTCTATTCATGGTACTGTACTTCTTCTTAGTTTGGCGGTCTTTTTAAGTTGGGGGATCCACCAAATTGTTAAAGTTTGCCAAATTAAGAATCCACCAAATTCCCTAGTGATTTTAGTACCGTGTAAATAAGTACCATTACAACTTTGTAATATTGCAAGTGCGCCAAATTAAGTAGCCGCCAAATGTTCAAAACAGTAAATCTGCCAAAATAAGCATCGCCAAATTAAGTAGAAGTGCAATATCTTATTCAAACGGTCAAAGAGATCCACCATTTGATTAAATATTTGGCACTGAAAATATCTCATTAATAAGGAAACACCATTTCCAACCTAACAATTCTAGCAGCATACTACAGGCTATCAACCAGAATACCAGAAAAAGTGCAAGCCAATCAGGTTCACCTGTAATCCCATAGCCTCGGCCAAAAGTCTGTTTTGCAATGTTTTCTGACCCTAATATCTTAGTCCATTGGCTATTGTGGCAGTTGAAGAGGCCAACCATATGTCATTGTATTGAACATCAACCACATTGCTGGATCAATAGTCTGTCATTGCAATGACCTTTGACCATCATGCCTCAGTCGATAATCTGCCATTTCAGTGACCTTTGACCTTAATACCTCAGCCAATAGTCTATTGCAGTGGAAAAGGCAGCAAAACCAGCAGCACCGATCAAACCAGGTTTTATCCCAGCTGAAATAACAAAAATCAAAATGTAAGAGAAAACTGCCGATTCAATGTTTTCTAATGTTGACATTTTCGGTATCACTGGGAGAAATAATTCACGATTGATGAAATGTTGAGGAAATGTTTCATACACATAATTGTTTAGGTTATTCAAATGTGTCACTCTGAGCCAATCAAATTATAACCCATATTGAACCTAGGTATTATGGGATTGCATTTCCTCTTCCTTACCTCTTAATCCAATGATTCCTCCTGTGAAGCCTCCGGCCATTGTTCCATTGAGAAGCTCAGTCTTTCCCCTGTACTGTAACATGATAAATGAAAGGTTTAAACACTTCACCCTGTACATGCTGTACTCTAACATGATAAATGAAAGGTTTAAACACTTGACCCTGTACATGCTGTACTGTAACATGATAAATGACAGGTTTAAACACTTGAACCTGTACATGCTGTACTGTAACATGATAAATGAAAGGTTTAAACACTCGAACCTGTACATGCTGTGCTGTAACATGATAAATGAAAGGTTTAAACACCTCACCCTGTACATGCTGTACTGTAACATGATAAATGAAAGGTTTAAACACTTGAACCTGTACATGGCTGTACAGTAACATGATAAATGAAAGGTTTAAACACTTGATCCTGTACATGCTGTACGGAAACATGATAAATGAAAGGTTTAAACACTTGAACCTGTACATGCTGTGCTGTAACATGATAAATGAAAGGTTTAAACACCTCACCCTGTACATGCTGTACTGTAACATGATAAATGAAAGGTTTAAACACTTGAACCTGTACATGCTGTGCTGTAACATGATAAATGAAAGGTTTAAACACTTGAACCTGTACATGCTGTGCTGTAACATGATAAATGAAAGGTTTAAACACCTCACCCTGTACATGCTGTACTGTAACATGATAAATGAAAGGTTTAAACACTTGAACCTGTACATGCTGTGCTGTAACATGATAAATGAAAGGTTTAAACACCTCACCCTGTACATGCTGTACTGTAACATGATAAATGAAAGGTTTAAACACTTGAACCTGTACATGCTGTACTGTAACATGATAAATGAAAGGTTTAAACACTTGAACCTGTACATGGCTGTACAGTAACATGATAAATGAAAGGTTTAAACACCTCACCCTGTACATGCTGTACTGTAACATGATAAATGAAAGGTTTAAACACTTGAACCTGTACATGGCTGTACTGTAACATGATAAATGAAAGGTTTAAACACTTGAACCTGTACATGCTGTGCTGTAACATGATAAATGAAAGGTTTAAACACCTCACCCTGTACATGCTGTACTGTAACATGATAAATGAAAGGTTTAAACACTTGAACCTGTACATGGCTGTACAGTAACATGATAAATGAAAGGTTTAAACACTTGAACCTGTACATGCTGTGCTGTAACATGATAAATGAAAGGTTTAAACACCTCACCCTGTACATGCTGTACTGTAACATGATAAATGAAAGGTTTAAACACTTGAACCTGTACATGGCTGTACAGTAACATGATAAATGAAAGGTTTAAACACTTGATCCTGTACATGCTGTACGGAAACATGATAAATGAAAGGTTTAAACACTTCACCCTGTACATGCTGTACGGTAACATGATAAATGAAAGGTTTAAACACTTGAACCTGTACATGCTGTACGGTAACATGATAAATGAAAGGTTTAAACACTTCACCCTGTACATGCTGTACGGTAACATGATAAATGAAAGGTTTAAACACTTCACCCTGTACATGCTGTACTCTAACATGATAAATGAAATGTTTAAACACTTGAACCTGTATATGCTGTGCTGTAACATGATAAATGAAAGGTTTAAACACTTGATCCTGTACATGCTGTACTGTAACATGATAAATGAAAGGTTTAAACACTTGAACCTGTACATGCTGTACTGTAACATGATAAATGAAAGGTTTAAACACTTCACCCTGTACATGCTGTACTGTAACATGATAAATGAAAGGTTAAAACACTTCACCCTGTACATGCTGTACTGTAACATGATAAATGAAAGGTTTAAACACTTGAACCTGTACATGCTGTGCTGTAACATGATAAATGAAAGGTTTAAACACTTCATCCTGTACATGCTGTACTGTAACATGATAAATGAAATGTTTAAACACTTGATCATGTACATGCTGTACTGTAACATGATAAATGAAATGTTTAAACACTTGATCCTGTACATGCTGTACTGTTACATGATAAATGAAAGGTTTAAACACTTGAACCTGTACATGCTGTACTGTAACATGATAAATGAAAGGTTTAAACACTTCACCCTGTACATGATGTACTCTAACATGATAAATGAAAGATTTGAACACTTGACCCTGTACATGCTGTACTCTAACATGATAAATGAAAGGTTTAAACACTTGACCCTGTACATGCTGTACTGTAACATGATAAATGACAGGTGTAAACACTTGAACCTGTACATGGCTGTACTGTAACATGATAAATGAAAGGTTTAAACACTTGAACCTGTATATGCTGTGCTGTAACATGATAAATGAAAGGTTTAAACACTTGAACCTGTACATGGCTGTACTGTAACATGATAAATGAAAGGTTTAAACACTTGAACCTGTACATGCTGTGCTGTAACATGATAAATGAAATGTTTAAACACTTGATCCTGTACATGCTGTACTGTAACATGATAAATGAAAGGTTTAAACACTCGAACCTGTACATGCTGTACTGTAACATGATAAATGAAAGGTTTAAACACTTCACCCTGTACATGCTGTACTGTAACATGATAAATGAAAGGTTTAAACACTTGAACCTGTACATGCTGTACTGTAACATGATAAATGAAAGGTTTAAACACTTGAACCTGTACATGCTGTACGGTAACATGATAAATGAAAGGTTTAAACACTTGATCCTGTACATGCTGTACTCTAACATGATAAATGAAAGGTTTAAACACTTGATCCTGTACATGCTGTACTGTAACATGATAAATGAAAGGTTTAAACACTTCACCCTGTACATGCTGTACGGAAACATGATAAATGAAAGGTTTAAACACTTCACCCTGTACATGCTGTACGGTAACATGATAAATGAAAGGTTTAAACACTTGAACCTGTACATGCTGTACGGTAACATGATAAATGAAAGGTTTAAACACTTCACCCTGTACATGCTGTACGGTAACATGATAAATGAAAGGTTTAAACACTCGAACCTGTACATGCTGTACTGTAACATGATAAATGAAAGGTTTAAACACTTGACCCTGTACATGCTGTACTGTAACATGATAAATGAAAGGTTTAAACACTTGACCCTGTACATGCTGTACGGTAACATGATAAATGAAAGGTTTAAACACTTCACCCTGTACATGCTGTACAGTAACATGATAAATGAAAGGTTTAAACACTTGAACCTGTACATGCTGTACGGTAACATGATAAATGAAATGTTTAAACACTTGATCCTGTACATGCTGTACGGTAACATGATAAATGAAAGGTTTAAACACTTGAACCTGTACATGCTGTACTGTAACATGATAAATGAAAGGTTTAAACACTTGAACCTGTACATGGCTGTACAGTAACATGATAAATGAAAGGTTTAAACACTTCACCCTGAACATGCTGTACGGTAACATGATAAATGAAAGGTTTAAACACTCGAACCTGTACATGGCTGTACGGTAACATGATAAATGAAAGGTTTAAACACTCGAACCTGTACATGCTGTACTGTAACATGATAAATGAAAGGTTTAAACACTTGACCCTGTACATGCTGTACTCTAACATGATAAATGAAAGGTTTAAACACTTCACCCTGTACATGCTGTACTGTAACATGATAAATGAAAGGTTTAAACACTCGAACCTGTACATGCTGTACTGTAACATGATAAATGAAAGGTTTAAACACTTGAACCTGTACATGCTGTACTGTAACATGATAAATGAAAGGTTTAAACACTTCACCCTGTACATGCTGTACGGTAACATGATAAATGAAAGGTTTAAACACTTCACCCTGTACATGCTGTACGGTAACATGATAAATGAAAGGTTTAAACACTTGATCCTGTACATGCTGTACTGTAACATGATAAATGAAAGGTTTAAACACTTGAACCTGTACATGCTGTACTGTAACATGATAAATGAAAGGTTTAAACACTTGAACCTGTATATGCTGTGCTGTAACATGATAAATGAAAGGTTTAAATACTTGATCCTGTACATGCTGTACTGTAACATGATAAATGAAAGGTTTAAACACTTCACCCTGTACATGATGTACTCTAGCATGATAAATGAAAGATTTGAACACTTGACCCTGTACATGCTGTACTCTAACATGATAAATGAAAGGTTAAAACACTTGAACCTGTACATGCTGTACTCTAACATGATAAATGAAATGTTTAAACACTTGATCCTGTACATGCTGTACTGTAACATGATAAATGAAAGGTTAAAACACTTGCACCTGTACATGCTGTACTGTAACATGATAAATGAAAGGTTTAAACACTTGATCCTGTACATGCTGTACTGTAACATGATAAATGAAAGGTTTAAACACTCGAACCTGTACATGCTGTACTGTAACATGATAAATGAAAGGTTTAAACACTTCACCCTGTACATGCTGTACTCTTACATGATAAATAAAATGTTTAAACACTTGATCCTGTACATGCTGTACTGTAACATGATAAATGAAAGGTTAAAACACTTGAACCTGTACATGCTGTACTCTAACATGATAAATGAAATGTTTAAACACTTGATCCTGTACATGCTGTACTGTAACATGATAAATGAAAGGTTAAAACACTTGAACCTGTACATGCTGTATTGTAACATGATAAATGAAAGGTTTAAACACTTGAACCTGTACATGCTGTACTGTAACATGATAAATGAAAGGTTTAAACACTTGATCCTGTACATGCTGTACTCTAACATGATAAATTTGAATAGGTGAGAAAATAAGTTGACATGGTAGAGGCAGTATTTTGAACTTTACATTTAATAATCACACATATACATATACAATTCAATGCTTTATGTTAACACATCAAATAATCTATGCAAGATATAACTCAATGGTGCCAAGCATTTATATGGCATTTGCATAACATAAAATCTCTAAACACAGCAAGTAACTTAAAGAATTTTTAGAAAAATGGGAAACATTGTCATTATTAGACCTTATTAGACCTAAATAAGTACAATGACGAACATGGCCTTTGAAATTTATTTTTAGTAACTTACTGTTTCGATGAGACATTCACTTCCAGCAAACATACAGCCAACAAGTGCAAAGTTTTTCCCATAGCTCAAACTTCTCGTCTTCATCTCCTGGAAAACAGCCCTAGTTGTGGGGGTCTCTGAGCCTGTTACTGTGCTCAAGGGGTCTATACCTGCCGTGAACAGTCCAAATGCAGCACCAATACCAAAGCCTGGAAATACAACAGTAATGTTTAATATTGCATACATGTACATTACATCCTCCATCGCTAGCTGCGAAATACTAACGTTCACTGAACTTTGTTCAGAATCGAAGAGATGGTCTCGGTATGCGAGATAACACTTAGCCTCACTTCCTGCGAAAGCTATTTGGATTTTGATAAGTTTCAAAATCTAACATGGCTCTCGAAGTGAGTAAACTTAGCCTATATATTGCGCAATACAGCAGTTGCCTATGGGCGCTAAGTATTTTAACAGAATCTTTGTGTAAATATTCAAAGTTCTCCGGGAAAAAATGTGTATTGTTCACGGATAGTGGGAAGTCCTCCATATATTACTTATATTATTTCTCAGGTAACGCAGCTTCCATCCAAAATAAAAAATATGTATATTGTTTAGACTACCAACCTAACACACAGCTCATTCCAGATTTGAAAGCGCATGTTTCTGAAAATTTCAAAATATAATATTCTTCTCTTTGACGTCCCCCATAAGGTCCTAAAGAACCTAGTGTTATTCCTGTATGTCTAACTTTATTTCCTCCTATAGTGTAATCAGCGACAGTCCCTATAGATAGTCCAGATGTCACTATTTTCTCTGAAGGTGAATAAATAGTAGAAGGGCCCACAGGTTTCATGGGCGCATCCATCTTGGGTTTTGTCAAATTAGCAACTTTTTTGGGATCGAAAACATATAAAATATTATGATAGTAGGGAAATTAGAATAAGATAGGATTCATTCGATGATAAACTATTTTACATCTATCAATGATTAAAAAGGTAAAATGAAAAAATTCTATTTAATGCAAATAAAGCCATCCTAAATTCTCTGTAACTTTTCGTCTTAGTTGACGTTCTAGTAAAACTTCAAAATGGCCGCTGTATTTGAGAAAACTTTTCGGAAAATTCGACTAGTTTTACCAGTTTTCCTCAATAAATGTTGTCAAAAACGAGTATATTCAACTAGGTATGTATTCTAAGATAGTTAAGTATCCTTATTCTACCGATCGGAAGTATAGAAAGGCTGAACTTCTCGTGCTAAACACCTTCACAATTAGCGACGCAAATACTTTTTTTTATTTTTTGTAACTTGGCTGTGTGGGAGCACTGTATAAAAGCCAGTTGTATACTAGGTGCATTGTCTTTATTTATTGATAGCACATTTGTTATTGTTACTCATGATGTGCATGATTTTTGCAAAATCTCAGATACTGAAAAACTCAAAATCAAAGATATATCTCCGTTTTCTGCAGTGACTATGCCGTATAGCTTCAAAATGGTACTGGTTTTGCTGGGGTAAATTATAATATTTTGATCAAATTGTTGAATTGATTTCATGAGGCGACTTGTCAAACATTCCTGCCATGGCCAATTTCGCAAAGGGGGACAGTGTCATTTATGACATGTCAGCCCCTCTCAGTATGTCATTACATTATAAGATAATACTGGATTCTGTTGGTGCTGCCATTTTTATATCGGCCCAGAACCTATGACTTTTCCTATGCTCATGATGTTTTATGCTATCACCTTTTGATTTTTCTATCATGTTAGCGCAATCCCCCCAGATCCACCAGTAGTTTTGGGGCACGTAAAACTGAAAAAAATAGGAAATCTCATTCTCAGTTATTCTTGAGTGTTTTCTTTTCTTTTTATTATGTAGCTGAAACCCCAATTGTCTATATTTATCAGCAGAACAAGGACATTTTCATTTTAGCGTGTTATTAACTTATTTCAGCCATCTAAATTTCTCAGCCAGAGTTAGAATAATGGGGAATCCCCTACTGTAGCTCACTGCGATCTTGACTAGAGGTGCAATAAAAATCAATATCAAAATCATTTGAGCTGATGAAAAAATAAATGCAATCTATTTTTAGGCTTGCTGAGGTCGGTGTATTAGAAACTCCTAAACTTCAAGGGAAATATGACACAGGCCAATTGTTCCTCCACAGAGTTTTTGGCTACAGAGGTGTTGTATTATTTCCATGGCTGGCTAGAGTATATGACCGTGATCTTGCAACAGTGAGCACTGCTATAAAAGAAAAGTAAGCGAAAATAGTGTTTATATTCTGTTTTTTTGCATTCTATCTTCGTCACTAGGTGTGTAACCAGGGTCTAAACATGGGTGAGAGAAAATAAAGCAAAAATTGTGTTTGTTGTATTCTATCCTCTTGAGTAACTTGTGATTCTTCCTTGTAAATGTGTCAGGATCGAAAATTATATATTCAGGCAAAATTGAATTGAAGAGGCAGATCCAAGTTAAAATAATTGGCAGTGTCTGAAACATATACAATTAGTCAAGTCATTGCCTTGTGATATCATTTAAATGCAGAAATATAGAATGTTCATAAATGAAAATAGCTGATTATCATTTCATAACAGTCCACCCGTATAGCTCAGCGGTAGCACAGGTACTTCTTACGCTATACGCAATAGGTCCCGGATTCGATCCCCGGTTCAGGCAATACTTAATTTGCTTGTTTGCGTAAAGTACTTCAGGGTGTTTGACTAAGTGGTCCACAACTCGTACAAAAGGCTGTGGTGTGTACTTGTATGTCTATGTATAAGTGCACATAAAAGAACACAGGGCTCCTTTGAGGAGGGGTTTCTGAGTCTATCTTCCAGGCTAATTACGTTAATTACGACCGTATATATACGGGATATACCCAAGAGGTATTGCTCACCTTCATTGGTGGTAAACAATATACAATACAACACAACATTAACACTGTGTGAGTGCAGATGCAGCATTTATTCCATAATAACAAAAAATGGAGACTAAAATGGAAAAATTTTCAGAAATACAGATGATGGAACTGGTACGGGGAGTAAAGAGGTTGAAGCGAGAACCCATACTTACTACCAAGTGCTCATAGACTCCAGAGACTGTCCACATATTGTGAGTATATTACACCATCCAGTAATGTCAAAAGTTTTGGTTTGGGAGCTTCAATCAATAAGTCTCCCACAAAGTTTGGGAATAATAATTGACAAAATCATCACTCGTATAATGACAAAAAAACATAAAAATTAGATTCAAGTACTTTTCCATGATTTTCTATTCCTTAATATCTGAGTGATATTTTGCAGCATAGGCTATGATCATATCATTTTATACTTATTGTCAAACAGATCCTCATTCATTCTTATGTATTCAATTTCTGTATTGTAACACCCCTGATTCAATTTTTCTTGTTCTAGAGGACGCAATCTGAGGCAGTGACATTTCTCGGAAACCAAGATAACGGTGGCTCACTTTATGCAATACCAGGTGAGTTTTAGTGCAATACCAGGTGAGTCTTAGTGCAATACCAGGTGAGACATATTGCAATGGTTGATTTATGCAAAATTCTAAACTTGATATATCAAACAATGTTTTAGGTTATGAAGAGAAAAACTGTTGAATTCTGTAAAAGATAATCTCATATTTTTTTATTTTCAGGGCTTGACTATGTTGGTCATGAGGATGTCCTTCCATACACAACGACAGAAAAACAACCAATAAAACATGAACTTTTCGACAAATTTTTAATACACGATCCTTACAGTGGTGAGTTAAAACAGAGTAGGTCATCAGATTTTTACTCAACTATTTTGTAGATTTTATTTTTAACATATTGACTTCAAATATTACACAAACACAAACTGTGTGTTGTTGTTTAGCATACTCTGCTACTTTATGGAGCTGTCTCACTTAGGTCACGCTGGGTCAATATTCGCCACCGTGTTTACTTTGGATACACGGCAGGCAAAACAAATAATTTTACATCAAGATACCCCCTCATCACACCAAAAACAAAAATGAATTAAAAATTAATACCCGAAATTCGCCACACGGTAGCCTACAGTGAGCCCACATTGCTTATATGACAGCAACTTTAATTTTCTGCTTGGGCTTTCCTTTCCTCGGATCTGTCCTTTCAGGTTCATGTGTTTTTGGGTACGTGGTATAAGTTATCATTCACACTGTCCCATATAATCCACACTAGAACATGTAAAATTGCATGAATAAAAAGGCAAAAAATCTCACTTCCAATTTTCTTTCGGTCATTTATTTAAAGATTTTACAATGAATTTGACAAATTTTGCTGTCACAGGAAGTAATTTTTCATTAAAAATAGACGAATGGACTAATATTTTGTGGACAGCAATTCAATAGTTTTCACCGTTTTATTTGACTAATTTATGTATGTTACATTTTAGCACAAAAAAAACAACTACAGAAATGATTACCACATCAATTTGCATAATCCCAATTATCTAGAAATTCTATCACACAATTGCAAAAAAGGAAATGCATAAAGCTGAGGAGATATCAATATACTATGAACTTGAAAACATTTTCAGTGCCTCCATTTATGCCAAGGGATACATTAAGGGCATGGCAAGAGAAAAACCACCCATGGTTAGAACTCTCCGATGTACACAGGGAAACGACAGAAAACATAAGGGTCACAGTGATGCCTTTTTACATGGGCACTACGGTAAAGTTGTATATTCATATTTTTTTAGTATGGTGTAGCCTACCTACATAGGCGCTACACGTTTTTAGAGATTTTGATTTTTTTAACTTTTTTAATTTTTAATAATATTTTTGCCAGTGTATATAGCCTACCTTTAATATTCATATTTTTAGTACAATGTTGATCGTTTGTACTAAGTATACAATGTTCTATGTAAAATGAAGTACATTTGCTTACATAAAAGGAATGAATAGAGACCTTATTTTTGACATAAACAATGTGCATTTCCAATAGGGGTTTTTAATCATCCAAATAATGTTCACATAGTGTTATGATATTAGTATAAGTCAATGTGAAATTGATATTGGAGATTTAATCATGAATAGAGGATTATTAATAATTATTTGAAGTTAATAAATAATTGTTTGAGGATAATAAATAATTGTTTGATGATAATGAATAATTGTTTGTGGATAATAAATGATTGTTTGAGGATGATAAATAATTGTTTGAGGATAATGAATAATTTTTTGAGGATATTGAATAATTGTTTGAGGATAATGAATAATTGTTTGTTGATAATAAATAATTGTTTGAGGATAATAAATGATTATTTTAGGATAATAAATAATTGTTTGAGGATAATAAATAATTGTTTGTTGATAATAAATAATTGTTTGAGGATAATAAATAATTGTTTGTGGATAATAAATAATTGTTTGAGGATAATAGATAATTGTTTTAGGATAATAAAAAATTGTTTGAGGATAATAAATAATTATTTGAGGATAATAAATAATTGTTTGAGGATAATAAATAATTATTTGAGGATAATAAATAATTATTTGAGGATAATAAATAATTGTTTGATGATAATAAATAATTGTTTGTGGATAATAAATAATTGTTTGAGGATAATAGATAATTGTTTGAGGATAATAAATAATTGTTTGAGGATAACAAATAATTATTTGAGGATAATAAATAATTGTTTGAGGATAATAAATAATTGTTTGAGGATAATAAATAATTGTTTGAGGATAATAAATAATTGTTTGTTTTCTTACAGCAAACTCAACAGACTTTGGTTTACTGGGTAAGTGTTAAGGAGCTACCATCTTTTTGGAGATTTTTTTCTAGTTTTCAATATAAAAAATGTAAAAGTCAATAAAACTATGGAATTTTCTTTTTTCAAATCTCCCTTGTATTTCTTAAACCTATGATTATGGGCAGGCATCAGATGCGTTTATGAATGGCAGAGAAAAACGTAAACTTCATTGAGAACTCTATAAACCAGGGGTTTCACTAGAGTTTCTCACAACTGGCTAAATAAATGAAAACAACAGGCAAAATTCATGGAAATCATAGATTTAACATGGAAAAGTTGAAAAGTCCCTAAAAACAACAGGTGATGTTGTGAAAACAACTGTGAGAATCGCCAGTTGCCTGCTGCTAATGAAGCCCCGATAAAGAAATGAACATCTCTAATTTTGATAATATTTGCTGTTATGTTTTAGTGACGTTACTGCATTAGGCTAGAAAACCTATGATCCCTCGGATAGATGTGTTGTATTTCCCTCAAAAACCTCCCATTAAATAACCTCTATTTATGTTTTAGTGGCGTTACTGCATTAGGCTAGAAAACCTTGGGGAAGAAACAGTGCAATTAAGAGAGCGAAATTGGCGAATATTCAGCTTGTCTGGTACCCTTGACTCTGTGAGAGGGAGGGGAGTCGTAAACCAAGTGAGAAACTTTCCCGTTGTTCGCTAATTTGACGTAGATCAAACGTGACTGAGGAATAACGAATACCTCACTAATCTATCTGTTCATACATCTGTCTATCCGATGTTTTGATATAATTAAAATAAAATAAATTGAAATTATTAATCATGTCTGTTCGTATAAATTCACCTTTTTACAAATATTTGACTAGCTCTTGAATATTGAATTCTGATTTCAGGAGCCAGTTTTGTCGAAAAATTTCCCAGCTTTCCAGTACAGCAGTCACGTTTCATTACAAGCCCCTAGTGGCCATATGTGGTGAGTACAAATTAGGAAATCATGAAATAAATGGACCAGTGAGTGCAGTGAGCTCTATTTGCATGATAGGGACCTGTTAGACAGTATTTGTGTAGATGTCCATACATTGCATGGCCTTAATTGATAATAATTATATTGTATTTCTAACCTCTAACAAAACTGTACTTCTATATGTCTAGATATAATAATATTGACAATACTGTACTCCTTTGACCTTAAGTAACAATACTTCATTTTCTGTGGCCTAGATCAACAATACTTCTTTGGCCAATTTATTAAGATATTGTACTTGCAATGGCCTATATTATAACAGTTCTGTACTTCTTTGGTCTAAATATCAAAATATTGTACTTCTGGCCTAAATCAACAATACTGTCCTTATATGACCTAATTTGATAATATACTTCTATGGCCAAGATATAAGAATACTGTACTTCTATGGCCTAAATCTTAGAATACTGTATTCCTTTGGTCTTAATTAAGAATACTGTACTTCTATGGCCTAAATGAATGATATCGTACTTCTGTGGTCTAAATGCAAATAATAAGTGCCTGAAAATTACTCATCTACTCTAAACTTTGTAAAGAAAATAATTTTAAAAAATGGCATTTTTAGAATAGTCTAATTTCACAGCTGCTTATTGGTTGCACATGCACTGTTTTAAAAAACTCAATGAACTTTTTAGATAAATTATCATTATATAGATATTATGATTGATTTATGCTAGGAAGAAGGATTTACTACTCAAGCTTAGATTTCTAAAAGTCAGCATTCTAAGAGAATTTATGATTTATTTAATTGTTTTCTTTCACTTTATAGGGGAACTTATAAGTTTGAGGGTGAAAATGGACAACGAATTGATTGCAAAATCCCCTCTTTCTCATTAGATAGTGACAAGTCACCGCACCATATAATGTGACACCGCACCATCTAATATGACACCGCACACTGCATATTTACCACCCAATGATAAGTAAGGGCCTGAGTCAGATATCAATAAATGTATCATTTTTCACGAAACTCAACTATGCAGAGGAAACAAGTAAACAGCGTGCAATAATTTACCCCAAAAAAAGAAATTGTTGAATACTTATTGCTGGAATGACTCGAAATTTTTTTGGTCTGTATAAACACGCCGAACCATCGCATAAACAGGCATCACCATACAGCCCACATAATCCACCCAGGAGAATTTTTTTTCACATTTTGTTTGGTTATTATTTTCCCCGCCGTCTGAGAATATGGGTTATTTTTATGAGAATATGTATTTGTTAACAACATGTACAAATTTTAGGCCAGTTGAAAATTTTACAAGTAATTGTTCTTTGTGTTTATTTTAAAAAATCAGATCTGTACATGAACTGTACATTGACGATGTAATTGGAATTTATAAGATGTAATGTAGCAAAGAAATGAATTTCATAAGAGCTTAAAGTCAATCATACCGTACCCCATACTAGATACCTATTTCAAGACAAACTCCTCGACAAAACTAAAGTCGTTATTGGGTGATGAGGCATTCAAAATTGGGGGACATGAAGCAGGGCTTAAATTTGATAGTGTAAAGAGTTCTTACTGGCACTCTACAAGTGTAGTTGAAATTATTTTAATCTTTTTTAATCAATAATACAATGATTTTAATCAAGATTTTAGTCAACTTATTAATGCAATGTCTAAGATAATACCAACTACTTTTTTTTATCTTCATGTAACTGTATCTTAAATGGAAGCACCAATTTTTGTGTGCCGCTGTTGTAAAAGCATAGTTTCCAAATAAATAAATAAAAATAAATAAAAAAAATAATATAAAAAACTCAGTATTTAATTTAAATTCCACAAGTTTTTGGATGGAAATTCAAATGTTGTGTCAATCGAGTTTACCTTTTGTTTGACCAGTAAGCTTTCATATTGAACGATGTTTCAAATATTTTTTTCTTACCTTAACGGTTGTTACCAGGAGTGAATGGAAACATAAGAGTTATCTTTATCAACGTTAAAGGGATACTGTTTCTGTTCACCACATTATTTCAGAGACAGTATGCTAGTACCGAATATATTTGATTCCAAAACAAAAAAGTAATTGCTATGTCTTTGAAAAGGACCAAAGTGGCGAAAGCATCACTGGACAGAAATCTGCACTACTGAATTTTTTGACGCTGTACAGTGATACCTGTTTATGCGATGGTCAGGCATGATTAGATGTTTTTAACAAGCATGAGTTTGATCTTTGACTCATTTCCTAATAAGAAAGTAGTTTTGTAGATTTATTGAGGATTTTAGGGATAAATAGAATTGAAAAATATTCATGATTCTATACTACTGTCTATACAGCTTATAGGCATTCTGATACACGTTGCATCTAAAAACCTGTCTGTGTTTAGTTGCTCTGATTTTCCGTGCCAATACCACTGATCGAGTAGTCGGGGCTTCCCATACAATCTTAAAATTCCAGGGAAGTTTATTCTTGTAAAAAAGTTGACGCATTTTTTCATACTTTCTACCGATTAAATATACCATATTCTATAAGATTTTTATTATTTAAAATATTGAATTATATAAAATAATTCGTTGGAACTGTTAGAAGTAAGTGAAATTGTTTATTACAACGTTGCTATGCAGTTCATTGAGAATTCCTTTTGAGATGCTACGTTTAAATCACGTGTTTGTTAAAACAAATTTGATCCGACTGTCGATTCCACTAATTCTAAATCGAAAGTACCCTATACCTCTCTTCTTGCAACATAGATCGCCATGGATTTCCATGATGGGTTATAGGTATAAACTGTTAGGTTAACTGTGATCTGATTGGTTTTCAGCTACTTGTTCCAAACAGATTATTTGCTTCTACGAGGGGTGATCCAGATATTCAGATAAAAATGCTCTCTTTATTTTGGAAGTTGGATGATGATATTTGCATATAAAGAAGAATGTTTTTTTTATCATGTGCAAATATCAATATGACAACTTCCCTAAATAGAGAAATGGGAACTTTTTCATCAGAATATCTGGAACGCCCCCTGTATAAGTATATCTTTGTGGAGAACTTCAGAAATGAGCTTACTTTTTCTTCATCCCATTACTATATTGCAACTCAAATTCTTTTTATTTTATGAACAAACTGCATTATAAGCTTCTAGCTTTCTTTGATTGAAGGTAAATTCTGCTTTCTTTAGTTTATGAATACATTTAGTGGAATATGCCATTGAGAGTAGTCACTGTACAAATTGAACTACAGTGAAGATTCGCAGAAAAATATGTTCTTAAAGCCTGGCTTCATAGTAGGGGATTTTTTTTTTCAAACTCATTTCTTTCAAACAATATAAACCTTTTGACCAATATAACCAGTAAAATATTTGCAACTTGTGAAATACTTGCAACCAGTAAAATATTTGCAACTTGTGAAATATTTGCAACCAGTAGCAACCAGTAAAATATTTGCAACTTGTGAAATACTTACAACCAGTAAAATATTTGGAACTTGTGAAATACTTGCAACCAGTAAATATTTGCAACTTGTGGAATATTAGCAACCAGTAAAATATTTGCAACTTGTGAAAAACCTGCAACCAGTAAAATATTTACAAATTGTGAAATACTTGCAACCAGTAAAATACTTGCAACTGGTGAAATGCTTTTAACTACTAAAATACTTTCAACTTGTAAATTACTTGCAATCAGTGCTTGTATCATCATCAATTCTGGCTCTCTTCAATAGCTACATTTGTAAATACATTTATATTTATTTGAGTTGTGTGCGGTCTAGAGTTGCTTGATCACTACTTTAACCCACTATGTTATATCAATTATTGGGTTGACGTGATTTCAATATAATTCTTACAGAAACATTAGTTAATCTATCTTAATTTAATACTATATTCTTATACCAAAGGAGTCCCTATATATTTCTGTACCCACTATATTTGATGGATGTTTTTACTTACTTTAGTTGCACTAAATTAACCTATTCATTACATTGTCGGTGTCAGGGGGGGGGGGGGCTGGGCTTTTCAAACTATGATCTCAGTAAATAAACTCACCTATGCTCTTGTGCCATCTATACCACGGTGTCCAACCTAAACGCTCTCAAATGCACGACGGAGCTTTTCATCAATGAAACTTAACAAAGAAACCCTCTGGAGTAGGAAAACTGGCGGGCAGGAATGATGAGCTGTCTGACGGGAATAAGAGGTATGAGTTACTTATTTCGAGTATACCATTCAATGGGTGTGATATTCATTTTGTACTTGGCTGGCTATTGACGTTTGAAGCAATTAGGAAGACATGTATGAAGCAATATAGTTATCAAAATTCATAAACTTATTTGTCATTCTACTGGTAAAAACCCCTTTTGTCGAGAAATGTGATTTGTCGAGCCAAGATTAGAGCACTAACGTCTATTTTGGTCCAATTTTTCAAAGATAAATTCATTTCCGAACTCTTCTCTAATAATCTGAAAATAATATCAAAACAAAATGGTAAGAGCGTTTCTAAAATTGTGTCCTAAATCAACGGATCGTTTCGAGGAGAACAAACGATTTCTCGAGAACAAGTAATGGATTTGGACTGGGATTTTAGAAAGTGAGAATATACAAGTTTGTGATCTACTTCTTTAAAGGGATAAGGTGCGTAAATGAAGTCTCACTTTAAATCTTCATAGTATTTCCAATGGATAAATAAGTATCTGATCTTTCATTTGACACCAAAAACAGCTCAAACAGACCACATCAGAATTGACACTAGATCATGAAAAAATATTTTTGATCTATCAATTTTTATATGTCAAGTTTTTAGCAATGCGATAGAAAGATGGCATTGTTGTTTGCATTAATTATCCATTCATTTGTGATAGGATTTTCAAGCATACGCCATCTTTTAATCCATGAGTTATTTAAAACATACACTTTGTGAAAAGTGGTAATTCACTTTTTTCAATCTCTGAACTTCAAATGCTGTTTTTCTATGCAAGTAATTTTTTTTCAGTATCATCCCAAATAATCAGTATTATCCCAAATAAAGGTTTTTATCATATTTGATTGACTGTGTGAGTGACATGTCTCAAATAATATTTTGTCCTTTTCCTTCAAAAATAGACGCATTGCCTGTTTAACAGAAAGATTGACGTTTTCATATAAATACTACTTTAATTTGTAATTTGTGGTAAATTCGTCAACTTCACATTCATTTGATCTACACTACAGAGCTTTGATCAAGCAAATAACAGTTTACCACCAGAAGTTGAATAAATAAGATCTTTGCTCAGGGTATTGTTCATTGAATGGTACATAATATATCACCATAATGTTTGATATGTAAGAGAAATGAGTGAAACAATACTTACAGTCATAGTTGGATCTCCTTAAGCCGCCATTTTATTTCGCTCCACAGCGTTTCCGCGTGAATGAAACCCTCCGTCATGCATGTAAGAGCATTTGGGTTGGACACCGTGTATACATCAATTACGAGATTGATTTGACTGTATGAATATCTATTGATCTCCAAAACACATAAATATTTTTATTTTATATAAGTCATTTTGTAAATACTGTTTAAAAAATTATGACATATATGAAATGAGTAGAATGCTTCATGCTTACGTAGTTTAAGACAGGCCCGTAGCCAGGGGGTTCAATGGGTTCGAGTGAATCCCCCCTGGCCAAAAAATCTTTCAAAATCATGCAGTTTTTTCACCATTCTGAGCACTTTTTAAGTGATTTTGGCCATTTTTGGTACAAAATTGTCACAAGTGAACCCCCCCTGGAATTTTTCAAAAAGTGAACCCCCCTTGGCAAATCCTGGTTAGGGGCCTGTAAGACTATCATTGTCAATACTTTTCATCTTATTTTGGCCATTTTATCCTTTTAGGCTCAGACTCATAATGTGTAATTTGCCATTTTTGCTCTAGGTTTAGTCTAGTTTTAATGAAGATTTAATACTAGGTTTCTTTAGGTTTTCCTCTCGATGACCACAGCAAAACTGGTTGAAAAAAACTTGTGTTTGGACAATGAAATTGTTGATGGAATATTTGTTATGCCATAATCCCAAGATATACCATGTTAAGAATTTTGTTAATTTAAAAATATCCTTCGGCAACCCCAACTATCAAGTGAATTTGATACTAAAAAATTCAACAATTGAGCAATGAAATGTTAACTTTGGAATATCAATCATATCTCCTTTTGGATAAAAGTAAAATTCCTTATAATCATACGATATCCCAAACCTTTAGATAAATCATGGATAGTTTGTACAGTGCACTATAAAATGTTGGTTGTTTTGTTTTCCAGGGGGACTTTTAAATTAGAAAAACCTGGAGGCTCTATGTTTGAGGTGAAAATCCCAGCTTTTTCTTTGGAAAGTAAACAAGACGACTCTGGTGGCTTCACAAGGACTTGAAGTATTGTGATGTACCATGGTAATGGTAATTGTGCTGATCTACCATAATGGTCATTGTGATGTACCATATTTGCAGTTGTGATTGGTATTCATGATTGACTATAAGAACAGTTTTGAATTACCATAGTATGGTAACCATGATTGACTATAACAGCATTTGTGAACTACCATAATCTTGACTGTGATGTATCATATTTGCAGTCATCATTATTTGTCATGATTTCAGCAATTGTGAAATACCATAATCTATGAACTACCATAATTACAAGTGTGATTATTTATAGAACAGAAAATAAAAAAGTGAAATATTATGCAGAATATTAGACGTCCAGGGAGATTTATGAAGAACACAGTGTAGGCAAGAAAATTACATGACAGCGGTGATCTCCCCAGGATTTTTTCTCAGCTGTGTGCAAAATTCTCATTTTCACAATTCAGACCAAATTTGGTCAAAATATGCCAATTTTCCATGATTTTTCTAATTTTCAAGTGGATGCAAATGGATTTTCACGTCGTTGCATTAGCCTAATTTCAAAATCTCAAGCGGGTGCTGCGCCCACTTGCCTAAATGCTAGGGACATCACTGGACAGGGACTTCATATAAGAAAATGTCAACAGGGTCAATGGTGCTTTTGCTCCACATTTCATAAATATTCTTATCCTGTGTATCTTCCTAAACTCATTGCTGGCCAAAGCTATTTTGAAGGTTTTGAGCTGGTGACTGGCCATTTTGATGAAAAATTGATCAAAATGGCCTGTTTTAAATTTATAAAAGCATAAAATGGACTGTATCGACAACCTCTTTGCTGTTTTATGCAATTGTTAAGCCAATGACAATATATTTCAATTGCACCCAACCATGTCCTCCATTGACCCCTTCAATATTTGGTAAGATTATTGGAACAAATTGTGTGACAATTATTGAACACCATCCCGAGATATACTGGGGTTGGTCAGATATGATTATGACGTCATAGACGAGATACTTTGGGGTTGATCAGCAATGAGTAAAATCAGCAAGGAAAGTGAAGAAATATTTTTATGAAGTTTTTTTTAAATAAAAGGACATATATAAGTGAGTGAATCACTCAAGTTAATTATTGATGTACAAAGTACATAGAGATGTAAAATTATTGTTTTATTTTAAAATCTGGTTGGTTATATCCCAAGGCTTAGGTGCTTTTATGTCACTAAATTAGTGTTTTTATGTGACAGAATTAGTGCTTTTGTGTGACTAAATTAGTGCTTTTATGTGACGGAATTAGTCACAGGTGCTTGTTGAGTGTCAGGGTGCTAAACTCTGATGTTGAGATATACAAGCTCAGCAAAATTTTGCAGAAAAATATTTTATAGATATTTTTCAGGAAAATATTTTAAAGATATTTTTCAGAAAAATATTTTAAAGATATTTTTCAGAAATAAATTAAGATTTTATTTATTAAACATTTTGTTGACTGAAACTGAAATTATGTTTTGCCTCGCCTATTTAAGTTTGCTTCACCATTTGTGAATACTGGCTTTGCCTCTTACATAACAATACAACGTTTACTTTGCCTCTTACATAGCATTTAGTCTTTAATCATGTATTAAAATTGCTTTATTTGAAACATCTCACAGGAGTGAATCTGGAACATTTGAAGATTGGTGAACAAGCTAAACTGAAGAAATATGTGAACATCAAAATACAGAAAATTTGTGAAGTGGAACACCTTTTTAAGTGAATCACTTTGTAAGTGGAACACCTTTGTAAGTGGAACACTGTTGTAAGTGGAATATGGTTGCAAGTTGAGCACTTTGTAAGTGGAACACTCTCGTATGTGGAACACCTTTGTAAGTAAAACACTTTCGTAGGTGAAACACTGTCGTAAGTGCAACACTGTCGTAAGTGGAACACCTTCGTAAGCGGAACTCCATTGTAAGTGGAACAGTTCAAACTATTTGACCTATGGACTCCAAGTAAATTAAACCCCAATAAGTGGAACATATAAGGCATAAATAAAACACTGGTGGAACCATGAGTGATCCATCTTGCACGGGTTTTACTGTATACTGAAAAGAAATTTGCTTTCTGTACTTAAGTCATATGTATATATGAAAATTATTGTACTAACTGGAATGAATAGCAGATTTATATTTTGTAAGATGTAATTATTGTATTTCCCCATCATTTGTACATAAGGCTGTCCAAAGTTAAAACGATGTTGAACATCCACTACAGGGAGTTAAACAGAGAATTAACCTTGTGTGGCCTTACATTGTAAATATTGTAAATTACTCATCCTTCCATTTGGAATCATTAAAAAAAACTTGAAATGAATAGAAGGTAAATTTAATAGTAAAATATTGGATTGTTTTGTTCTGGCATACTGATTTAGCAAAATAGGGAAGAAGAGAGTGATTAGGTGTGTCTTAATGAACACCTCTCTCTAGTGATCACCTGTCTGTCTGTCTCTAGTGGACAACCTTCCCCCGCACATACTCTACTGACTTCTGCATAAATTACCCTCTATGTAGTGAACACCTACCTACAGTGAACACATTATTGAGGCTCCATAGGTGTTCACTATATACCAGTTGTACTGTATGTATGGATACATTTTGATGCCAACGATCTTTAAGTTAATAATGTAAGTACAATGGCCCTAATAAAATTTCTTCATCTAAAATCTGCCAAATTCAAACTATGACTGGGACAGAAAAAACTACATGGTTTATGTTTTTTTATTTTTCAAATACCAGACAATAGGGGAAGAAAACCCTATATCTGTTTAGTCTACAGTATTTAGATATTCGTTTCATAAACAGTTCCATAATCTTTCCAGTCCATGGCAGGATTACTGTAAGCTTCCTCCCTGAGTTCTTCCATACGATTCAATTTGGCAATTCTTCGCTCACGAAATTCTAAAAATCCATAACTTATCATACCAACTGTCAAAATAGTCATAAGAATGTAGATTTTAGTGGAAATGCATAAGAAATTACTGTAGGCATACGCTATGATAAAACCGAGAGATTCCCATAAGCGATAGTTCGCAAATGCTGGTTCTGATTTACTGGTGAAAATGCTCCCATAGAGGGCGTTGATCTGAGTCTGCCAAACTGCATCTGACATTCCCCATAATGCTGACATGGCAAAAAATACAGCCAGCTGATTGGCTGATGGTTGCCATATCAACAAGGTTATTTGCACACCATAGTTCAGTACTGCACCTGTAAGTTAAAAAAAATTGGGCTGAAGTTGGAAAAAATATCATGTGCTGTTCTCATAAAAAGTTAGATTCTTAAGTTTGATATCTTTCCCAAATCACATGTGTACTGATAGCACTGGCATTTCAAATTGCCTGCCTGCTCAAGAGTCAAAATAGCCGACAATAATTGTTTCAGTAGTATTTATGTCACCACTATGGTGTATCATAGTGTCTAGATACCATTTCTTGTGACAGATATTTGGTGTCTGTAACAGTTGGTTACACTTCAGTTATTGCTGCGGGACAGTGACAATTTGTCACATGTCAATGCCTCTACTAATTGCTTAAAAAGAATAATTTTATGGAGCAGATTTCCATATTATTGGTATATTGGCAAGTTTAATAAATGCAAGAAACGAACAGGGGGTCATTAACAGAAACTTTGCAAAGTTAAGAATTCGTAAATCAATTGTAACCATGGATATAATGATGTCACAGTTAGAGAAAAATGGACTTTACAAATTCTTAACTTGACAAACTTTCTGTTCATGGCCCCCTGATGGATCAATTTACTCACCAAGTACAAAGAATGGTATTCGTCCAACATACTTAACTAGTCTTCCAAATATCAAAGAACAAAGTGCATTTGTGACTCCAAAACATATGATGACATAGCCAACCATCCATATTCCCAAGGCACAGCTCACATAGGCCTGTAGCAAGAGAATATATATGAATGAAATGGGCAAAGTTGGGATTTAGAATGAGTATTTATGAATCTCTAATTACTCTAATCTATTATTAGATCATTTTATGTCACCACCATAAGCGGTGACATATTGTTTTAGTCTCCACTTATGGTGGACCGTGTTTGGCAGTTGGTGTTCAGAGCTTGGTGTTTGGAGTTGGTGTCTGTAACAAATAGCAGGTAGTGACATTTTGCATGTTAATGCCTTGTAATAATTCATTTCTCACAAAAAGTCTGCTATTATAGTTACAAGTTGTAAGCTGGCCCCTTTCCAAGTACCTTGGTGTAGTCGCTGGCCAGAAAAGCCTGTTCCAGTCCACTGTATATTGTCAACGGGATCAACAATAGCTGACTCCTATGTTTCATGTGCCTTAATGTGGCTATCAAATACTGCGGTTTCAATCTCTTCCAACAAGATTCGGTCTTTATCAGATTTTCCTAAATAAAATGGATTATGGCATATTTGAAAATATATATATTATATGCTTAATATTCTTAGATGTGCACACTCCCCTAAAAAGTTTGGCAACATGAATGACTATTTTAAATGATTCGTTTTCATACTTAATGGAACATTTCAAACATAAACCAGCTTGAAAATGCTAATAAAGAAACAACGTTGCTAAGCTTCAATAGAAGGTATAGTTCAACCATATACAGTGCTCACCATAAATAAATGACACCTGGATTTGCTGAAGTGAGGATTTCCCATGTTAAAAAGAAAATAATTTTCAAGAGGCTATACTCGTACATCAGTGGATGAGAGTATACAAAATGTAAAATTTACAAAACTTAAGGGATGTGTATCTAGACATTATTGGAAAGTATGAAGTCTCAAATCACCATGGTCTGGAAATGGTGATAGAAAATCCAGGTGTCATTTATTTATGGTGAGCACTTTATCTTGTTTGAGGTGACATGTTATGCAATCATGGAGACAGATACCTCAGTATGCATGTACTGTATCACAAAAGTACTTAATAAAAATGATTTAAAAAGAGTAAAGAAGAACTAACCTTAGATGCATCAAATTCAACAATCTCATGCCCATTGCTTGCATTTTCACCATCATCTACAGAATTCGTTGATAAATCATTTGAAGCATACACTGTTGTTAATGTAGATATACTTCCTGAGGTACTTGGTTCTGTGACTGGATCTTGTTGTTTGGTAACCATGGTTATATCATCAGGCTTTGATTTAAGGTTGTCCAGGAAAATTGCAGTGATGACTGAGGACAGTAAAGAACATGAGAGGTAGATACCACACAGCATGTACACCTGAATGTGATCACCACATTATGTAAACACCACAGTATGTAAACATGAATGTAAACAACACATCATGTATACACCACATATCATATACACCTGAATGTAAACTACACGGTATGTAAACACAACAGTATGTAAACATGAATGTAAACAAAGTATGTAAACATCAATGTAAACAACACATGTATACACCACACATCATAAACAACTGAATGTAAACTACACGGTATGTAAACACCACAGTATGTAAACAACGCATCATGTATACACAACACATCATATACTGAATATAAACTACACGGTATGTAAACACCACAGTTTGTAAACAACGCATCATGTATACACAACACATCATATACTGAATATAAACTACACGGTATGTAAACACCACAGTTTGTAAACAACGCATCATGTATACACAACACATCATATACTGAATATAAACTACACGGTATGTAAACACCACAGTTTGTAAACAACGCATCATGTATACACAACACATCATATACTGAATATAAACTACACGGTATGTAAACACCACAGTTTGTAAACAACGCATCATGTATACACAACACATCATATACTGAATATAAACTACACGGTATGTAAACACCACAGTTTGTAAACAACGCATCATGTATACACAACACATCATATACTGAATATAAACTACACGGTATGTAAACACCACAGTTTGTAAACAACGCATCATGTATACACAACACATCATATACTGAATATAAACTACACGGTATGTAAACACCACAGTTTGTAAACATGCATGTAAACAAAATACCATAACACCCATAGACGTACACCTACTCGTATGTAGATATAAATGTAAACGATGTACACTTAATGTAAACAACATAGTGTGTAAACATGAATGTAAACAAAACATCACAATAAACACGAAGGTAAACAACAGTTTATACACTATTAAACATTATTCACTTGTTGAAATTCTCCAGTATCCACTACCAAAACAAAATAAAACACATAGTTGTGCCATCCTGAACATTTAAGAGGTCTAACCTGGGATAATTCTGGCCTCTCTAGATTACTATTTGAATTATCTTCTGGCTCTTGGCAGTACTGGGCTCCGCAGTTTTGTAAAATGTACTCTGGAATGACGTCCGTTCCATTCTCTGGCAGTTTGGTAAGCACCAGAGAAGATATCAAATTCCCCCATATCTGACCTGAAATTGTTTTAAAAAATTGAAAATATTGGCAGTTTTGGAACACCCTGTAGGTTTACAGAGAGATGGTGGTATAAATGATTTTTTTATATCATCTATTCATATAAACGATTCAAAGAGAAAAGATGTGCAAAGATGTCTACAACCTACCCATGTAATTTTATCCTATAGTTCTTGTAAAATAACTGAAAAATATAAAAACTCTTTCCATGATATTTTGGAGTTTTTCAAAGACCATCAGAATGAATAATACGAGCACAAAATAGTCAAATGATTGAAACAACTTTTACAAGTCTTTACCTGACTGAAATATAAAAAAGAATACGCCAAAGAATCTGTTAATGACAGCTTCTGTCGTTTCCTTGGTTATCCCACTGTATTCCTCGGCTGTTTCTGTTAAATAAGTACATTTAGCAGACCATAAAGGCGCCGCCCCTAATCCCAGAATGATCGCCCCGGGGATGATGGTACCCCAAGTGGCGTAAAAGTTAGCGGCGATGTACGCCGCGTACGTCAAAAGGGAACACATAATCGTCCATTTACAGCCGATATTCTTAATAAGGATCGTCGGCAGGAACATGCATGATATAACAAGAGCAGCGTAGACGACTGAGAGGCCGGCAACTCCTAGACCTTCCTCTCTGTTTAAACTGCTTTGGAGATTCGAAAGCGACTGAAATGCTGTGAAGTTCATCAAAAAGGCGACTGCAACGACAAGCACATTTTTCCATACTTTTAATTGCTTGCGTTTTGCCTCCGCTGGTGATAGTTCTTTCGTTGGTTTCGATTTGTTATTTACAGGTTGGGGTGCGGGTAAGGGTATCTGCCTTGTAGATCTCATCGGATGGCGTATGATTGGTTCGACCGATCCCGACACTTCGGTATCGCTTGTGTGTGACATTTTGGGCAACTGCTGCCAACACAATATTTCTTGAAGAACCTTTACCAAATCATCTAGGAACGTCTTCAGTATTTATAGCAAAACTGAATTTGTTCATCGTCCTGGTTGTGGTAGTTTCGTATTTTAAAGGCTGTTCATACCAATTGTGACATACTGCTGATGCATTTTAACAGCCATTTTTCTACTTTAAAAAAGTTTCCTTTACACTTCCAGCTGTATTACACGGTGTTATATTTATCTGATTTTTACACATATTTTCGGCATTGAACTTCACAACGTTTAACCTCAATAAGTGAATAAAAAAGTGGCTCATTTGCATTTAAACGTCTTTTGATAGCGTCCGTTGAATAAACTGTACTAGAAGTCTATATTTACTGAGTTTTATGTGTAGTTTATTGCTGTTTTAAGCGAAGAAATAGTTGCTCTTTATAAAGAATTTTATGTTCTTTAATAGTTCAGCGAGAACGCTATCTACGAGGCGAAATGAGAAGTTTCGAAAAATTGTTACAATTTTACAATCTGTTTTACTTTCATTATTCCATGTCGTGCCTTTTTCGAAAAGATCTAACAGTTCTGAATTTATTTTTGCATTTTCGATTTTGAAGGTGCTTGCAAAAATTGAAAATAAATATTGCATGATTTTGAAAGGATTCACACACAGTTCTGCTTTAATTTTGAGTACATCCTAAATATAAAAGTGTACTACTTTTTTGACCCACCCTGTAAGTGGTCAGTATCAAGCAAAGGTTATCTTGTGCGTTTGGTTGCCGTTCGTTCGTAGTTTGTTTATTTGCTTGTTTGTAACGTATTTCTAGTTTTTCGAAGATTTTTCTAGTGTCAGTTTTTTAAGTTTTACAGACCAAGCTGTAGCTTTTAAGTTCACTTTTGGCATAGAATGGACGACGATCTAGATATTCCACTGTATTCTGATTATTTGAAATGCGTTCGTTTTTATTTGAGAGTTGGAAGATGATATTTGCACACATAGATAAGAAGTGGGGTAGGCAGCATAGGATGTAAATATATTTTCCTCACGAGGCCCGTTGCCAGGAGTATGCTATGAATACTCAAAGAATCCCCTGGAATTTAGAAAAAATGAACTGCATTGTTTAGCTGGCTACGCGGGCATGAGAGACAAAATTAACTACAATGGAACTCAATTGGAACGGTCATGTTTGGATCTAGTATAAAGTAACCTACAGGGTGTCCAATAAATAAGGTGAAATAGGACTGTTTTTATATTGTATTTGCGGTAGTAATAGACTTGGGAGTATGAATAAAGCTATCAGAAAGAATTAATATGTTTTTGAAAGTTGTGACGTAAACAAACTTGCCCCGCCTTTTTGTTGTTTTGGTTGCTATAGCAACCACAACTCTGGCCAATCAAATAGAAGACGCTTTAAATTCACGGAATAGAGGTAAAAAGGTTTGAGCTACAAACTCTGAAAATTTCATCAAGATTGGTGCAATATCAAGGAGGATTGGCTCCCAGGATCGAAACTCGATATTTTCCAACAATGAAAACGTCGAAATGTCGTTATTTTCTGAAATTAAAACCGACTATAAATTCAAAATAAACAGTTCAAAAGATTCGAACCAATATCTCGATCATTTCTTGTGAGTTTTGGAATTTTTCGTTTGGAAATAAGACCAAAATTCACGATTTAAATGTTGAAGTGAACAAAATGGCGGCTGTTTGAATTCGAATTTTGTATTACGACATACCCATATATGGGACAGAATATCGGTGGTGCACTCTGGGAGCCAATCCTCCTTGGTGCAATATTAAGAAAGTTACAATGTCTTTCACCTTATTTATTGGACACCCTGTACATGAAATGTCATTAGGCTATTTAACAATAAACTAGATTTACTTCTTTAAGTATTCAAAATTTAGTTAAAGGGATATAATATTCGAAGTCTAATTTTGCATCTAGAAATGCGGTTAAACCAACTTTGAAAATTTAATCTACTTTGAAATGTGACCTAGGTCGGGAGCTTAACCATAGACCCCATGTTACAAAATCACAAAAAGTGAAATATCTTTTCTTGTGTTGGGTAGATAACATTTTCTTTTACATTTAGCCTAGTTTGGGACTGTTGACGTGGTACATATATTTATTAAAACTACTATGCTGATTGTTCGGGCCAAAACTATTTTACTAATGGAATTCAAGACATAGCCTATTGATGGGTTGAGAGTAAGTTTCAGGTCATCCCTCAGTTCCCAAAAAGTATAATTCCTGATTTTATATCAGGATGATCGGGGATAATCCTTTGGTTCTTCATATAATTGTGAGTTACCCAACGTCCTTTTCGACTTAAGTGACGAGTTAGGACATTTCTCATTTCTTCAATAGCTTCACTGGTGATCCACTCGATTACGCTGGTTACCGAAACGGTTCGTTTTGGTAACAAAATGTCGGAACGTCGATGGTTCGATTTTTCTTTTTTCCTTATTTCACGCGTTGTAGGCAGAATCCACACGACGTTTTTTCTCACAAACGTGTATCAGTATCATATGTTTTAGAAAAAGTTCATGTTTGCGAAAAAATAGCCCAGAAGACAACAGAATCGTCGATTTAATTCCTCACTTAAGTTACATAAACGGTTTGGGTTAAAAGTGCAGATCTTAACTGTTTTTCGAAAAACCGTTTATGTAACTTAGGCGAAGAATTAAATCGACGATTCTGTTGTCTTCTGAACTATTTGTTCGCACATATGTACATTTTCTTAAACATATGACACTGATACACGTTTGTGTTAAAAAATGTCGTGGGAATTCTGCCTACAACGTGTGAAGTAAGGAAAAGAGAAAAATCGTACCTTCGACGTTCCGACATTTTGTTACCAAAACGAACCGTTTCGGTAACCAGCGTAATCGAGTGGTTCACCAGTGAGCTTGGGGTCCGCGCATTATACCGAAACTCATTATACCAACGCGCATTATACCGAAACCCATTATACCTTCGCGCATTATACCGAAACCCATTATACCGACGCGCATTGTACCGACGCGCATTGGCCGAAAGGCGTTATACCGAATGCCATAATCACTGTTCCACAACTAGTTACTTTGACGGAACGTCAATGTAACAAAATGGATGAATTTAACGATGTTCCATGCGTTCTATTTTCATGATTCAAGTTCTACTATGAGGGGCATAGCAATAAATAAAAAATTATCATCTAAAATGTCGTTAAATACAAAAATGAAATTGGTCCGTCTAATAACCGAGAAATCAAGCATTACGTATTCTACTTTAAAAACACGATTTTACAAACCAAAGGTTTACGTGCATTTATTCATCGTGGTAAAGCATGGCTAGCCACACGTTAAGCACACCATTGGAAAGTTACTTTTGCGATTTTATCACTATATCATAATGATATTTACCAGAACAAAATAGAGAATTAAACCTTAGAATGTTAATGATACATCCTGAAAGGATATGGTACTTCCCCGCTCAACGCATTCCCCAAAAAGTCTGATTCTGTAGAATTGACCCTTTCCATATAAATGGAAAAATAGATGGCATCATGGGTATAGGTAGGGCTAAATAACATGACAAGAGTCACTTGATTTCTTGATTTAACAAGTAATTCCAATTGAATCAACTTAAAACACCATTAGAATGTAACTATATGATATTATTGACATATGGATTGTGGTTTCACATTAAAATTGTGATCCTTGTAAGAGTAAATGAACTTTTGAAGGTTTTTCAACATTGTGTCAATGGGGATTTAGCCTAACCATTTTTTAGAAAACTTGAAAATCTCTAGAATTTGAATAAAGGTAAATAACAGTGCAAAAACTAAGTTGTTTTTATAGAAAATTACACACAGAATTCAAATTGTCTTTAGTGATTAAAAATGCAGTTCTCCTAAAGTCTCATTAAAACGAGACCTTAACGAGATTTCAAAGCTATATGGAAAAGTATTTTGAGTAGCGAGTGTAAATTATTTTCGGAAACATGATTATGTTTTCCCTGTAATATGAATTGGAGATATCTGACAAAATATGGATAGCCTAAAATATAAATTTTGTGTTTTTGAACATGCGGAAATATCTTGAACACTTGAAATAGTTCCTTAATAGGTCGTTCAGTTTTCTTGTTTTTGTTCTACACAACACTGTTGTGTTTAATAGCCACGCGTAATTATTAATACGCGTAATCAGCTTATTTCAAGCGTCGAAATAGCTTATTTTCCTCGACGTATCTACACAAACCTATTCACTTACCGTTATATTGAGCGATCTAGATGCGTCAATTATAATTTTTTCACTCATCGGCTTTAGTCACAGGCCCGCGATACCTTTTATTTCATTTATTTGAGACGCAATTGATATATTGGCAACAAATCATGATCAAATGTTCTAAATGATTCTTCTTCATTTAGGAATGTTTCTCCTACCCGATATTCAAAGATGTGTCTTAAATATTATACTTTACATTGATCACGATTCTTGTACTTTCTGTCTTTACGACATTTGCAAGAGTTGTTGATTGCATTGCCTTGATCGTTGGTCGAACTTCGATTCCAACTAAATCAGATTAATCAATTAAGAAATGTAATATCATGTTTATCCAAGCAAATAATTGTAACAACTACATTATTTTTAGCAGTTTTGACACCTAAGCAGGGTAGCCTAGTGGCGTAGACTGAGGCTACTTTGCGGTTGAACGTCGTGGGATACGGAGGTCCCGCGTTCGAGCCCCAGGTACGGAGTTGTTGATCATTGTCACTACGGACACCCGGTCCGAAGGTCCAACCGTTTACCGGCCCTTGGCATGGGTTGGTTCTCTGGCCGCTCTTGCCGGAGACAGATTGTGAGACTGTGGTTGGTTCCTCCACTAACGTGCTTTAGTAAACTCCGGGAGTCATATTGTATGGTAGCGGGCCCCCACCATGGGCAGTAGTGGAACGACGCGAATCGGTCCCAGTATGGTTGCCTTGCAACTGAAGAGACTCGGGGAAATCATGCCATTCGCAGTGACCCAGAAAAGACTTTTGCTTCTTAATTTGACGTTTTAATTCATTTATTTACATACTTTATTCAAATTACTTTCCAGGCAGTTATGATTTTTATTGGTCAAATGAATGAACGAAATACTGGGTGTTCAAAAAAATGCAACCCAAAGAAATCGCTATATCTTGGAAAATACTAATGCAATTATGTTCATTTTTTCAGGAAAGAAAGAAGAGACTGTGTGTGTATACCTCCTGCAGTTGATAAGTTATAAAACTTGATGCCTTAGACACCTGCTCAAAAGACATTAGTATTGGAAAGATACGAAAAACGCAGTCAAGGGTGACTGCCACTGCAATAAAACTGAATAGTGTTTTAGCTCTTCAAATTTGGCACAAATCATCTTCATTCAAAGTATGGTAAAGCTGTAGAGTGAAATCAAAATCACTCCTGGGACTTTACAGATATGGTCGAAATGCGTTCAAAACGCAGTCAAACGCCATGGTTCAGGCAGACTTAAGAAGGTATTTTGACCATGACTGTAAAGTCCCTGGAGCGATTTTGATGAAACTCCTCAAATTCACCACACATTGAATGAGGATAATTTGTGCCAAATCTGAAGTGCCAAAATACTATGGTTGGAAAGTTATTCAGTTTTATTGCTATGGCAGTCACCTGTGACTGCATTTTTCGTATCTTTCTAATACTTATGTCTTTTGAGCAGGCGTCCAAGGCTTCATGTTTTACAACTAAATAACTACAGGAGCTCTACATGCACAGTCTCTTCTTTCTTTTCCTGAAAAAATGAGTGCAATTGTATAAGTATTTTTCAAGATATAGCGATTTCTTTGGGTTGCGTTTTTTTGAACACCCTGTAGTATCAAAACCATAATTCGATCTGTCGGACATATATAAAATAACACTTGAAAACACAACACACATTGCTGCAATATCAAAATCAAATTGAGAATCAGATGACCTGCTAAGCCTAGTATTGATTTGACCCTAAATAGATATTAAAGGGACGTTGAATATTGGACTTAAATAATGAGCACCATTTTAAACCATCCTTCAAGATCGGTCCTTCACTGCTTTCATAGCAGATCAATGTAATGCAATGAATTACTCTTGGGCCATGGATGTTTTAAACTGACAATTAAAACATGTATTCAATGTTTCAAAATAATGAAATAATTGATAGTTCGTTTGTGGAATGAAAACTGATGATAGAGATAATATCAGTAGCAATTTAAACATGGAAATTATGCCAATTTATAAGTATTATATGAAAAGAAATGTTTGTGAAATGGTCAGAAAATGAAATAACTTCAGAATTAATGGGATCATTGAGGCACACATTGATAAAAATCACACTTGGATTTGGAAAGATTTCTGCATGATCAGATATCCCAGTTCCGTCAACAGAAGAGTAAATCTACTTCTCTTGAGCGAACGGGACTAGAATGAGTAATTAAAAAGTTTTAAACTTTTGAATATCGCGCCATTAACTAAGGGGGCGTGTCCAATATGTGAAACGTTGATTGGGCGTCCCATGGCCTACTTCCGTAAATAACAAAGATGGCTTTTCGAAGGTTGCAAGTTTCACAAATAACCAAGTGCTTTACCAGACAATGCAAGGGTGTATTCGCTCCAAAACAAAGTAGTCGTGTACCCATCGTTCTTCAGCACAGAGGGATCATAAGCACGGCTGATGACTTGCTAAAGACTCGTCGGAAAACTGGTGTGTTGGACAGTTCCATAAGTTGGATTGACACAGATTTTGATAATAAGCACGGTACAGCTGATCGAGCAGTTGTATTCCTCCATGGCAACCCAACCTATTCGTATATATGGCGTAATATTATTCCCCATGTGAGCCCGATCGCTCGTTGTATCGCCCCTGATCTTATCGGAATGGGCCACTCCGATAAACTTCCTATGGGTGCGCAGTATCGTTTTATGGACCATTATCGCTATTTATCATCATGGATGCATATGGCGAAACTACCAAAGAAAATAACACTAGTTACACATGAATGGGGCTCTGCTCTCGGGTTTGACTGGGCGTCTAAGCATCCTAAACGAATTGAAGGAATTGTGCACATGGAAAGCATTATGAAACCAATGCAATCGTGGGAAGATTGGCCAGAAGTTGGCCGTAAAATTTTCCAAATGATTCACTCGAAGGCTGGTGATGACATTGTCTTAAACAAGAACCTTTTCATTGAAAAACTACTTCCGAATAACATAATACGAGACTTGACTTTTGAGGAATTAACGTCATACAGGCGGCCATTTTTAAAAGAAGGTGAGCCACGACGAGCTCAGTTAACTTGGATACGGGAACTTCCCTTCGTTGAAAAAATCAAAGGTCAACATGATCATGGTAACGTTGACACCATCCAATACTTCATGCAATGGTTGAGAAAAACAGACGACATCCCAAAATTGTACATAGCGGCAGATCCCGGATACTTGACACCTGTGATGGCAAGCACTGCAGAAAGACTACCTAATCAGAAGAAAGTTACAGTCGAAGGACTTCATTATCTTCAAGAGGACTCCCCAGATGACATTGGAAAAGCTATAGCTGAGTTTCTCGTAAATGATGTCTATAAAGACTAATAGATGTCAGTCAGGTACATTCTACCTTGCTATGGATTAATAAATAATTGGCAGCTTCATTTAGCATTTAAAATGTAGTAACTGAAAGACCATTGATTTTGGTCTCTAAATCATAATTATGTCGATGGAGTTAGATCCTGACTCTAAAAATGAAATAATAACATTTATGTGGTGATGAAATTCAAAGGGTGGTGGCACAATATTAGCATGAAATAACGATGAACAATGTTCAGTAAGGCTAAGGAAATTTAATTCTATGTTTAGCATGAAATAAGATAAGGCCAAGGTAATTTAATTCTATGTTTAGCATGAAATAAAGATGTTCAGTAAGGCTAAGGACATTTAATTCTATGTTTGGCATCATAATTAGACTATGTAGTTGCATAGAAAAATAGGCGAACTAAAGAAACGAGGCAGAACTTTTCACAGTTTAAGTCTGAAAATCCTCCAGTAATATTTTTAAGTGAAATTTTGGTGATGCAGTAGCCAAAATCATCAGGAGTCAAAAAAGTGGGCGAAAAAGCTAAACACTTTATTTCCTTAGCCTAGTTTATGATGCATTTTAAACTATGATTCTGTTATCTACCTCATGTAAAGGCCATGCCTCAGAGCATCACTGGTCTCTTAAAATTGCACAATGTAATAAAAAGGGTAATGCTACCCAACAACCATTATTTAACAACTCACCTGAATTGAACATCTATAAGAAAAAACAAAAGATAGTAAAACCTGGATATCTGAATACCTCTCAATGTGAACACTTTCCTCTTTGCGAATTTTGTTAGCTCCTATAAACTCACATTTTATTCAGGTTTTCACAGCAACTTTCAGATTTGAAAGGTTTTACTATAGCTTCGTTATATTAATTGACTTATTATTTAAGATTGTAAACTTAAGACAGTTTCATGGAATTGAATTTTGTAATTTTTGCAAGATTTTCCCAGAGATACATGCAGCTACATCTGTGAAAAATTTAACAAAGAAAAGTTATAAGTTCTATGAATGAAAAAGGGCTATTTACTTTAACATTATTTTCCACGCATTTCCAAGGTTTACATAACTGTTGTGCCATAATACTATATTTTGCTAGACTGATGCAGATGTGATATGTAAAAAGGTGTGATAAAGAAAAGTTAATAGTTCTATTAAAGAAAAAAGGGCTAATTACTTTATGAACATTATTTTCCGTGGAATATTTCCAAGATTTACAGTAGTGCCATTATACTTTGCAGATGAGATCTGTTAAAAAAATGTTACAAAGAAAAGTTAAAAGTTCTATGAAAGAAAAAAGGGCCTTTTACTTTATGAACATTATTTTCCACGCAATATTTCCAAGGTTTACAGTAGTGCCATTATTTTCCATGCAATATTTCCAAGGTTTACAGTAGTACCATTATAATTTGCAGATGTGATCTGTTAAAAAATGTAACAAAGAAAAGTTAATAGTTGTATTAAACATGAACATTATCATGTATGCCAGTTTACATACTGTTAGTGCCATAATATATCATATGTTTTGCGATATGCTGATGTGATCTGTTAAAGAATAAATCTAATGAAGAAAATTGCTCTTCAAAATAAATGTTCTGTATTTTTATTGTGTTCTTTTTTGAATGTCAAAGATTCTCCTCTCAGATAAACATTTCATTTTTATGTCACCATCATTTTTATGTCACCATTTGAAGTGGTGACATATTGTTATAGTCTTTTTTTGTGGATGGTGTTCAAGAGTTGATGTTCGGCATTCAGTGGACAGGTGTAGGAGTCTGTAACAAATGACAGGTGGTGAAATTTTGCATGTTAATGCCTTGTTTAGTTCCTTGCTTTTGCTACAAAAATATATTTGATATAATCTTGAATCAAGAGAGAAAGGGGGAAGGAATATATGTTATATCCTATGGTATAGAGTTTTACGAGGCACTTGCCTTGCCTCTCTCACGCCCATATATAATACATCCATACATGTTGTTCTGTATTTCAAGCTACAACACAAATTACACAATGCTTCAGGATGATAGTGGGAATCGACCTAAGATTTTGCGAGGCACTTGCCTTGCCTCTCTCACGCCCATATATAATACATCCATACATGTAGTTCTGTATTTCAAGCTACAACACAAATTACACAATGCTTCGGGATGATAGCAGGGATGGACCTAAGATTAATTGTGACATGATTGTCTGGGGCTATGTCTAATAAATGGCTATTAAAGTCTATCAAGGAGTGAACAGTGCAGTAATTAATACAGTCAGCCATTCTGATTTTACATTATCTTTTAAACTTTATCTTTAGGGAGTAGAAACAAATTGAGAATAAATTTTGAAGAAATTGGCATACAATATCATTGGAGAAATTGGCATACAATATCATTGAAATTGGCATACAATATCATTGATGAAATTGGCATACAATATCATTGAAGACACTGACCGTAAATATACTAAGTCATTTATACTGAATTTGACATTATTTTCAAATATAGACCTCACATGAACACACATAAAACGATCTTGGTTACAGTGCAAAGCCAGAACTACATGTGCAGATTTCGGATAAACAGCTGACTTGGTCAAATAAGCCAAAAAACCTGAAAAGTTGAGATATCAAGACAGATGGTAAAATATGTGCTTTTGATTAATGGATAAATATTAATGATTAACGACATCTGACACACATGTTTATTTTATGAACAATAGGAGTACAATACATTACAGAAATTATATCTACTGGTATTAACTAGTAGTACATTGAACATTGAATTGCATGTGAAACGGAACATATGTTCTCAAACTATGCATAGTTCTATGCATAGTTCAGTAATTGTAACATTGCTATAGATACTAGTGTAGTATGAACTCAATTTTAAAATTTTGCATGAAATAGCCTGACCCTAAGACGAGCAATGCTGACTTTGGAGACTATAGTCAAACCAAGGCAAAACTGAGGTTGGTCTAAGTTGACTGCTCAATCTGAGCTAGGCTAATCAATTATTTTGACACCAAAAACCAGAAAAAATGATCACGATAGTAAAACCATGGAAGAAAATGCGATCAAGAACCATCTGGATTATAGTAGGAATTATATCAACTCTTATTGTCATTTATTATTTTCAAAATAAAGAGGCAGATATTTCGAGGCGGTTACCAAAAGTTTTAATTTCAGGAGCTGCAAAATGTGGCACTACAGCCCTGGCGACGTTTCTGAGATTCCATCCCCAATTGAAATTCACAGATCAAGAGGAAGTTTGCTATTTTTCCCGCTATAAACATTTTAGTAAAGGGACTGATTGGTATCGGAATTTAATGCCGTTAAGTTCTAAAATTGGGGGTGAGCTCACTGTTGAGAAGTGCCCAGATTACTGGGAGCAAATTCAAGCGCTGGAACGGATCCATGGTATGGATAGTGATATCCGGTTATTGATTATATTATGTAATCCTGTTAAGCAGGTAATTTCAAGGTACACGCAACGAAAAAATTCTTGGCTTCACAAAGCTGAACAATTACATAATATACAAACAAAAGGTCAAACTTGGAATTTAACGTTTGAGGACTTTGCTATTGACCCTAGCACTGGTGGAGTAAGGGTCGAATGGGATGCCATACAAAAAGCAATCTTTATTAATCACATAAGAAATGTGTTTTATATTTTTGAAAATTCTCAAGTTCATATTATAGATGGCGATAATTTTGTCCATAATCCTGTCTTTGAATTAAGAAAAGTAGAAACTTTTCTTGGATTAGGGCATGTTTTCAAAGATGACTTTTTTGCATATGATGAAGAAAAGGGTTTTTATTGTATGACAACTGATAAAGGAAAACATAAGAATTGTTTGTCTAAGGCAAAAGGTAGGCCCCATCCCAGAATAGATGGCACTGTGATGAAAAAGTTAAAATCTTTCTTCTGGCCAAGAAATGAAGAATTTTATGGCCTAATTGGACGAAGATACAACTGGGAATAATGTTTCGCCAATGAAATACACTTCTAATCTATGCTGCGTATCACCAATTTAGACTTTTGAAGATTATTTAGCTGAAAGTACACCCATAGAAATTAGAACTGAAATAATATAAGCAAAAATTGTATACAGATTTACTTCGGTTAATTTGGTAAATTTTTTCAATTTTTGACATTTAGCAGCTATCTAATTTGGCAGATTTGGGCTGAATTTAATTTTATCAGAATCAGATCATGTTTTGAATTGACAATATTCATGAGTACTAGCATTTCTGATGTTTCTGATTCTAATACTATCTGCCATTTAAGCAATATGATCTTGTTCCCCAACATTTGAGACAATAAATACTTTTGTTTTTCTTAGCCATTTTAAAATAACACTGTTACAACTAAAACCAGAAGACAATCTTTGCATGTACACTGTATGAAAACATTTCCGGAGAGTTGTCTTAAATCATGGCAAAAATGTAAACTGGCAAGTTTTTCAATGACAAAATTCACAAAAATTGGCACCAAATTAACCAAAGTAATAATAAACTGACACCTAAACCTGACTTTTTTTGGACTATAGTTCCCCAAAATTGCAGTTGGGATGGACATCATATCAACAATTGACTACACTTGGCCTTGCTCATCCCATCATTTAAAATCAAAACATGTAAATAATCATTAGATTCAATATCCTTTGTATTTCAAAAATACAATACTCTATGTACAATCATGTATTATATTATAATGCATATTTAAAGATAATTTTCATATATACACAAACTTTAAAGCTTTGGCAACATCCCTTGTAACAAATGCATATACTGTATTCTATATGAACAGAGGCATCTAATAATAGAAACATACTAATAATAACATACATGGGTACAGGAAAGGGGGTCTTATCCCAGATTTTTTCAATATTTTGATTTTTGATCTTAATAAGCACAAAGAGACCTTTCAAATGAGCCATGGCTTATATCTTAACAATTTCTCTTTGTAGATATAGACCAAAAAGACGGATTTGAATTTAGCATTTCTCTTTAATCTAAACCACATATTTGTAGCTTTGTAGCACAATTTTAATTTTTGTGATAACACAAGTTTTCCTGTATTAAGGTTCTTTTACACAGTTATAGTACAAAGAAAATGCAACATTTTTACTCCATACTTATGATCAATTGAAATGATTAGAAAGAACTAATTTGTACATTCATGATTTACTAAAATATACAAGTTCATGTACAATACAAATGATTTCAGATATTGTAAACATTTTCATTTTTATGTCACCACCAGTTGTAGTGATTTCTATATACAATAATTTCTTAACTCATTCACTTTGAAGGACGTGATATGACGTCATTAAGCACATACGTTGACTACGAAGGACGTGATAACACGTCAAAGCACAAACCCGATGTATTTGTGGAATCTTGTAACCATGACAACTTATAAAATGGGACTTAAAAACCTATTGATTCTGAAAGAGTTTATCATATACAAGTATATGCTTTAAAATGATATATAACACTATATACGTATGCCCATGTATATACTGTATATATTATCTCAGAGGTACCATACACGGCAATTTTCAAAAATTTGTCAGTATTATAATGCTTTTTGCCCCAGTATTGAATGAGTTAAGGTAAGCATTCTGGAGTAACTGGGGTAAATATTTGTATGTTATATCACAATGCAAGTCATTCTATTATATTGGGACCACCTTAACACATAAAAAAGGCATAAACATGCAAAATGTCACCACCTACCAGACACTGACCACCAAACACCAACCACTGAACACCACCCATATAACAATGTGTCACCACAACTGGTGGTGACATAAAAATGAAAACATCTGAATGTTTACATTATCTCAAATCTGGAATTTTTGTATTGTTTGAAATAAATATAAATGTACATAATATACATGATATGAATTGTTTATATTTTATCTAAGGTGTGTTTTAATTAAGGTCTTGAAACAAATTCCAACTGATCATTGATGGGGGGGGGGGTTCCCCTGGCTACGGGTCTGAGCATTACTCAAATGTGCGAACCTAATATCTAAATGTCCATGCTAAGGTGTAGTCCATTTCAACTTAACTGCTCAGTGAAAATCCATAGCCTTATTTTCAATTGTTGCATTTCTGTTCCATGTTGGAATCAGTTGTTCCATATAACTATAAGACTGATCCATGTTCTTAATTCATTGTTGTCAGTTTTGTCTGTTGTTACTGATTTTTACATAACCTTAGTTCACTGATTTATCAAAATGGTGTTCAGATTCCTTACTTTTGTATAGTACAGGGTGTTCACTGATTCATTTCATAGTACAAGGTGTTCATGGATTCCTTATACTGTATAGTACAGTGTGTTCACAAATTCTTTACTTTTGTATAGTACAGGGTGTTCAATGAATCATTACGTAGTACAAGGTGTTCACGGATTCCTTATACTGTATAGTACAGGTTGTTCACTGATTCATTACATAGTACAGGGTGTTCACGGATTCCTTATACTGTATAGTACAGGGTAGTCACTGATTCATTACATAGTACAGGGTGTTCACGGATTCCTTATACTGTATAGTACAGGGTGTTCACAGATTCCTTATACAGTACAGGGTGTCCACTGATCCATTACATAATACAGGGTGTTAACGGATTCCTTACTTTTGTATAGTACAGTGCGTTCAATGATTCATTACATAGTACAGGGTGTTCACGGATTCCTTATACTGTATAGTACAGGGTGTTCACTGATTCATTACATAGTACAGGGTGTTTACGGATTCCTTACTTTTGTATAGTACAGGGCGTTCAATGATTCATTACATAGTACAGGGTGTTCACGGATTCCTTATACTGTATAGTACAGTGAGTTCACTTATTCATTACATAGTACAGGGTATTCACGGATTCCTTACTTTTGTATAGTACAGGGCGTTCAATGATTCATTACATAGTACAGGGTGTTCACGGATTCCTTATACTGTATAGTACAGGGTGTTCACTGATTCATTACATAGTACAGGGTGTTCACGGATTCCTTACTTTTGTATAGTACAGGGCATTCAATGATTCATTACATAGTACAGGGTGTTCATGGATTCCTTACTTTTGTATAGTACAGGGCATTCAATGATTCATTACATAGTACAGGGTGTCCACGGATTCCTTATACTGTATAGTACAGGGTGTTCACTGATTCATTACATAGTACAGGGTGTTCACGGATTCCTTATACTGTATAGTACAGGGTGTTCACTGATTCATTACATAGTACAGGGTGTTCACGGATTCCTTACTTTTGTATAGTACAGGGCATTCAATGATTCATTACATAGTACAGGGTGTCCACGGATTCCTTATACTGTATAGTACAGGGTGTTCACTGATTCATTACATAGTACAGGGTGTTCACGGATTCCTTACTTTTGTATAGTACAGGGCCTTCAATGATTCATTCCATAGTACAGGGTCTTCACTGATTCATTACATAGTACAGGGTGTTCACTGATTCCTTATACTGCATAGTACAGGGTGTTCACAGATTCTTTACATAGTACAAGGTGTTCACGGATTCCTTATACTGTATAGTACAGGGTGTTCACAGATCCCTTATATAATACAGGGTGTTCACTGGTTCATAACATACTGCTGGGCTGGGTAAACTGGGTTTCCTGCTTCATCCACTGCTATAAACATGTTCTCTTCTCCCTCTAGAGGCAGAATCTGGTAGAAATCTGAAATGAGAAAATAAAAGCTGCATACATGTTAAAGCATCCTCCGAAGCAGGTGTCCAGATTAAGTACCTCCTTCTTCCCATGCTATGACCAATTCGGAAGCGCCCGATTAAACTGAATCACATGATCCAATTATGCGCAATGACTTATACGTGATTTCTGTGGCAGTGTTGCGACAGCCAATAAGATTGCGAGTTCTTAATCGGGAAAACGCTAACTGTTTATCGCAGGGGGTAAAAAGAAAGAATGTATTCTGGATTTTGAAGCCCTGTGATCGGAGGATGATCTTAAAGAGGCATTGCAAGTAAACAAACAGGTGTCCTTTTCGGTCCTTCTTTTATCATTATAATTATAAAAAAATGTCATAGTATAAATCATGGTTTTATAAATTACTGAATCATTAAAAGCAAAAAAATATCTTTAAAAAATTAAGTACAGGGTGTACAATTTTTTGGCTGACTGTTTTGAAAAAACTTTTAGTAGTCCTCGATATTTTCACATTTGAAGGTGAGTCGGCCTTTCCTATTTATACACACTAATTACCAGATTCTGATTCTTATGTGAAGGTGTCAATTTATGATAACGTTATTAAGTTTAAAAGTCTCTCACGTTGTCATTTAGAGGGAGAACACTGAAAGATTCAATTGAAGCCCAGTTACAAGCAAATGATGAAGGTCATATTTTCATACTCTTTAAACCAAGGACCTCATTGCGATAGTCTCCTGTATACATTTATTTTGAGAATTTTAGGCACAAAGAAAGCAATTTTCCAGGGTTCATGACTAAGGTTGAAATGATTGCCCAATATAACAAAATTGGCAATCAGCCTAATGCCCAATAGGCAACTTGCTTTCCAAGTTCATTGCCAAGAGTGAAAAGTGATTGCAATTGGCAATAGCTTTGAGCAGCTCTGAACCTTGCAATTCAAAAATTTGAGAAGAAATCCAAAGATATCAAAACTATTTTGTTCACTTCTCAGGCTGTAGCCAGCTTTAGCTAAAGGGGCTTTATTTTTTTTTAAATTCCAAAGGGATTATAATTTGACAATTTTGGTTCAAAATCACTTGAAAGGTACTTAAGATGGTGAAAAGTTCAATGTTCTAAAAGATTTTTTGGCCAGAACCTCCTCCTGGCTATGGGCCTGCTTATACACTAACCTTGATTGCCTTGATCATCAGCTGAGAGAAGTTGGACAGCTTGACCCTCATCCGAATCTGGCTCTACTCTGAGCTGTACATATTGGTTTGTTATGGAATGGTCGTGAACCTGAATGTCTTGCTCCGGTTGTGGTTCAACACTAATTGGTATCATGCTTCGGTCTATGTCTGTTTCTTTTGGCTTCCCCTGAAATAAGTACCATCATTATTTCTCACATCCTACACAATTAATACTCAAGCTATTATATCCATACCTCCTGCAAATTAACAATGAGTGGCCCTCGGGAAATATCATTTTGCACCTTGAAATAAAACCCAAATTCAAATCCTCCAAGTAAATAACCTTTATATCTTGTTCAATTAATATTCAAGCTGCATATCCAAACCTCCTGCAAGATAACAATGAGTGGCCCTCGGGAAATATCATTTCGTCCCTCTGGATAAAATCCATATTCAATCCTTCCCAGTAAATAACCTTTATATCTTGAACAATTAATATTCAAGCTGTATATCCAAACCTCCTGCAAGATAACAATGAGTGGCCCTCGGGAAATATCATTTTGTCCCTCTGGATAAAATCCATATTCAATCCTTCCCAGTAAATAACCTTTATATCTTGTACAATCAATATTCAAGCTATATATCCAAACCTCCTGCAAGTTAACAATGACAATGAGTGGCCCTCAATACATTTTATATTGTCCCTCGGAATAAAACCCATATTCAATTCTTTCCAGTAAATACCTTTATATCTTGCACAATTAATATTCAAGCTGTTTATCCCTACCTCCTGCAAGTTAACAATGCGTGGAGCAGCCTCAAGGTCAGTCAACTTCAGTCTATGCACACCTTTCATATGATTCCGATACTGCGTGAGTTTGCAGAAATTCTGTGAACAATGTTTACACTGGTAAAGTCCTATACCATGCACGACTTGTCTGTGCTGTTTTAAGTTGTTTTTACTTGTAAATTTCTTTCCTGAAATCATCCACTCTTGTTATATTTTCAAACTGCATTATTACCACCTTGCAAAACCTTTTCTTAGGGTGGTAGTTCTCATTTAGAAGGCTTATATTTTACTATTATTCATTTATTCAATTTAAAAGAATATGACTCGGACTTTGAGTTTTTGCAATATTCATCCTACTTTCTGACAATTTTTTATAGCCACTTAAGAGTTTTTTGGGCAGGCTTACCATTGACTCAAATATTCCATGAACGGGTTTCAAATGTCAAAGATGGCCATATAACCCCCTTCATGTTACATACATAAGCGCCATCTATTGACAGCCATCTTACTTACCACATTCTTCACAAATCTCAAACTTTATGTCATGCCTGGAGTGCATGAGGACATAATGTCTTTGAGCATTAGCCTTATCAAGCTGTTCTCTTCCACAGTAGTCACACTTGTACTTGGGACTTGCCTCATGTCTGGCCTTGTGTTTTGCCAAATTTCTCTTTCTCACCTCCTAAAATATTCAACGAGGCATTAAATGACAAAATTACAAATAGTTACAAAAATGTAACAATTAGTCGACTACTGATCATAACAAATGATGGCTATTTTAAAAATAACAAGGCATTAGCCTAACATGCAAAATATCACCACCTGCCATTTGTTAGACACTGACTGCCGAACACCAACTACTGAACACCAAACACAAGATGCCAAACACCATCCACAAAAAAGTTGGAGACTATAACAATATGTCACCACTTGTGGTAGTGACATCATAATAATTAGTGATCTTCCCAGCATTAAAGCAAGTGGGAGCTGCACCCATTCGAGATTTAATAAGATGTACCTTATTCAAAATGAGATACAGTAAAAAACTAAATTTTCACTATTTTGCTGAAGAGGCTACTTATAGGATATCCTATGATTTTGAGGAATATCATTTTTATCTACGAGGTGATATTGATATCTGCACGAGAGAGCGAAGCGAACGAGTGCATATATCAATATCACCGAGTAGATTAAAATGATATTCTGAAAAAATCATAGGATGTTCTTATTATCCTACACTTACAAGGAGTGTACTAAGTGTATAATATCATTGCAAAATGAATTCCATGCCAAATAGAGTCAATTTGGAGGGAAATCAACAAGCGGAGTATATCGTCACAATATCCTCCGCATATTGGGTTTTCCGGAGTATATCGTCACGATATCCTCCGCCCGGAGTATATCGTGACGATATCCTCCGGATATTCATTTTGCCCATAAATATCAAATTTATTTTTTAATGTTATTATACATTTAGTACACTAAGTGTATGATAAACTGTGATATTAAACGCAAGTGAATATTTCATTTAACATTAATTCAGTTAGATATTAAGTATATTTCTTCAAACAGTGAAATTTAATGCCCATGAGAAATATCAGCCTGATAATATAATGAATTTTTTGCCAGCAAAAAGTTGGGCTTTTACAATAAATCATGAAAAATAGGCATATTTTGACCAAATTTGGTCTAAATTGCGAAATTAAGAATTTTGCACCCACTTGATAAAAAATACTGGGGAGAACACTGAATATGCTGACACGTTTTTATCTACTTTTTATTGTACAATTTATGACATTTTTATTACATTTTTATAACAAAACTTTCATACATCATTCTAACTAACTTTTTACCCTCATGCATTAAAGAAATATTCAATGCCAGCCGCTACCGCTAGATGTTGTATAGTTTACTTTTTTATTTGACAGCAACATATTTTTATACTAAAGCTTTCATACATATCAATTCTAAATTACTTTTTGCCCTTATGCATAACATCTGCTACAGCATATTTCACTTTTGTACATATTTTACAACAACATAGTTTTATACCAAGCTTTCATGCATCTCAATCATTTTTTCACATTTTTCATTTTCTTGTTTTTTGGCACTCAAATTGACGGAGTCGTTCATGGAAAAGTCAGGCGTGCGTTTATTGGAGTATGTGTGCCTATTAGAGTGAATATGGTACATTTGTTTTTAACATGAATAATCATATCATACGCAGAAAACTTCACCTTTTGACATTAAAATTGTAAATTTTTAAGTTGTACCACCAATGTGGACAGATGGATAGAAGGGCAGATAGACAGATGGATGGATACCTACCTGATTCCATAGAATCATAAAACAAGACATACTTAACAAAAACACATAACATGGCAAATGTCAAATGGTGACAAAAGTGTAAGAATTTGTTAAGTGAACCAATGTTACAGAAACTGATACCAAACTTCAAATGACAGTCACAAAAATGGTGACAATCTGTTAAAATACATTGATGGTGACATACAAAAACTCACCTTTTTACAAATATCACAAATTGCCATTTCTAGCTCCTGGTGGACATTGGCTACATGGACCTTAAGATTGTCACGTGAACTGAAACTCTTTCCACACGTATCACAGATTGGCTTGTCTTGTCTATGTGATGCCCTGTTTTAAATACAAATGCACTGAAACTTTTTCTACATAGCATGTATCACAGATTGGCTTGTCTTGTCTATGTGATGCCCTGTTTAAAATACAAATGCACTGAAAATTATTCTACATGTATCACAGATTGGCTTGTCTTGTCTATGTGATGCCCTGTTTAAAATACAAATGCACTGAAACTTATTCTACATGTATCACAGATTGGTTTGTCTTGTCCATGTGATGCCCTGTTTAAAATACAAATGCACTGAAACTTATTCTACAAAAACATGTATCACAGATTGCATTGTCTTGTCTATGTGATGCCCTGTTTAAAATACAAATGCACTGAAACTTATTCTACATGTATCACAGATTGGTTTGTCTTGTCTATGTGATGCCCTGTTTAAAATACAAATGACCTGAAACTTATTCTACATGCATTACAGTTTGGTTAGTCCCTCTCAAATTAAATCCATTGGAGGTTGTACCAGATTTGTCTATTTAATATAATACATCTTGTTATGTTATTTATTTAAGCCTTTAGTCTCACCTTTTATGGGCATCCAAATTGAGCTTGTTTTTACAAAGTTTTCCACATTCATCACAGCGTAGCTTTTGATCCTCTGAATGTTTGTTCTTAATGTGGATGCGTAACTGGTACCTAAGAAAAACACATGTTAAGCTATAGTTAGTTGCAAAAAAGTACTCTGTTCTTTACATGGATATCTAACTGGTGCCAAAAAAAACACATGTTAAGTTATAGTCTGTTGCAAATAGTACTTTATTCTTAACAAGAATATGTAACTGGTACTTATGCAAAACACATTTAAAGTAGTAATCAGTTGCAAAAAGTGCTTTGTTCTTAACAAGAATATGTTACTGGTACTTATGCAAAACACATGTAAAGTAATATTCAGTTGCAAATAGTACTTTGTTCTTAACAAGAATATGTAACTGGTACTTCTGCAAAACACATTTAAAGTAGTAATCAGTTGCAAAAAGTGCTTTGTTCTTAACAAGAATATGTTACTGGTACTTATGCAAAACACATGTAAAGTAATAATCAGTTGCAAATAGTACTTTGTTCTTAACAAGAATATGTAACTGGTACTTATGCAAAACACATTTAAAGTAGTAATCAGTTGCAAAAAGTGCTTTGTTCTTAACAAGAATATGTTACTGGTACTTCTGCAAAACACATTTAAAGTAGTAATCAGTTGCAAAAAGTGCTTTGTTCTTAACAAGAATATGTTACTGGTACTTCTGCAAAACACATTTAAAGTAGTAATCAGTTGCAAAAAGTGCTTTGTTCTTAACAAGAATATGTTACTGGTACTTCTGCAAAACACATTTAAAGTAGTAATCAGTTGCAAAAAGTGCTTTGTTCTTAACAAGAATATGTTAATGGTACTTATGCAAAACACATGTAAAGTAATAATCAGTTGCAAATAGTACTTTGTTCTTAACAAGAATATGTTACTGGTACTTATGCAAAACACATGTAAAGTAATAATCAGTTGCAAATAGTACTTTGTTCTTAATGTAGACATATAACTCGTATTTTGTTCTTAACAAGGATATGTGACTGGTACCAAAGCAAAACACATGTTGAGTAAGTAATTTATTCTCAGCATGGATAATTGTAACTGGTACTTTGTTCTTAATATGGATATGAAACTGGTACCTATAACCTAAGCAAAACACATGTTAAGTAATAATCAGTTGCAAATAGTACTTTGTTTTTAACATGGATAATTGGAACTGGTACTTTGCTCTTAACTGTTTATGTACCATGACTGGTACCTAAGCAAAACAAATGTATATAATTCCAGCTTGCCAACTGTAATCGTTAGCATCCAGTTGAGAATCAAGAAAAGTAGGCAAAATTTGACTAAAAGTGCATGGCAGATATTGCATCTAATTTCAAACAACCATCTTTAGATTCATATTCATATTAGGGCAATGCAGAAATGTCCATCCTATAATATTTATGTTGATTTGGATCCATGAGAAATAATGAGCAATCAACCCATCAATGTACCTTTTCAAAAATGATGACCCATTTTTACTGGGTCAGAGAACATGGAAAACAGCTTTCAAGATTGACAATAGAATTAAACATACATGATTTTATGGAGGCATTATCAGTCATGAATGGCCAATTGTGGCATGAAAGTGGTTAAACTAAGCTTGTATTCGCAAATACAACTAACGGCTAGCAGCGACCGGGTTAACCTACTATTTTATGACCAACTCATTTAAATATGAGTGGAATAGTGGCAGGTACTACTCATATTTAAATGAGTTGCCCATTAAATAGAAGGTTAATCCTGTAGCCGACAGGCGTTAGTTGCATTCGTGAATACAAGCTTTGAGAAATAGCTTGCTTTAATGAACATGTTAATAACTTGTAGCTTTGTATACCACATTGAAGGATGCTCCCCATGGAGCGTTTTATGCCATTGGAATTTTCAAATTTTCACCAAGGTTCTGCACCAGGTTCTCCTAACGCTGGGGGGATCGATGTAATCAATCAGAAAAGCTTAACAATGCATCTTTGATACTCTGAATTATAAGCCTTATGTATTTTCCTTTTAAAGTACAACAATTAAATGTTCCAAAGACCAACATATAAATGTGCCAATATGCATGCAATTAAATTTTGCTATGCCATATTCTTAGAAGGTTTTATTGTGGTATTATCACTCAATCAGTGAACAGTCAATCATGACTTGAATGTGGTCACACTTCAAGGAGGATTGGCTCCAAGGATCAAGACTCGATATTTTCCAAATATGACTACGTCGAAATGTTATTTTCTGACATTATAACGGACTATAAATTCAAAATAAACAGTCTAAAAGATTCGAACAAATATCTCGATTATTTCTTGAGTTTTGGAATTTTTAGTTTGGAAATAAACCAAAATGCATGCTCTAAATGTTGAAGTGAACAAAATGGCAGCTGTTTGAATTTTGAAATCACGCCGTGACCATATATGGCGAAAATATCGATGATGCAGTCTGGGAGCCAATCCTACTTGGTCACACTTGGAAAAATAGCTTGCTTCAATGAATGTGTTACTTGATTGCTTTGTAACCACATTGACTGATGCTCTCCATGAGGCTCTTTACTCCATTGATTTACATATTTCATGTGATGTTGGTAAAACTTTACAAGGGTCAGTTCTTGGGTAGGTTTCTTTGAATAACTTTGTGTGATACGGGAAGAAGGGACTGGATCTTAGTGGAGTAACACTTGAAACATTTTTAATATTATCAATTATGAAACGGTCCTGATGGATCATCTTTGTCTTGAGCTCGTGAACGTAAATTGGCTCTGTGAGCAACATCCGGACACATGTTGGATCACCTGGGGACCTGTCACATTTTTCAGTCCAGAATTCGATAAGCTTTCTCAATTTAATCTTCTGTTTGTGCATTCTAGCACGGCCATATATTTCAACTTTTTTCCAGAATGTTTTGTTGAAATGATCAAATAGAATGGCATCTCCTTTGTTCCATTTTTTCAACAAGTTTAAATAATAGGAATTTATTTCAGTGTCGTGATTATTTCCCTGCATTTTTGTAAAATAAACAACGTCCTCCAAATTCCAGTTTAAAAGATCGGCGAGAAGAACAAGACTCTCATGTATATAATCAGTGATCATTATAAAATCAAATTCACGTTCAATCTGGAGAATTTTATTCTTGATGGGAACATCATTATCCAGGTCAGGTATCTCAACGCCGAAGTCAAACAGTTGCTCACTCTTACTTGACACTTGCCACTTATCGCACTGTTTGACTTTCACAATGCTAGACGTTATATGCTCAAGAAAAAACTTCCATGGGATATCCTCCTGGTCGATCCCGTAACATTTTGCCAATTTATGGTAGTGGAATGCAGAGAGAAAATGTGCTCCAGGATTTCTAATGGAGGTTGTGTAAAAAGTATCTTTCGGCATGAGATCTCTTACACATTTGTGATATCGCATATGAAAACAGTACATTACAGATGTTTGATATCTTTCATGAATTGGTATCAAACATGATTTATGAAATATCTCTAGGTAACACACCATATTTCTTTTCCAAGGCATTGCGAATGTCATATTATGAACATCTCCGTATCTGAGAAATATATTTTGCAGAGTTGAGCTCCCAGTTTTATGAATCTTCAAGTAGAAAACATTTCGTTAAGCCACAAGTATTACACAATTGTATTGATATTTGGTGTCAAATACACATATCTTGGTATATTTGAAGTCCCAAAACGGCTTAGTTTCAGAAATATCCCAAATTTAAATTCAAAAATGACCGTTAGCTCCGCACCCTCCGCTCATTTGCTCCACACCCAATATTTCCCACAGGCTCTGTCTGCATAGGGTGTTTAATGAAGATGTAAATAACTTGTAGCTTTGTATACCACATTGAAGGATGCTCCCCATGGAGCGTTTTATGCCATTGGAATTTTCAAATTTTCACCAAGGTTCTGCACCAGGTTCTCCTAACACTGGGGGGATCGATGTAATCAATCAAAAAAGCTTAACAATGCCTCTTTGATACTCTGAATTATAAGCCTTATGTATTTTCCTTTTAAAGTACAACAATAAAATGTTCCAAAGACCAACATATAAATGTGCCAATATGCATGCAATTAAATTTTGCTATGCCATATTCTTAGAAGGTTTTATTGTGGTATTATCACTCAATCAGTGAACAGTCAATCATGACTTGAATGTGGTCACATTTCAAGGAGGATTGGCTCCAAGGATCAAGACTCGATATTTTCCAAAAATGACAACGTCGAAATGTTATTTTCTGACATTATAACGGACTATAAATGCAAAATAAACAGTCTAAAAGATTCGAACAAATATCTCGATTATTTCTGGAGTTTTGGAATTTTCAGTTTGGAAATAAACCAAAATGCATGCTCTAAATGTTGAAGTGAACAAAATGGCAATTGTTTGAATTTTGAAATCACGCCGTGACCATATATGGCGAAAATATCGATGATGCAGTCCGGGAGCCAATCCTACTTGGTCACACTTGGAAAAATAGCTTGCTTCAATGAATGTGTTACTTGATTGCTTTGTAACCACATTGACTGATGCTCTCCATGAGGTTCTTTACTCCATTGATTTACATATTTCATGTGATGTTGGTATAACTTTACAAGGGTCAGTTCTTGGGTAGGTTTCTTTGAATAACTTTGTATGATACGGGAAGAAGGGACTGGATCTTAGTGGAATAACACTTGAAACATTTTTAATATCATCAATTATGAAACGGTCCTGATGGATCATCTTTGTCTTGAGCTCGTGAACGTAAATTGGCTCTGTGAGCAACATCCGGACACATGTTGGATCATCCGGGGACCTGTCACATTTTTCAGTCCAGAATTCGATAAGATTTCTCAATTTAATCTTCTGTTTGTGCATTCTAGCACGGCCATATATTTCAACTTTTTTCCAGAATGTTTTGTTGAAATGATCAAATAGAATGGCATCTCCTTTGTTCCATTTTTTCACCAAGTTTAAATAATAGGAATTTATTTCAGTGTCGTGATTATTTCCCTGCATTTTTGTAAAATAAACAACTTCCTCCAAATTCCAGTTTAAATGATCGGCGAGAAGAACAAGACTCTCATGTATAT